CCTTCAATGGTACATACTATTCTATTGTAACTCCGACTGCTTTGTAGATACTTTACTTTAAAGTGGTTTGTCAGAGCAAAATGAACCACTGATAGCTTAAAATCATCTATACTATCAAATAATTGCCCCTGGCCTTGAAGTATTTTGACCAAGCCATTAAAGATAGGATTCAAGTATGATGGTGGGTTAATTGACTGTGCACTATTGCGTGACTCATTATTCAAAGGCGCACCTTGATGGATAAACTCCCTGTAAAACAATTTTATAGTCATGTTATAAAAAGTGTCGTACAACACAAATATAAGATTTCTCATAATTAACAATATAAATTATGTACAATTAATGTATCTAGAACTGAATGACTGAGATGGTAAGACTGTCTCGTCGCGAATTAATGCATTTACTACATAAAGATCGGTTGTATAGTCGTTCAGACTAAACATTGCCCTTAAACCACTTTCCCCGCATAACTGCATTAGTTCAGCTTGCCTATACTTATATTGTATAACTTTGTTATTCAAGTCAATTGAAAGTTCTCTAGATATATTCTGTAAGAATTCATTGTATTTAGTATTTGCATTCACTATCAAGGCCGCCGCTATCCCACCGCGATAGGAAATATTTTTATCACTTACTATCAATTCACCACCATAGTGACATATGCAAACTAATTCCTTCATCTGTTGATCCAACATTGTTTCGTCTCTAGGCTGGCAATGTGTAGATTCTGGAGAGATGATGTCTATAAATTAACAATATTTACAAAAAATCAAACCCTCAAAAGAAAAATAAGCTGAAGAAGACAAAAAAAATAAAAATAAAAAATAATTTAAATGGCACAACATCTCATTCCAGTTATCAGGCCAAGTTCTAATGTTGTTTTGTATGCTAGGGATAAACCACCTTATCTCATAAGCAGGTTGCACAATTGATACCTTAAATCATGTATTGGGGAGAAAGCAATAATTATGATGAGCATGTGCAAATAATTAAAATGATAATGCTAGACTTACAAAATAGACATCTCGAAGCGTTAATAAAAATCATAACTGCTGATAATGAAGAAAAAAAGCAAGTATAAAAGTGAAATTTTCCACGCTACAATGGGAGAAGAATATTTCAAGTTATGACATCACATGAAAGAACTTATGGCCATTGGAAGGGATAAAAAATAACTTATACTAACAAGCAAATAAGTTGAGCTAAAGCCGATATCAACTGCTAGTTTCCCCTAATATTCTAAGTATAATGATAACAAACATGGGTTATGTAATATAAAGCTTAAAGTTTTGAGCAAATCTGTGACCTGCTCCAGCAACCATCAAGTTACAAGGTTTCCACCTATTGAACTGGAACTTAATGAATTATTTCTCTTGCATCTTTATTTTTTTCTCAACTAATCTTTCAAAATAACGTTATTTCTCTAGATTCACTTTAAAACAAAGAAATGAAGTTTTTAACATAAATCGTTTCAGTTTCACAAAACTCTAAAATCGAATAATATTCAACCACAAAATCGAAACAAACAACTCAAAAAAACCACAATGTTCAACTTAATCGAAGAAACTGAAACCAAAGGGCTCAAACATGGCCTCTTTCCGAAGATAAGAGGAAAATACCTTGGATCAGTCGTGTATGCCCTAAAATCGCATCCAAATCGCCAGAAGAAAACTCAATAGCACAATATTTCAAGAAATCAATAGCACATTCGATCTTTGATATGGTGAAATCACCAAAAAAGATATGGTGGCCTAACGGTACAAGGCTCTTACAAAAAAAGATATGGTGAAATTGATCGCCCTTGAAACGGCAGAGAGAGTATCAAGAGAGGAGAGAGAAAATTATGCCCTAAAATAACAGCATCGGTGTGAAGGCTAGAGTGAGAAAAACAAAATGAAGGGTATTTTGGACCATAAAAATATAAATAGTGTTTTAGTATAGTTTTGTAATTAGTTTCAAGAAATTAGTAGTCAAACTTGTTACTTTGAAAAAGTTAGCATTTTTTAAATGGCAAATTTCTCAAAACCCCTAAAACTATTAAAAAGTTATCATAAAACCCCAACCAGTTTTAAAAACCCCCAACAATATAGCAACGTTATCATTTTACCCCAACTCTGGCAATTGGCCGTTAAAAGTATGTAAAATGACTAAATTACCCTTATTATATTTCCTTTTATTTAAAAAATCAAAAAATTATATTTTAAAAATTACAATATTGTCCTTTAGCACAAAACGACAGAGTTTAGTGCCAACATAGTTGGACATCAAAACTCCGTCGTTTCATTCAAGGCAGCAGTTGTATTAGACTTAAAACGCTATCGTTTAATTCATTGAACAAGTGTGTGTGTGTATATATATATATATATTTTGTTACACCGGTATTACGCAGTTTAGCTGGCATGGACCCTTTTCACCGATACGTTCAGCCGACTATCCATCACTGCCTTGTACGTCGTCCCCCATCATACCCCTCCCGACCAGCTCCGCTAGCCCTCATCAACTGCTCCAGAGTATACATCTCTACTTCGCCGCTACAGAACCCCAAATATCCACTCTTTTCACGGTGTTGTTGAACACCCTGAATCTGAATCTGGGTTGTCTTCTCTTTAACTTATGATTCATTCTCTACAACAATCAATGTGTTGTTGCTTGTAGCATCAGTATTTGCATTCTCAGGACTAGACATTGTTGATTTTGACGATGACATTTGGTGTCGTCGTTTTTTTATCAACACGAAGCAACATAAAACAGCTGCGATGAGGATTAGAATTGCGATGACCAAGAGTATAATCACTCCGATTCTCTTGTGCTTCTTCGGCGACGGCGGTGAGATAACCACTCCCTGTGCGTTCTAGAGAAGAGTCGTAGGCTGCGAGGTGGCGGCGCCGGAGGATGAGTTGAAGAACGGGGAAGTGCTAGAACCGCATGCTTTGTCGATGATCTCCCCGCAGAGGCTAGGGTTCCATGAAAACGAAGTTGTCATGTTCATCTATGGAAGCCATGGTCGATCTAAGAAATTACAGGTCTAGTTGTCATGTTCATTTGTGGAAGCCATGGCCGATCATCATATGCGCTCTTACGTTCTTTCTGAATGCAAGCAATCGTGTGTTTACGCGCGGTTAAATGTTTCTCGGTCTCGAAGTAACCTTGCTTGATCTTGAATTCCAATTCGACTTCGAAGAGTCTGTTAAATAATGCAACTTCATTTGGCAGAAGCAATGGACGACGTGGATCGTAATCCACCATTGTCGATCTTTCCTTTTCGTTCTTGTTCTTCGTTCAGAGCTTTTTGTGTTACAGAGAAAATGATCAACTGAATAAAAAACTGTATATGCGTATGGTGATCTAGGTCTACTATATATAAAGGACGGACTTCAATCTCTCTCTATAAATAATTAATTTCTCTCTCTACTTCTTGAGCCAAGTCGGTTATCTGTTAGTTAGTGGACTTGTAAGTTAGTTAGATAGGGATCGGCCGTTAACACAGAGCAGCTGACGTCGGCGACTCTGTTTTCAAGATTTGGCCAATGTTCAAATCCAAGTGAGTTGACTCGCTTCCAACTCGGTAATTCAGGCCATCCACTGACCCAACCCAATTAGGTTAAAAAGCAAGAGATCCAAGTTGACAAATTAATTCCTGATTTTCCTTCTCTTTCAATGGTTTTTATATATATGTGTGTGTGTGTATGTTATGCTTTATATATATGTATATCTATATATTGGTTTGTATATCTAAACTTCATGATTGTTGTTCAAAGTGGGTTTATGTAGTTAAGCTTGTCCGGAAGGGTGAGCGGAGATAGCCGCGAGTAGAGAGAGAATAAAAAGCAAGAGAGAGACGATGACTAAACTATGGGTTTTAACTGTAACAAGTTTGGGGATATTTTCGGAATAACACGTATAAATATATTTCACTTGTTTGGCACATTTACTCTAGGGGTATTTTGGTCATAAAATTCACTTTGGCAAAGCAATTGTTAACCACGCGTTGAGTTAACGGCCCCAATTGACAGAGTTGGGGTAAAATGATAATATTGTTATATTGTTGGGAGTTTTTAAAACTGGTTGGGGTTTTATGATCATTTTTTGATAGTATTAGGGGTTTTGAGAAATTTGCCCCTTTTTAAATTATACAAAATTAAGTAGAGTATTTTTAAATTTTCCCAATAATAAACCAACACTTGTCTAAGTTCAAAGTCCAAGTATGAATTATAAGTTTGACCGTGTTAAGGAATGCGTCATTTCGCCCCGCAACGTGAGTACGTTTAACCCGAATGGGTGAGCAGAACAACGCATTGGGTCCCATAAGAAAATTTTTCCTACCAAACCAAGGATTTAGTAAGATAAGGAAAGAGATAGAGAAGTAAGAAAAGACTAAACAAGAAGAAAAGTCCAAGAAAGACTCAATTAGGGTTTTTCCTATAGATAAATGGCTTAATTAAAGAGATACAGAAAAAAAAAAAAAAAAAAAAAAAAAAAAAAAAAAGGGCAAAACCCCCCAAAAGAAAAGAGATACTATTCTCATTGTCAGAACTATGTTCCGACCTGATTCCCACACGCTCCATGAGGCGGGATACGTAGTCAATCGAAGTAATCCTAGGTTCGGTCATATTATCAAAATACCCCACTCCTCTCTACACAATTTCTCTAGTTCTGTGTTTTTTCTCCGTTACTATTTTGGGTTTAGTAATTACAGAGATTTTGTTGACTATTCTTAATTTGCAAATTTTTGCACCTCCTCTATCAAATCAAAATTAAAAGGAATTCTTTTTCTCTCGGTGAACCAGAAAAAGCTCATTGGCATTTGAAATGTTGTACAGGCCTATTCTTAATTGAGATATTGGCATATATAAATTAAATCCAGGATATCATCATAACAAACACTGCCAAAGTATTCATATGTAGATTTTGGTTCAATCACACATAAAATGAAAAGAAAAGGAGAGCATATGATTAGAATAATATGAAGAGTGTAGCTAGGAGACCTTATTTCAAACAAATCAAATGCTTCCCAGAAGTCATATTGTAATCCAACAAAAGGGTCCTAAATAATACTCCAAAATAAAAGTTTTCTAGGTGCTAGAAGTTCATGACTACAGCTGAAAACAACTAATCAAACAGCCCCATAATCATGTCACCCTCGTCCTCGTCTTCTTCTTCCTTCTTCTCTTCCTTCTTGGCGGCAGCCAGAGCAGGCGCAGAAGCAGCAGCTGCAACTGGAGCCGCAGCAACTGCAAACCTGCTCGGGTCCTGAAATAAACCAAATGTTAAAAATGCTGTGCAAGAAAAGGAAAACCAAGTAGAATTTTTGGAGCCACATCAAGCGCGAACCTTTATGTATTCTTTCACTTTCTCAGCCTGTTTGTAGGAATACTCTGTTGCCACTGCAATGGACAGAGCATTCTTGTAGGCATTGATGAACATGTGAGGCACAGCAGCAAGGGTTGGGTATCCGAGAGTGATTGACAGAGAGCTAACATTAGATACTCCAGCAGCAAATCTCACGATAAGGTCATCCTCCGTTAGGCTAAGCACGTCTGGACTGAACACGGATCCATTCTCGTAGACGGATTGGACTACGAGGCCATAGGAGAATGGCCTTACCCCTAGCTTCGAAAGGAGGGCAGACTCGGAAGAGCCTACCTTGTCACCCTTCTTAATAAGCTCCACTGGAGTGATGATTTCCACTGTACCTTTGTTAATCTTGGTTGGGATGTTCAGAACCTAGAAAGTGGAAGGATTAGATAAAAGCAAAAAGTTTCTGAGAATTGTTTTATGAAAACTCCGTTTAAAAAGGCTTGCTTTCAAAGAACTGTTTTTTAATAGTTATCAGTGTTTTTTAAGTGACAAAGCAAACAAACTCTTAATGTTTAACCTGGAAAAAGGAAGTCTGAGAAGGATCAAGTCCAGTGTTTCCAGGTGGGACAATAACATCAACCGGAGCAATAAGGCCAACTCGTGCAGGAGCTCCAACCTGTTAGAGAAAATATTAGAACTATACGATCTAATGAAAATTATTGCTCATCGAAAATCAATGAAATGATTGAGCACAATCATATTGATTATTGACATAAGAAATGCAAATCAATATGATCAGAGTGTTATTTGTGATGTCTGCATTAAAGGTATGTGTCAATTTGTATATTTATAAGCTGAACAAGGAAGAATTACAGCAAAGTTAAATACAATAAACCAACCATGCTGAAATTTTCTATCAGAAAATCCAATTAAAATGCAGTCACTAACAACCAATATGATAGGTTGTATAACTTGTATGTAAATGAATAGTTCAATATCGACAAAAAGAAGAATCTTTTCCGAGCAAAAGTAATTCTAAACTAGTAAATAATTCGAAATTTTAAGTTCTTGCATAATCCTGTGACTAATGCAAATGAAAATGTCATAATAATGCAGCCATTAAATCAACATTATTGAACTTAAAAACCAAATACATACATAGAAACTATAGGGGCTTTTCTCCAATCCCAACCATCAGAAAGTTAAATAAGGACTTCCCCTAATTGGGGAAAAATGGGAATCAAGCTTGTGTCAGATCATAAGGGCTGAAATACATTCTCAGAAGGCATTCATATAAACTGTTTCATCTTCTGATTTTATATAATCTTGTACTCGACAAATTAATTGAGTTCGGAATTCGCATATATATACTAATGCATGGGAATTGAGTGTGGATCATATGGCAAGGGAAATGACACAAGTGTTAATCGATTTTTATAACCGACTGAGGTGTGAATCATTGATAGAAACACTTTAAGAGAAGAGAGGTTCAATCTTATCCATTACTGACTACAAGCCCTTGTTGGACACTATTTATTGAAGTCGCAACAAAAACCAATTGGGCAGTATATCATTATATCAATTATGGTGTGCAATAGGTTACGTTTATAGATTAAGAACAAGGAAAGACAGACACGAGGCAGAAAAACAGAATCAAACGTTGTTGGAATGCCTATAAATTCAGTAGAAGAACAAATTTTATGGGGCAAAAAAAAAATGATAAATGAATAAACAAGTTAAACTATAGTTGTAAGTGAGGTGTAACAAGAGCAACTTTATCCAAAAATAGTAAAAATGGTCACCAAAATAGAAACACCGATAGAAGTACCTTATACTTGGCAACCTCATCACTTACTTCCTTCAAATCACCCTTTGTGAAAATCAATCCCACATTACCCTGACCCAAAAGGGGGAAATTATTTAATAAGCATCAGCAAACAAGCATATGAAACAACCTACCAAAATTTTATATTCGAGAAAAAGTATTAATTAAACCCCATATTCCTATTTTTTGGGGAAAAAAATTAAATAAAGTTTCCTCCATTTGAGAAAAGCAAAAGCCATTAAAGAATATTCAAAAAAAATATTTAGAGATTTGATTTGATCATTTTGAAGACTTTGCCTAGCTTAATCCCATATATATGGATCAGCTACATGAATTCTCTTTCTACCATCTTTTCTATTACATGTTATTTTACCTACTATATTTAATCCGTAACATCAAAAGCACAGAAAGAAACAAAAAGAGAACCAATACCTAAGATTTATATATTTTAATTTTCCCATGCTTTCACACCAACCAAACAGATCAAAACCCATATTTACCGGGAAAGTTATACGTACCACAAGTAGAGGAATGAGACTGAGGTAGGCAGTGTTACCGGTCCTCTCGGCATGCATTTTGACAGAACGTTTCATCATGGTGTTCTTACCCATCAAGATCACCGAGTCACCACGCAAGCCCTGCCTTATGTTCTGAAGCTGGTTCGATCCCACGTTATCGGCACCCACAATCAAGATCTGAGAGTACATGTCCATAAGCTTACACAGCTTCTGGTCGTACATTGCTTTCTTTTCTGTTCTTGTTGGTTTCACCGCCATTGTTGATTACAGTTTGGTTTGTGAGAAAATGAATTCAGTGAACCCTAGAAAATGTGTGAGAGTGTGTACAAGGATATATATATATATATATGTTAGGTCCTGTGTTGTTGAACTTTACGGCCTCTGTCAAAAAATAAAATCAACCCTAGCGCGGGTGCAACGATCGCATGCACGTATGTGTTCGAGATGAATGCCGAGCGAACAGGGCAAGTATCTATCTATATCTCTATTTATTTATTTATCACTATTAAAAGTGTAATTCATTTTTATCTATTTTTAAAAATAAAAGTCAAATATATTAAACCCTCTTTTTAAATGCAAATTTAAAAATTGAATTTATTATTAAGAACTCTATCTTCCTTATAAGAACTGAATTCATTCTTTAGAACATTAGGTCTTCCTTAATTAGAAAAACTACAAATTTCTCTCTATTTTTTTTTTTTTTTTTGTTCTTTTTAAACCCTCTTTTTAAATGCAAATTTTGTGATTATATATACATATATATGGATAAATTTAAGATTCTTTAGGCATTAAAAAAAAAAAAAAAAAGTTTTCATCAAAACTAAATATGTAATTTTCCGGCTTAAATACATAATCAATGTGATGTATTACACTCATTTTTATCAAGTGTGTATCTATGATATCAATGTTTTATATACGTCTCAATTCTAATTATACTTCAGGAAGAGTAGATGTTGGGTGACACGTAATTAGTATATCTATTCAATCAAATATAATATATTATCTTTTTACCAACAATTTTATAAATAAACGGACCAACTTTGTTTTGAAACATTGAATGAATATACCAATGATATATTGATATGATATGACATGCTAAGCGCACTCAATATTTATTCTTTCGTGAGAAAGCCGAATTTAAAGTACTAGTATAAAACAAAAAAAAACAAACCAGGAATTAAGCTCGAAATTGTTCTGATAAAAACCAAGTAACGCTCGATTAGAGGCTTCAGACTAACATTTAAAGCGGGTCCATGGGCTTGGACTGGGTTTGGACTATTTTTGGGCTCTGTCCAGTCCAATTGTCAACTCTATCACAAGCAAAACCATCATGAATTTACAAGTAGAGATTGACCTTTATCAATGGCTCTATTTGCTTGCTTCCGTGGTTAGATATTGGCTTTGGGCTTGTCTAGTCTTTTGGTTCTGGGCATGATCACAGTGTGGCCCATTTATCTTTTGGGCTTGTTGGGCTAAGGCTTTCTGTACATATCATTTCAAGAAAAAAAAAATTACTGTATATGTACCTGATTTACTTTTTTAGAATCACACCTTACTAATTTTTTTAGAAAAAATTAAATTTTAGTGATCAAAACTCAAATAAAATTATTCTAAAGTTTAATTACGAAAAATAAAAATATATATATAAATAATATCAATATTAAAATTTAATTACTAAAAAAATTTAATAGAGTTTGTGACTATTCATCTTATCTCAATTTTGTGACTATTTTAGAACAATTTTATTTACATTTTATCACTAAATCTAATTTTTCCTATTTTTTAAAAGTAAATAACATTATTCTCTTTAATTTCATAAATAAATGAATTAATGATCCATGATTCCTCACTTGTTTTTTTTCTTTTTCTGAAGAATAATGATACAAAAACTTATTATTCCAATAAATAGAGTCAACAAAAATTAATGGTCATTTATATCATTTTCTTTTTAAGTGAACTTTTGTCATTAATCATTTCTAAAAAAGTTAAGTGTACTTTATATGGTTTATACTATTTCCTTTTTTATTATACGTTTTGTGCGTAATAATTTTCAAAGTGGACAATTAAAAAAAAAAAGGGGGAGTATTTTTTATTAGTACGGAGTATTTATTTTTGATAATTTAATTAAGCCATTTTGTGACACTATCATGTGATCTGAATGTGACGTCAATGTCACTTGCTCTGTAACTCTCTCTCTCTTGCCTTTTATGTACACCCAGTACACACAAATATCGCTATCGCCACTTCTAAACTCTGGTGGCATTAAGCATTTGCAATTTCGCTGTCTCTGCTTTGAGTCTCTGACGGCAAATGGAAGCCCTTGCCGTCTCTCACCGTCTCGTTCCCTCCGACCACCGACTCTCCATCCCTTCCCGTCGCCGACAAACCTCATTCTCTCTCACTCCATTCAATACCTCAAACTCGCGTCTCCTCACACTCAAATGCTCCTCTCTCTCCTCTCCATTATCAGGTACCAATCTTCTCATTTCATTCCCAATCCACATTATATTACTAATCTTTTTTTATTTCATGCTTAATCATTGTTCATGTAATCTATTGTTTGTGCAATGCTCGATTTGATTCGGTACGATTCGTGCAGCGATTTCATGCTTGACAATTTTTTTTATGTAATCAGTTGTTTGTGAAATGCTTGATTTGATTGTGTATGATTTGTGCAGTCGACCATTCGGTGAAGTTCAGGGAAGCTGCGGAGCACGGGAACTTGATTCCGCTGTTCCGGTCCGTGTTCTCAGATCACCTGACTCCGGTGCTCGCTTACCGTTGTTTGGTTAGGGAAGATGACAGGGATGCCCCCAGCTTTCTCTTCGAGTCGGTGGAGCATGGTTTAAAGGTTTCCAGTGTTGTAAGCCACTTCTAATTTTATCCCCTCTTGTTTGCTTGTTGAGATAATGCAGGAAAATGGAAGAAAATTTCTGACCTTTTGATCCTTATTTCTTGTTTTAACTGCTGAAGAACCATTAAGGTAAATCGCCATTAAATATGGTGTTTCATTTTTTGTATATATATTTATTATGTTTATTATGGTTTATTCTTGTTCTATTATCATACATTTGAAATTTTTTTTTTTTTTTTTAAATGAAAATAATAATGTGGCCATATTTGGGCCATTTTAATACACCATAGTTTGTGACGATGCAGAGAAGTATTTTCTGAATATCCCGCAAATAGAGCTAAGTTAAATTTGCTTTGGTATCACTATCAAAGAACAGCTTATGAACTAACTTGACACATGAATCAGCCTTAGTTGAATGGGAGTTTTCATTTTCTTAGGTCAAAATACCATGACTAGAAAAAATATGTTTGGATTTTTTTAGAATAAATAATTTCAAAATTATATATTTTGTTTCTACTTTCAATTAATTTATAAACAAAGAGAGCCTTTTTTTTTTTTTTTTCACTCTCATGAAGTTTGCGTTCTTTTTATTATTAATTTTTTTTTGGTATGTACTTTACATTGTTGAATTATTTATGTTAGGGGCGGTATAGTGTGATTGGGGCTCAGCCAATGATGGAAATAGTGGCGAAAGAGAATAGGGTGATAATTATGGATCACGACAAAGGGAGGCGGACAGAGGAGCTTGTGGAGGATCCAATGTCAGTTCCTCGGAGGATTATGGAGGAATGGAAACCCCAACGCTTAGATGAGCTCCCTGAAGCATTTTGTGGTAAGACTTCTGGATTTATTAATGCTTGATGATTTAACTGAAGTTCTTAAGTGATGTTGTACTTATATGATAGATAGTTACCCAAAAGTTCATGGATGTGTTGCTGAGCTAACCACATCTTTGACTGAGAAGAATGAATGCAGTACATTTTAGTCAATCATTCATGGACGATCTCATTTGATATCCTGAAAAAGAAGAGAATTTTTGGTTGGACATGAACTTTTTGTTCCTAGTGGTTGAACATGAACTTCATCGTCACTATATTTTTATCTACATATTGTATGTTTCAAAATGGCATTTTGATTGTTTTCCCAATATTTGTGTATGTGATGCTGAACAAACCATTTTCTTTGAATGAGTACAGTTAGAAAAGTTCCCTTTGGTCAATGATTCACTCACACGCGCACACGTCTAAATCTAAAAACATGACCAAGAAGAGAATTTTTTTGGTTTGTCAAGCTCTTCATTGTCACCATTTTTGTCGGGTATGTGCACTCTTCAATTGTGCTTGCTTTTATCTTTTCAGATTTTCATTGATTTTATGCGTATTTATGAAAATATTTCACTAATCATGCCACCAAAATCAGGGACGGACCCAGAATATTTTATGAGGGGTTTTGAACAACAACAATATATAGTCGGGTATCATTAGAAATTGAGTGGGGCCATTCTTAAGATTTTCACAAAAAAGTAGGGATATTTTCAAAAGGTAATTTTCTAAATAAAAAAAAAAAATTCAGTGGGGGTGGCTCCCCACACTAAGGCCTTCACGGGCATGACCAAAATGGAAAATAAAATATTTCAACATATCCTGTTCCTTTTTAACTCCCTAACGAAAATGAAGGTTCTCATTATAAAATCACTTGACTGTATTTACATGTGTATTTCTTTCTTGACTAGGTGGGTGGGTTGGTTATTTCTCATATGATACGGTGCGCTATGTAGAGAAGAAAAAGCTACCGTTCTCATATGCTCCAGAGGATGACAGAAACCTTCCTGATGTTCATCTAGGCCTTTATGACGACGTAATTGTGTTTGATCATGTGGAGAAGGTTGTCTCACTTTCCCTTTCGAACATCCAGTTGTTCTTAAACATTATGCAATTCAGATCTTAGTTTTTTTCGCTGTATGTTGCTTGTTATTTCATTTCAGTTGAAGTTTCCCACTCTGTTTATATGAATTGTAACTGTTTTGCTGAAGCTTTTACACTCCTACATAGAGGGCATTTCATTTACCTGTTTTAAGATCCTGAGTTAGATTATTGAAAGTACTTTTAAAATGTCGAGTTTAGAATCAAGTGTTTGTCCAATTCATGGAAAAATTAAGAAGCCATGTTTAGAATCAAGTGTTTGTCCAATTCATGGATTTAATTTTTGAGAAACTGACCACTAGTAGCATTGATTGTTAATTTAAAGTCTCTTTGAGTATTACTGAATTTCTTTTTACATGATAATTTGGTCAACCTCAGAAGGCATATGTGATACACTGGGTGCAATTAGATCAATTTTCTTCTGCTGAGGAAGCCTTTAATGATGGAATGCGCCAGTTAGAAACTTTAGTGTCTAGAGTGCACGATATAGCTCCGTGAGTAATCAATTTCATGCTTATGAACACTCCTTTCCTTGTGTTATTATTATTTTTTTTTTTCCGTTTATTTTGAATATGTTAATTTCAGCCCAAGGCTGGCTTCAGGTTTGATTAAATTAGATACTAGCCTTTTTGGTCCTACATTGAAGAAGTCAACAATGACAAGTGAAGCATATAAGGATGCAGTGCTGCAGGCTAAAGAACATATCCTGGCTGGGGATATTTTTCAGATTGTATTAAGTCAACGTTTTGAACGGACAACTTTTGCAGACCCTTTTGAAGTCTACAGGGCATTAAGAACTGTTAATCCAAGTCCCTACATGGCTTATTTGCAAGTGTGTCTGCTTTCCCCTGGAGCTTTTTTGCTGAGGAGGTCATTTTTAAACTTATATTCTGATTTTCTTTGAACTTCTCATTGTCAGGCTAGAGGGTGTATTCTGGTTGCTTCAAGTCCTGAAATTCTTACTCGTGTGAAGAAGGTAAAAGAACTGGTAAACTATACAATGATTTGAGAACTATATAAAACAAACCAGAATCTAAGGAAATATTGAGCGATTTACTTGTTTACCATTTTTTGCATTCCAGTTCTGATAAGACATGTAATGTTGTACATCAAAATTCCAATTTCCAACTGTATTTCCTGCAGAATGATTGCAATTTTACATAACTTCTCCTTTTCAGCAATTCAATTTTAATTGGCACTAAAACATGGATGTGCATATTAATGTACTTTTGTTGGCAGAGAAAGGTCACTAACCGACCCCTTGCTGGAACAATTAGGAGAGGGAAGTCGCCCGAAGAAGATTATATGCACGAAAAGAAACTTCTTAATGATGAAAAGCAATGTGCAGAGCACATCATGCTGGTTGACTTGGGAAGGAATGATGTTGGAAAGGTTTGTGCTCCTTTAAAAATAAAAGAAATAAATTAAAGAAAAAAGGAACTAGATTAATATCATTAATTATGTAGATTAATTCTGCTAGGTTTACGATTAATATCTGTGAGACTTATTCTTGATTAAGTGAGGTATCCCACAATTCCCACTAACTGAATATGATGTTATATAGTAAATGTCAATTGTTTTCTAAGTTTGCATGCTTTGCTTGTATTATTTAAGACCTCCAGCAAACTTCTTCCAAGGATGAAAATGTAAGCAATCACTATGGAAATGTATTTCTTGCTATTGTTGTCTTAGATTTGATAATGCTCATTTTGATGATAAATGCATACATTGACTGCTGGTATGGTACTTCATTGTTTAATTAATCAAATCCAACCTCTTTAGAAATTTAATAGTTTTCCATCTGATAGATGGTTTGTTATTTAGAAGGAGAGAAAGGTGGAGAGAGAGAGAGAGACAGAGAGAGAGAGATGCCTTTTTTATATTCTCCATCGATAGTGCAGATTTTGTTTCACTCTCTTTTACTAGCATATCCTCTTCAACAATTTTATTGATCAATGAATTGTCCACACATGCATGGATCTCTCTCACTTCTGTTCTTGAATGGCCACCCTTCCAAACCTTTGAACTAGTAATTGCAATTGCTTCCTCGCAGAACCAACTAACCTTGCAAATTGCTGCTAATTTCTTCAATTTGTTATTGAATAACTGAAGGCTTGAAAATATACTCCCATCATTTTTTAGGATTTAATGTGAAGATGATACATTGTTCCCATAATTACCAGAGGGCAGAGTCCGCTATTATGCATCATTAGCTTGTAAGGCTTGTGTAGCTCCTTAAGGGTGAGTTTCTAAAACACCATGAAATATGACGGAAGGGTGTAAATCTTGGAACTCAACGTGAAAATTAGTACAAGTTTCAAAACTATTTATCACTGAAACTTTTATATTATAGAAAGGCACTTTAATTTTTGTGTATCTTGGTAATTTCCATTATGGTAGACAACATGATATTACCTGGCAAGACATCCCACTATTTAGTCTCTCCAGGTGTGTTAATGGTGATTATCTATCTATACTTTTTAGTAATCGTGCATTGTCTTTAATTTCTCACAATGGATTAATATTCTGAGAGAACTTATATTTTATTGCCATTATATTGCAACTAACACAGGCAATGCATGCATGCAGGTCTCAAAACCTGGTTCTGTGAATGTTGAAAAGCTCATGAACATTGAACGGTATTCTCATGTCATGCACATCAGCTCTACAGTAAGTGGTTCTTCATTGCAGTTCACAATGTAGGCTGTGTTCATAATGTCCAAAATGACAATAAAAAAAATGTTTAGCGTTTTACCCTTATTGCATGAAAATTTGGATAGTTGTCATTCCCAGCATAATGTTCTTTTTTTCATGGAAAAAAGAAACTTTAAAGTCATGTAAAATAATTTATGAAAATGGAAAATATTTGGTATATGGTGATTTTCTTCTCCCATTTTGTTATAGCTAATTTATTATCATAGGCTTCATAAACATTCAAAGTGTGATGTTATGGCTTGAATTTGGTGCTGAGTCACGTTGCAACCCATTTACGACCTGTTGATTGAGCTTTGTGTTGCGGATCGTGGACGCTATTTTGTACTCTCTTGTAGCCCGATATATAAGGGCGCTTAGGGTTTGGAGTGGGATTATTGAGAGACATTAAAAATAGCAGAAAAAAAGAGTGAGAGTGAGAGCGAGAGCTAGGGTTTGGAGGCTGAAACTTGTAATCTCCAGATTTTTGCATAGTGAATTCTTTCGCCGGATCTTCACCGTGGACGTAGGTTTTACAGAACCACGCTAAATCTTTGTTTCTTTGTGTGTGGAGTGTTTATTTTCTGTCGTGTTTCTTGGGTTCGCTGTGTTTGTTGTAATACAAAGCAATGTATGATGGATTATGCATTAGTCTGTTTTGCTTTTTGTAAACGAATGTGTATGGTAACAGCTTACACCTGCCTTTGCAGGTCACAGGAGAGTTATCTGCTCATTTGACTAGCTGGGATGCTCTCCGTGCTGCATTGCCGGTTGGAACAGTTAGCGGAGCACCAAAGGTTTTCAATCACCTGCTCTCTTCTCATGTGCCAGTGCATGCATCCATTTACTATATTTATTTTTAATGATTCAAGCTGTCTAATCTTGCAAGTAAAAACTGAAAATTGCCGAAGTAGATTATCCCTTGGTCTTTATTCTTTAAAGTGGGGGGCTGATCCAGTAGTTCTTTGGTTAATGCAGTTGGAATGCATAAATGGTGCTGTCACCATTTCCTCGGTCCCACCCTCAACAGAACTCCTGTTGGATAAGCCTTTCTCTTCTGATCTATCCATTATGTTGGATGCCTAGCATGTGGAAGAAGAATGAGGTGCTTAGGGTCATTTTCTGTCAGTTGTGGTGGTCAGTTTTAAAGTTTTTATTCCAACTTGGGAGGGAAAATATTTTAAATGAAATTTCACCATAGAACAGTTCTCCCAAGTTTCTGAATCATATTCTAGTTTAAATAGAAAAATAAAAATAAAAACAATTTTACCAACTATTGACATTATTTTTTGCTGGCTCTACTTTGTTTTCTGTACAAGTGAGAGAAAAATTATTTTCAGCTGGCTCTATTTTGTTTTCTGCATTCTTCTCTTCCTTGAATTATGATGGGTGTAGGGTGCGGTAATCAGATTAGCTGCCCTGTCTATACTAGTAGGATGGTTTTGAGTTGAACATGATGAGTTCAGTTCAGGATATGAAAGGGTGGAAGTTTGGTTTTACACATTTTTTCTTGCCTTTTTTGTTCAAGATATATTATTGTTTTTTTTAATTTACCAAAATAATGAATGATTTGCGTTATCTATCAAGTATCCACTCCCGATCTTGTTTTTTGGGCATGTCTATGGTTATGGGTAGGTTTGCGTTCGAGGCACAATTAATGTTAGTTTGAATTGGTTTAAATTGAGGCTACCCCGTCCCAGAAATAGCCCCAATGCAATCCCTATTCTTACATGTGTGACATTTTTGAATTTCCAATAATAGTTGGAATAGATGATTAGAAAGAAATCTTCCTAGATGTTGCTCCCAACTGTGACCGTGTTGAGATTTTGACATCCATTCAGATTTTTTTTTTTGATAAGTATTTTGACATCCATTCAGATAAATGGTCCAATTAGAACCTTTTGACACTATGTTGAAGTAATGCCTATATACATATAATAGTCATCTACTTGTTTTTGTTACCCTGTGAGAGGGTGCATTTTACATGTTTCTTGTTGATGGCTGTGCGGCTTTACAGGTGAAAGCCATGGAATTGATCGATCAGCTGGAAGTCACAAGGCGTGGGCCATATAGCGGTGGATTTGGAGGCATTTCCTTTTCTGGAGATATGGACATTGCCTTGGCTTTGAGAACTATTGTATTTCCAACTGAAATGCATTACAAAGCAATGTACTCATACAAGGACGTGAATAGTCGCAGAGAGTGGGTTGCGCATCTTCAAGCTGGGGCTGGTATTGTGGCTGACAGTGATCCTGGTGACGAGCAGAGAGAGTGTGAGAACAAAGCTGCGGGTCTTGCTCGAGCCATTGATCTTGCAGAGTCATCATTTGTCAACAAATGAAAAGGATTTCATCCACATGTAAAGATTGTTGTTCGTCATATGTAGTTCAGGAGTAGAAATGCACTTTTGTTTGTGGATGTTTTTGCGTCCCTTGGGGAAGGAAAATAATGGAAATGGTCGTTGTTTGGAAACTGGTGGCATCACTTACTCAAAAAGACAAAAAAAAAAAAAAAAAATTGGAAATGGTGGTTGTTTGGAAACTGATGGCATCGCTTACTCAAAAATCTCCCATATATACACACACACAAGTAAATTAGGCTCTATTTCGACTGCCCTGTGTAATTAGGTCTGATCTTAGGGGTGGGGGTATAATTTACCCTTTTTTTATTTTTTTTTTATTATGTCCTAATTTTTCAATTCCTAGTATCAATGACTCATATGCGTATGTCTTTGAGCAATTAGGTACTTTTATTTTTTTAATATAACATAAAATATCTATCTTACATAAGAATAATTAGGGGCGGAGATAGAATTTCAATTCAGTCTTAAAAAATATATATATTTCAACGAACATGATAAATATAAGAAATATAAGGGTAAGAAATATAAGTATTTGACCAATATAAGAACTAAAATATTATTTAATCATTAATATTTTTATTGAATATAGTTGTAGATTTTTTATTTTGAATATACTACATTAAAATGAATAGAAAAGAAAAAAAATTGCATACGCATATCATTCGTAAGTGCAAAAAGAATTATTTTAAGTATGGAAAAAAAAAATGAAGGAAAAGAAGAAGAAAAAGGAAATATTTGGAAGGAAACAATTAGACTTTGATTGAAGAAGAAAAATTTTACTCTTTTTTTTTTTTTTTTTTTTTTTTTTTTCAAGGAAATCAAAGGAATTTTAAGAGTATAAGAGAGAAGAAAGGGAAATTTAGGATACAATTTTAGAAATTAAAAATTTTAGAAGAGCTTTGTACAGAAATTTTCTTATAAATATTAAAATAAATTAAAAATTAACCATATTTTACGCTAGGCGGGACCAGACCAGGGGGCATGTATCCCGTGGGGCACACTAGTTCTGTCCTTGAGAACAACAATCATTTTACTTTCTTGTCAATGGCAATTTAACCATGCGCAAATTCTTTCGGAGCATTTTTTTCTTCTTTTTTTCTTTCTAGGTAGTAGGATATGGAATTAATACCTAAAAATAGAATACATTGCGTAACATATAATACATTGCGTAAAAATATAATACATTGCATGAAATTTCTAGATAGTAGTTTTTTTTTGTTTTTTTTTTTTGGTGCTATCGTGGTTATTTGGGGATAATTAATTCAAAACTAAAGGCAACGAGGCAGGTTTGAGCTGGAGTCCTTTCCCGCTCCGTTTAAGTTTTTTCGCTTTGTCTCATTTCAAAACATTTCAACAACCGAGTTCTAGCACCTTTTTTATTTTCCCCTTTTTGTTTCATTTAAATTCCAACTCTCTTTTCTTTTTCCTAATTTTTCCAAACAAATTTTTAAAATTCATATTTAAGCAATCCAAACCAAATAAACATTCTTCCAAAATTTGCACCATTGAACTAAATTAACCAAATAAATATAACATTCTTATAAGCCCATCCTCCCACAAAACCATTTAAATGGGTGAGGCAGGACATCCTTAATTCCTTATACAAGAATACCTAAAATTGTAATAAATTAATAATGTAAGGGGTAATATGCAATTAGAATAACTTGAAAACACACTTTGCATTTTTTTTTTTTTAGGAAGGTAGACACACTTCGATATTGTGCGTAAACTGTGTACAACTCCTAAAAGCGGGGGTAAAGTGCAACGGGAACTCATGGCGGCTCTAAACAACCATCTCATCACCCTCCCACGTCACCCACACGCCCCAACTCCAAAACCTAGTTTCTTAACGGTCAATAACGGTCGACACTTCGCAAACCATCCAACACTTTCACTGATCGATCAATGTATCGATACGAAACAGCTCAAACAAATCCACGCTCAAATGCTTCGCAATGGCCTCTTCTTCGACCCATACTCAGCTAGCAAACTCCTCACTGCCTTTGCTTTATCTTCATTCCCAAGCCTTGATTATGCCCAACAAGTGTTCGATCAAATTCCCCAGCCAAATCTCTACACCTGGAACACCCTCATTCGCGCATACGCTTCGAGTTCCGAGCCCATCCAAAGCCTCTTAATCTTCCTCCAAATGCTTCATCAGTGTCCCGAGTTACCCAACAAATTCACTTACCCTTTTGTGATTAAAGCTGCGGCTGAACTTGAAGCTTCGAGGTTCGGAAGAGCGCTTCATGGGATGGTATTTAAAGCTTCACTTGTTTCTGATGTGTTCATTCTCAATTCGTTAATTCATTTTTATGCTGCATGTGGGTGTTTGGATTTGGCGTATCGGGTTTTTGTTAATATACCTATGAAGGATGTTGTTTCTTGGAATTCGATGATTACTGGTTTTGCACAAGGGGATTGTCCTGATGAGGCGTTGGAGTTGTTTCGGCAAATGGAGGCGGAGAATGTGATACCCAATGATGTGACAATGGTGGGTGTTTTATCAGCTTGTGCCAAGAAGTTGGATTTGGAGTTTGGGAGGTGGGTCCATTCATATATAGAAAGGAATCAGATCAATATGGGCTTGACTTTGAGTAATGCGATGCTTGATATGTATACAAAATGTGGGAGTGTTGCAGATGCAACGAGATTGTTTGATAGGATGCCAGAGAAAGATATTGTGTCGTGGACAACTCTGCTTGTTGGGTATGCTAAATTGGGGGAATACGATGCAGCTCGACGTGTTTTTGATTCAATGCCTAATCAAGATATTGCTGCATGGAATGCTCTCATCTCTAGTTATGAGCAGAGTGGCAAGCCTAGGGAGGCGTTAGCTATTTTTAATGAATTGCAGCTCAGAAAGAATGTGGAACCTGATGAAGTAACCCTTGTTAGTACTCTGTCAGCATGTGCTCAACTAGGAGCAATAGACTTAGGTGGGTGGATCCATGTGTACATTAAGAAGCAGGGCATGAAGTTAAATCGTCATCTTGCAACCTCGCTAATTGACATGTATTCTAAGTGTGGGGATTTGGAGAAGGCGCTTGAGGTATTCCATTCTGTTGACACGAGGGATGTGTTTGTATGGAGTGCAATGATAGCTGGATTGGCAATGCACGGGCGTGGTGGTGATGCAATAGATTTGTTCTTGAAAATGAAAGAAGATAAGGTCACCCCAAATGCTGTTACTTTCACCAATGTATTATGTGCTTGTAGTCACGCAGGATTAGTGGACGAGGGTAGAGCCCTTTTCAATCAAATGGGGCCGGTTTATGGTGTTGTTCCTGGGGTCAAGCACTATGCTTGCATGGTTGACATTCTTGGCCGTAAAGGTCGATTGGATGAAGCTATGGAGTTGATAAAGAACATGCCTATAGCCCCTAGTGCTTCTGTGTGGGGAGCTTTGCTTGGAGCCTGTAGACTTCATGGAAATGTTGAGCTTGCTGAACAGGCATGCAGATGTTTGCTCGAGTTGGAGCCTCAGAATCATGGGGCTTATGTTCTTTTATCGAATTTATATGCCAAATCAGGGAAATGGGACAAGGTTTCTGGGTTGAGGAAGCTTATGAGAGATTCTGGACTGAAGAAAGAACCTGGTTGTAGCTCGATAGAGGTCAATGGCGTCGTTCATGAGTTTCTAGTGGGTGATAATTCTCACCCTCTATCCAAAAAAATCTACTCAAAGTTGGACGAGATTGCTGCTAGATTGAAATCAGTCGGCTATGTGCCAAATAAGTCCCACCTTCTTCAACTTGTTGAAGAAGAAGATGCAAAGGAGCAGGCGCTATACCTTCACAGTGAAAAGTTGGCAATTGCCTTTGGACTTCTCAGCTTGGGCTCATCTCAACCAATTCGGATTGTGAAGAATCTTCGTGTTTGTGGGGATTGTCACTCAGTTGCGAAGCTCATATCTCAGCTTTATGATACAGAGATCTTCTTGAGAGATAGGTACCGGTTCCATCATTTTAAAGGAGGCCATTGTTCATGTATGGATTATTGGTGAATATGATATTTGATTATCAAGCATTCACCACATACACTAATAAATTCAATATTGTTATAGTTCTTTAGTTGATGGTGTCCCAAACAAACACGTACTTGATGTCAGCCGGTAGTTTCTAGGAAGATATTTATTTACCAGCAACGCTTGAAACTTGTAAAAATATATATATATCAAGAGAGACATATACAAAGACTTGGAAAGCAAAAAAAAACAAAACTGAACGAATATAACATCATCAACATTCTGACAAAAATCAATATTAAAAAATATTAAGAGAAACACATGCAAAAAAATAACCATTAGACAATAATATTAAAAAATATTAAGAGAGACATACAAAAACTTCAAAACCAATTTTTCGATTTACTCCTAACAGAAAAAACACCCATTTTTGGAAGTTATCCTACGCCTACACAAATGATCGTAACTAATATTTTGTATTAGCATGTATTGAATATTATTTTACTCGCACACAATTACATTAAAATAAAACTTCTAACCCAAAATTCAAGAAATTTTTGTATTTGATTTTAAGGTTAAGTAATAACTAGCTAATTTTGTAGTCTCTCATACTCTGGCTTCACTTCACCCACTCAACAGTAGGACTCGATGAGTATAAATGATATTTCTACCTTTATATAGGTATCCAAGTGCTAAGATCTACCCTGGAAGACTCTTCTGAAATATCTTACATATCTAACCCTACTAGATACTTCTCCATTCTACAAACTCTTCTAAAATCCTCCATCTCTCTATACACTTCAGATATATCTAAACAAATTTAGAAGACTTTAAAGAGTAGTGATCCTGGCCAAAGTGTAACTAGCTAGTTTTATAGTTTCTCATATCCTGCCTTCACTTCACCCACTCAACTGTAGGACTCCATGACCATAAATGATATTCCTACCTTTATATAGGTATCTCCTCTTCCTAATGGACAATTAATGTATTATATCAAGGGGATAAGATCTACCATCTGGAAGACACTTCTAAAATATCTTACATATTTAACTCTACTAGATACTTCTACATTCTATAAACTCTTCTAAAATCCTCCATCTCTCTATACACTTCACATATATCTACACAAATTTAGAAGACTTTAAAGAGTAGTGATAATGGCCAAAGTGTAAAAGTGAATTGCTCGACCTACAACTTTTGATCGACCATTCTTACCAAATATAAGGAATTAGGGTCCCATTTCTTTTATATTTTGCATACATGACCAATTAGAACTTGTCCATCAAGCAAATCACTTTAACTAACCGGCTTAAAAATCATTTTCTGACTTTAAAACCCAACTCTCAGCATAAAGTAGTTTTCAAATTCGCCGGTGTGACATTAAGCTTTTAAAGGAAGCAAAAGAAAATATTGGAAACAGATTTACATTCAACTTGGCAGCATAGACAACATACATTCCTTGAAACCTTAAATTTATAGGATGGGCTTATACAAGTATTTTCCATCTTCGTATGGCTCAAACAAACTCGACGGTCCTGTGAACAAGACAGATATCAGATTCTTACCATACTTCATTGCAACTAATGAGATTCAATAGTCAAAAGTGTATCAGAAATATTACCTATCTAGGCTGTGGTTTTTCTCCTCAGTCCTCATTCATTCCCATTCCAAGAAATGCGTCTCTGATCGACATCAAATCCAAGACGACTCGTCTCATGTTCAATCTGTCTCGTGGAGACTCTGCTGAACAAACAACTCCAATTTGGAAAACAGAAACCAAGCACTCAATCTGTTCACTTCTCAAGTCACTCCAGCTTGAAACTCTCTTATTAGCTTCTCCTGCCACTTCTTTGTACAGAGCTGATTGGTCAATGATCTCCATTATTTGATTTGGCAATGCCAGTTTGACAAAGCTGTGAAGGCTTAAATTATCTTTGAATAATTCATCAGTGGGTCTTTTTCCGGTAAACATCTCTAACAAGAGAATGCCATAACTGTAGACATCTCCTAGAATTGACATCTGACCACCCATGCCGTACTCTGCAAAATTCACAGAACTATACCATTAAGCTAGGACAAAACTTTTATGCAGAACATGAAGTTGGAGATTTGGTGAACTCAGAAAGGTATTAAGTACTGGGATATTATGATTTTTATACATTTTCATAGTGATCTTGTGCCCTAGAATTATTGTTGAAATTCGTGTAAATTTAGAAAATGAACATTACAGGTGCAAGTAAAGATTTAAAACTGCTTCTGAAGACGGTAACCTAAAGAAGTTACCTGGAGCTGCATACCCAATGGTTCCTTTAATCACAAGTGAGCTGGAGTGATGCAAATCAGCATTTTGACTGGATTCTGAAAGAAGTCTTGCCAAGCCAAAATCACTCACATGAGCAGTCAGATCATTGTCAAGGAGAACATTGCTCGGCTTTAAATCACAGTGAACCACTGGTGTCTGACATTGGTTATGAAGATAATTCAATGCAGAAGCCACATCTATTGCAATGTTTAATCGTTGGAGAATGCTTAAACTTTTCTGTTCGATTTGTCCTCCTTCTGGATGCAGCCATTTCTCCAAGCTCCCATTTGGCATATACTGATATACTAAAGCTTTAAAGTCATTGCCGTTGAAGTCAATACTTGAGCAAGCTGTCAGGATTTTGACAAGGTTCCTGTGCCGGACGTTTCTAAAGGCTTGGCATTCAGCCATAAAGCTTTTGGAAGCTCCTCTCTGTTGAAGCTTGAGTACCTTTATTGCAACAATTGTTTGTTCGGGACTGAGAATTCCTTTATACACAGTCCCAAAACTACCTGAGCCAATCAAATTGCATGAAGAGAATCTACCAGTCGCATTGAGGAGCTCTTCATAAGAAATCTTCGGGAAAGAGTGCCCAAATGGAGATGAAGAATGAGGCCTAGTTTTAAGCTTCTTCACACGGTAAAGTGAAAGTATAGATAACAACATCAATGCTAGGCAAGAGGCAAAAATTATTAGCACCAATTTTAATATGTGAGAAATGTGCTTATGAGGCTTCTCAGGTGCTTGCACAGGGCATGGTTTCAAATGTAACTCCTGGACACCCCCACAAAGCTTCATGTTGCTGAGGACTTCAAATGCACTTGCATTTCTGAATACCCCTTGTTCAGGTAGCTCACCCTCGAGATTGTTAAACGATAGATTCAAGTATACTAAAGAGGAAAGATTGACCATATATTGTGGAATTTGGCCTGACAGGTTGTTGCTAGAAAGATCTAAATATCCAATATTTTCCAAATGACTCAAAGCAGGAATGCTTCCTCTGAAGGAATTTCCTTGCAGATAAAGCTGTTCCAGAACCAAACAATTGCCCAGCTTGCTTGGAATCTCACCGGACAATTTGTTATCCGAAATATCAAGAGCAGCAAGATTTGTCAAATTACCAACTGCCTCTGGCAAGGGACCAGTCAAGGAGTTGTGAGAGAGGTCAAGGACTACTGAAAGGGATGAGAGACCTATAAGTTGTTCTGGGATGGTGCCATTGAACTTATTCCGAGAAAGGTCTAAAGACTGCATGTATATACAGTTTCCTAAACTTGAAGGTATGCTTCCACCCAAGCTGTTGTTTCCTAAATAAAGATACAACAACTGAGTGTTGTTGCCAATGGAAGAGGGAATTTCCCCAGTTAATTGATTTGCCTCCAAATGAAGGCGTTTCAGGCTTGAAAGCTTTGCAACGGAAGCTGGAATGTTACCTGTTAGGAAGTTATGATCCATGCTCAGTACATTTAAGTTGAAGAGGTTCTCAATCTCTTTAGGTATGCTTCCACTAATGCTGTTTCCTCCAACAAGTAGACGCGTCAATTGGGTTGACAGATTGGTTATTGAGTGAGGCAACATACCTCCAAACTCGTTGTCGGAAATATCCAGGAACTGGAGCTGGCTGCAATCGGTCAAAGAATTGATGAACTTCAAATCATCAATTGTGCCACTTCCAAGATGATTATTACGAAAATTGAGCCACAAGATGTTCTGTAGCTTGCCAAAATCCATTGGTATGCTACCATTGAAATAATTGTCCGGGATATCAAGCTGTAGAAGCTCTGAAGCATTGGACAATGAAACAGGAATTAGACCAGTGAAGTAGTTGTCTGCCAAATAGAGTCGCTGGAGATTTGGAAAAGCAAAGCCTATGTCGGCTCTGAGATTTCCAGTGAAATTGTTAAAAGACAAAGCTAGGAGTTTGAGGGAGGAGAGATTGTAAAGTGAAAGAGGAAACTCCCCAGAAAGGCTATTCATCGACAACCCAAGTAGCTTCAAACTTCTCAGTTGGGCCATTGTTCCTGGAACTTCTCCATGCAAATTGTTATATGATAAGTAAAGCTCTTGGAGAGAGGAAAGATTTCCGATTGAAGCCGGAAACCTACCTGTAAGATTGTTGTTCTTGAGGTACAATGTCACAAGTTTTGACAGTGACCCAACTTCAGGAGGAATGTGTCCTTTGATATAATTGTGGTCCAGAAAGAGATTCATGAGGTTGGAACAGCGAGAGAGATTAACAGGAATTTCACCATCTAAATAGTTATAGCTCAAGTTCAAACTTCGAAGCCTGAACAAGTGACCAAGTTTTGGGGGAATCCCACCATGGAAGGAATTGTCTGCAAGGTTGAGGAGTTGAAGGAAAGAGAGGTTTCCAATGTGGGGTGATATGGTTCCAGCCAACGTTTGCCGTTGGAGATCCAAACTAGTGACCCTCTGGTGTTTAAAGCCACAAGTGACTCCAGTCCACCAGCAGAAATGAATAGAATCATTCCAAGAGACTAAAACTCCTAGAGGATCTTCAGTGATTTGGGACTTGAACTCGAGCAACGCCAGTTTATCTGTCCCGTTGCCAGGTATGGCCGCGGAAACATATTCAGGAAATGACAAGTTGAGGAACACTTGGACAAGGATGGCATGAAAGGTTACTAAGAAGAATAGGCTTAAACTCATTACAGAAATCTCCATATGGAAGGGAGAGAATAGCCTGATTTGAGCAATGGTGATCAGATTGGTACATAGTGGGTTACAATGAACTTAACAACCTTTTATATTGAGTCTCTAAGACTACATTCCAAAATAATTGGCCCCACAAAAAAAAAAAGTCAGCTAAGCTAGTAGTAGATAATAACAAAAGCAGACACTACTGGCCCAACTTTTTACTCTCTCCTTGTGGACTTTTAGCTAGGAGACATATCTCCATGCATGTTATTATTATACTAGGCCTCGAGTAATGGAAGAAGAAGCTTCCATCACACACACAAACACACACACATCATATGGGAACCAGTAAGATTGAATTGTCTTCCATTCCATGTAAGACGAAACTGTTAGGTGGTTGGGATCAACTTGTGATGAGTGTGAGTCAAACCATTGACAAATTAAACTACTCGTAGACTCTAATGGACCACTTTTGCAAGGTACGTTGCTTGTTGACTAGGGAAGTTTACAGCAAGAAGAGACGATAAAAGAAGCCTAGACACTGTCCCATTATTGATTCTCTCCTCATGTTGTAGTTGACTTGGGAGATGGATCGCATGATATCTAGGATTTGGGTAATTTCTCTACCTTTTAATTCAACTGAAAGTTCAAGCAAGATGTCGATAATGCGCCGCAAAGAGTGACATTTGATAGAACCAGCTTCCATACACCTTCGACTTGGGCAAAACACTTATTTTGTGCAATTTTTTGTTATCAAAATGTGGGATTTTATGTGAAGAAAGTCAGTCAATGATACAATACCATACCTTTCTTTAATGATATATACATACACAAATATATATATATGTGTGTGTGTGTGTGTGTGTGTATACATAGTTGGATGTATTGTAGGAGCTTCTTATGGGAGAAAAAAAAAAAAAAAAAAAGATTTCTTTGAACCAAACAAATATATAAATCAACAAGTAGTAGCTTCTTCCTTTGGCCGTAAGATACTGAGACTGGCTCGTACAGGATGAGCTCATGATTAATGATCACTCAAGCTTAATCACATTTTCAAACTTGTTATTTAATTGAAATTGCTTAGCAAAGACATTTCCTAGCCCACCGAGTACTGGCTTTCATATAAGCGTTGATTTTGACTGAAAAGAATATTGGCTTCATTCTTGGAGCCACATAAACAAAGAAAGAAATATCACACCACATTTTCCATAAAATTGTGGTTTCCTTGGTAATTTAAATGCTGAAATCGTTTGAGCGCTCACACTCTTCATCGTATGTGCATCCAAGTATAATTATGAAGGTAACATTAATAAGCCTTTGTGCTCTGGCTTGCGATTCAAAATAAACTCACCATATCTTCTAACTTTTGCGATTTCCTCGACCATTTTTTTTTCCAAGAGTAATGTTTGGAATCCGCTTTTCAGCAACTCGAAGACCTGTGTATGTATAGTGTGTAGCATTTTGCCTTTTGTTTATATATATATACATACACACTAGCTCACTTATAAAAATTAAAGAAGAAACTGAAGAGCAAAGACATGTACAGCTCAGACCTGCTTGACAGTTGACATTCAGGTAAAAAAAACATCTCAGCACAATTCAGGCAACCAATTAACTGCTCCTCACATAAATGATTCATGCTTTACGACCAAATGAATGTCAGGTGCTCTTAGAATTTATCTGGTTGAGACAACAATCACGAGATTCACAACCTCAAACACTTGTTACATTCCATGTAAACAGGACATAAGCACTCGGTGACAAACATCTAAATCACGAAGAAAGAAATTCTTCAGCGTCATCCGACCAAAAAACAAAAAAATAAGACAAATTACAGGGGAGAGAGGTAACCTAGACACCACTCACCATTCGTATTGCACGTCTGTGCCTTTCAAAATATAAGTTTCTGCCCTCAAAATTAACAGATTATTTATCTGTGTGATCTATGCCGGTGATCGTCGTCTCTCCCTTTATACTGATGGGAAGAAGAATCCCTGTCATGAGATGACCTTTTGTCCCCTCTCCCGCGGTCTTCTCTGCGATATGATTCTGATTCGTGCCTTCTTGACCTCTTTTCCTCCCTATTGTCATCGTCTTCTCTTAAAGTTGATTCAGAATCATGCTTTCTTGACCGTCTGTCAGTTGCTTGCTTATCCCAGTCTTCCTTGTGAATCATTTCCTTCTTCCGCTCAGATGGTTTCTCAAGTTCTCTGTCCTGATTTCGTGAATTTAATTCACTTCGCTTATGGTCGCTCTTTATTGGCCCCTCATTGCCCTTTACCCTGGAATTCCTTGCTCCTTTGTCAAGTCTTTCTTGAGCAGCAGACTCTAGGACACGATTCAATGGGACAGATTGTTTTTCATTCTTCATTGAACCCTCGAACTTGTCATTAGCCCATCTTGCACTTTTAGTATCCTCATGACCCCACCCGGTGTTTGCAGCTCTCTGTATTTAGAATTTACAAAGCACAAGTAAGCTTATATAGGATAACAGCACAGTGAAGGCACTGCTGCTTTCATTGAACCATATAAAGAAATAAGCTGGGAATGACATATTTAGCATGGAAAATCCAATTCCCTAACCCCCAAAAGATTTAAAGGTAATAATTCAAGAAGGGAAAAAACATGGTAGCAGAAGAATCAAGCAATGAAGAAGAAGTTAATAAAAGATAGAAGCTTCAAGATGTATGAAAGCATTCATCTCCTAAACTAATCTTCTAAGATCCAATCACAGAACTGAATTACCCAATAAGAAGGTTGGTACTTAGTAACTGGATCAGGATGCACATGCACCATAATTTTATGTACCCAATATTCTTAATGTCCAAAGTACGGACAGTTCACTTGACATTATTGTGGCCAAGACATTCAACTGTGTAAAGAACTTTTTGGTTCCACAAAACAAGCAGCTGACCACAAATTATACCTCTGGTACAGGTGACAGTACTATCAGCACAATGTATACAAGGGAGCTGGCTGTATTTGAAGATTAGATGTACTGACGATTTGAAGTACTTATACATATTAATCCAGTGGTGTCAGCTAGATTTATATTCCATCATAAGATCATGTACGAAACATGTTCATGTATTAGAAACATTTTAAATGGTCAATCAAGACAAAAACATTTTTAAAATACAACACCACCAACAAATGGATTTCCAATAATTCCAAAACAAAAAATATAACCTATTTAATTGCGAAGGCAACTAATGAATTAAGGTCATGCTATATGGATATTGATAATAGACCAGACTGTCTTGCTCCAGAGCGACTACTCCGCCTAGCATATCTTCCTGCCTGAATGATTAGGGAGGCTTTAGCCCAAGTCAACATCATTCAGGCCGCTCCTCTCCAACTGGAACTGGCTGCCAATGAATTGAATTCTATCAAATATCTATATTTTTCTTTTGAATTACTCATATATATCCTATGAATTTCATTTTGCAGCAGGAAGGAGGGTTCTTTTAAGGTTAAAAAAACCCAATCATCTAGGAGAAGTTCGAATCCGTTCCGTTTGGATATGCAAAAGAGCAGGTTCTTTTATGGTAAAAACCCATTCATCTCAGTTATTTTCCAAGAAAGAGAAGAGAAGAAGTGGTCTTTTATGTTTAAAAAAAAAAAAAAACCATTCATCAAGCTTTTTGTTGAATTTCAAGTATTCATGTTCACCAATAAGATACAGAGACTTACTACCCATTTGGAATTGAGGGATCTGCCGATGACAGCTCCCTTCGATACCAGCAACCACTAATGACCTTAATCCACGTCCCGTCTCATCACAGACAAATGACACAATCTATCTCCTTTCAGGCTTATTCCATGTAATGTTGTCTACCAATCACAATAGGGTAACAATGGAAATTCCCACCCCGAGAAAGATGCATGGAAGAGGTATGCCCAGAGCGGGGAAGGAAGAACAAGCTTATCCCTGCCCCGACGCACAGCTGGTGGGTATCCCATCTCTCCTAAACTTCCCCCAATCACATTAGAAGACACTATGCTAGAACCTGGGAAAACACAATCAAATGACTACTACACCAATAATGTATAGGATACTTCTTGATGCGGTAAAAAAGCACATTCAATACCAAGCCAAGAGCCATTTGGGACCCGTTAGTGATTCAAGTTTTATTTTATGATTCTTTAACTTGCTATGCTGTTAATATAGTTTTATTTAATATATCTTCTAATATTTTGAGGCTATGGGATTTTCTAAAATTTTAGAATTTGCGCTTTAATTAAACTAAATAGGTTTAATGAGTTACATCTAATTTTTTTATTTCAAAGTCCAGGTCCTTGTAGGAATAAAGGAAAAACAAAGGACCAAAAAAAAAAAAAAAAATGTTGAAAAATCCAGCAGCCTAAACATATGTACTTTTTCAAGTAATTTCTGAAACATGGGAATATCTTGTCATGCATAATTTAAGCATGACACTTGAAGAAATCAAAGTGTGGTTACCTAACTTCTTCTTACACTTCTCTTCCTTTTTCTTTTTGGGATAATTACAAAAGAACCCCTGAACTATTATCTTTTTGCAAACTACTACCCTGTGCTTAAATTTTCCTCCTCAACTATAAAGCCTTGCAACTAAGGCTAAGAAGCAAACAGTTGTTAGTCTGTCATAAAATGGGTTGTGAAATTACAAAACTGACCTTACTATCTAGGCTCCAAAGCCACTACACAATTCAGTTATCAAAAAAAAAAAAAGCCACTACACAATTCAGGAATCAATTCTCTTGCTAATTACCCCCTGTGGAGACTGCAAGAGAGGTGATGGCTGCCAGCAAGCCAGAATCTGTGGGAGACTTCTGGATGCAGGAGACGGTGAGAGAGGCGGTGACCGCTGGCATCCGGAGCCGCAGTACTCGGCGAGCACGCAGATTGGCGGCCACCTTTTCGATTTCCTCTTCATCTCTTAGGATGTGTCCATCCTGTCACTGTTGTGGGTGGTGACAATGCTGGACTCGCATCCGGAGGTGCCTGCAAAGGTACAGGAGAAGATGGCTGGGATATGGTTGACAGAATCTGACGATGATCGTGGTGTAGAGCACATAGTTGTTAAAGGCGCCGAAGGCGAGCACCTGAGGCGCAAGGCGCCTCCAGGCGCCACCTTGGCGCCTTGATTGACTTAAGGCGAGTGGTTTGGGATAGGCGCGCGCCTCTTAGACAAAGGCGCAAGGCTACAGGCGAGATGCAAGCGCGCCTGTGTGAAAAATGGGTTTTTTTTTTTTTTTAATTATCTTGGTTGTGTTACTTGTATCTGTTTATTATTTGTTTATTTGTAGTTTTTATTTGTTTATTACAAAATCTACACAACTTGCAAGTTACAAAGCATAAAAAATAAAATAAATAAAAATAAATAAATAAATAAAAAAGAATAAAAGAGCAAAGGAAAGTGGAAAGAAGAGAGTCAAGACTGAAGAGACAGAGAAGAGACAGAAGTACGAGTGATCTGCGAAACGCCGAAGACTAGATCTGCCGGATCTGCATCTGCGCCGAAGCCTGGTAAGTTCTCCTTCCCTCTCTTCTTCTTCTTCTTCTCTCCTTCTTGCTTCTTCTTCTCTTCTCAGTTCTCGGTATTTTTTTTTTTTTTTCTTCTTCTTCTTCTTCTTTTCTTCAGTTCTTCTTCTTCTCTCGGCTCTAGTGACTCTAGTAACTCTCTTGCTCATCTTTTATTTTTTATTTTTTATTTTATTCTACTTTGAGCCGAGTCTAGGCTCTTCTTTTTTTATTTTTTTTTTCTCTATTCTTCTTTGAGCCGAGTCTAGGCTCTTCTTTTTATTTTATTTTTTTATTTTTTTCTTCTTTGAGCCGAGTCTAGGCTCATTTTTTATTTTTTTTTTTATTATTTTTTTTTTTTTCTTTGAGCCGAGTCTAGGCTCTTCGTTTTTATTTATTTATTTATTTATTTTTCTCTATTCTTCTCTCTTGGCTCTCTCTAGTCTCTTCTCTTCTTTTGTTTTTTTATTTTTTATTTTTTTATTTTTCCTCTATTCTTCTTCTCTCGGCTCTCTCTAATTTAACTTTCCTATTTCTAATTTTGTGGATTTAATAGGATATATTCCCAATGATATATGAGTGTAACTGATATTTTTAATTTGTTGATTTAATGGATTCTAGTAATCTAGTTCGTTGATTCAACTTAATTGTGTCGCAATTTATTTTGCCTCATCTTTCTAATATGCCGATAATTAGTGAATAATGATAATTAGTGAGATAATGATGTGCTGGCAGTTGGCTTACTCACCTAAATTTGTCAAAAAAAAAAAAAATCCGAATCTCTTTACTTCATACTTTATATAGAACAATCAATGCGTTTCAGCTTTGTGCATGAAATTTCTTTAGCTGACACGCTTGGATCATCACATCACCCATTCCTTGTAATCCCAATTGCACAGTCTCTCACACACACAACTGCAGGTCTTCATTGCATCATTAAATTAACCTTGTCACCAATATCAGATCAAGGTTGAAGGTGCATCAGTCTACACTTACCAAATTCGGTTTTTTCTGGTCTGTGCAAATACAAAACCACAGGAAAAGCAGAGGTACAAACTTACAAGACTATATATGGACAGGGGTAATGAAATTAACTAATATATATACATATTATTTTAATATTGGTTCGTAGACTTACATCTAGCAAACATGGATATCAAGGTTTTGACATCTTTATGTTGAATATTTAACTTAAGTAATTTATTTAGTTGACTTTTGCATCTTTATATATACTATTGCATCTATAATACTTTATTGAGTGGGTTTTGTTTTTTTTTTTTTTTCAACGTGCGCCTTGCTTCAGTCGGGCACGCGCCTCGCCTTGCGCCTCAGGCTCCAGGAGGCATTTGCGCTTTTGTGCGCCTTGAGCCTTTAACAACTATGGTAGAGCAACTGCCAAAGATGAAGTACACACAGGTGGCGGCAAGGGAGGTCATCAGATTTCAAGCGCCGGTCATGCTGGGGCCACACATTGCGAGGTGGACCTCTGATTGACGGAATCTTACACAATTCCAAAGGGGGCGATAGTCTTTCCATCCGTGTTCAATTGAGAGTGAGACTGGAAGTTAGAGAACCGTGTACTATATAATGCTTAATCAACTGTGACAGAGAGCGTATATAAGATTGAGATCGAGAGAGAGAGAGAGAGAGAGGATTTTGTCCAAATGCTAAATAGGTTTACCTTTCGGGTCAAACACAGGTTGATTCACTGTCAGTTGACCTTAAAAGGGGTAAAATAGGGTTTCCAGAAAATTTGAAAGTCTAGTTGAGTGTCACGTGATGCTTTGGCCATCATCTCCTTAATAGCAACTAGACGGAAGGTGGTGAGTTGTGAGGTTTTAATAGTTCAAGGGGGCAAATTTAAGCACAGGGAGGTAGTTTACAAAAGATAATAGTTCATGGGAGTTTTTTGCAATTAACCATTTATTTTTTTCCCCTTATTTTCTACACTTCTATAGTTTTATAGTTGTATCCATATCTTATTTAACCACTCTTCTCATTTCTAAAAAAACATACGCCCATGGATTCTATCCATCAAGTATTCAATCGAATTAATCCTAACAACCAAAAAAGCCATGAAGATCAAAGTTACTGTTCAAAGCCACGTAGATCAGAACTACTATTCATGGGTTAATGTTCATAACTTAGGAAAAACACTCAAAACCTTCTTTTTCTTTTAGTAAACTCCATCCAACCATTTACCAAAATAAAAAATAAACTCCATCCAACAATTCTTAACCAACCCTCAATCTTTCAAGATCAAACCAAAAACTTAATAGATATAGTTTTAGCACTACCCGCTAAGGATATGTTCAATTACATGGACAAAGAGTATAAAGAAGAGCTAAATCAACTTGATGATGAAGAAAAGGAGGATTTGTCTAACAATGGAATTTAGTAATTTACGATGCTGAAGATTAGAAGAAGGAGAGGATGACAATTATTCCTTTTTGCTGTGAGGCATATACTTGTAGGCCTGGTTGCACCTAATTGCTAGTAGATTGAAGATGTTAGTCAATTCTTCAAACCTCATTCATTGAGGAATGAGGCTATCAAGCTTATGATTGATAGTGGCAGCAACATGAATATTGTATCTTAATCTAAGTTGAGAGGCTAAAATTGCTTACAGAATCACATCCTTGACCATATAAGGTAGAATTGATTAATAGCGGCAACAAACACCATGCCCAATTTCTTTTTTCTGTGGCCATTACAATGATTCTATACACTGTAATATTGTTCCTATGGCTTATTGCTTACTTACAGATCCTACTCGGTAGTCTTTGATAGTTTGATAATATGATCTTGATGTAGATCGATATAAGTAGACCAGCCAATGAAAAAAAAAAGTAGACCATTTCAAAGGGGAGCATGCTGAGAGGGGAAGACTAGATATATGTCTAATTTGATATTTTTTTACACTAAGTAGTTGTTCTCAAATTCGTACTCACTTCCTCAAATTTGTCAGTCCCAACAGTGGACCAGACAATGGCCCCAATCACAATAGGGGAAAAAATATATATTCACCATAGCTTAGTGAGAGAGATTGTTTGGAAGCCTACAAGTATAACTGACGGAAAATTATGCAAAATTGGAGCAAAGAATACAGTTCAAAATCACACTTTCAGCTGTTCAAGGGAAAACTGAAGCAAGACGATCAAAATAAATCTATATTTAGGGAAAACCAGGATACTAAAACTGAAGCAAAATTATTTGACAAGTTGAAAGCATCGCAAAATGCTCCACATATTATTCAAGAAAGGCTAAAGTCAAAATTAAACTCTAGTCCTGAACCTAGCATGCCTTTGGAGGTAATTAATTTGATGTTAGTGCCATATAGTTCCAGAAGGGTGAATTGGCACAATAATAATGACTATGGGGATTATTGATTGCACCTGTTCATCATGGGAAAACTTGCATCCTGCTCCACGGTTACAGTCACCTCTTTGGAAAGCACGGCATACACCTCGTGCCTCCCTCTTCTGCCGCTCCGCCTCTTCATCTTCTTCTTCTTTCTTCTTGTATTTATTAACATGATCAACCCTTATGGTTCGACCAACAACTTGAGCTCCATTCAGATTATCTGTGAGGTAAATCGAAACAGTTAAATCTACAGTTGCGGTATTCAAAGAAAGGTTATCTAAACAATTCTTTGTTATTGTTAAAATGGCACATCTAGAGAGAGAGAGAGAACCAACCAACAGCAAGATTTGTACTTCTTTGATCCTCATATGCAACAAAGGCAAAACCTTTTGATTTACCAGTGCCTTTATCTCTCACAAGATTAACATCAACAATCTCCCCATATCTGGATATATTCAATCATAAGCAGGGACAAATATCAGAAAAGTAAAACAAAATAACCTATTCTCATTAATGATAAATGATGAGCAATAACACGACAGTTGCAGAAAGAGAATATATGAAAAAGATGACACCATAAAAAACAAACTAATAGTTCATGCAACCGAATCTTTATTATAAAAGCTTAACTTCTTTCTAATAGACAAGCAAGATATTTTTCTAAAGATTCCAACTTAGGTTATTTATAAAATTAGTAATGTAGTATTCTCTGTAATGGAAGCTTTCAAAACCACTAACGAAATATGATCATGGACACTTCTTTCACTGATAAATTTCCCTATCTATTTATTCAAACATTTCTCTCTGAGCACCAGCTCTACATATAATGTGTATATTCAGAAACCTACATTATTCAAGAAAACAAGAACGTGTGATCATGGTCATCTCTTTCACTGCGAGGTTCTGTTTAACACTATTATAAGGAAACTTACAGCCAATAAATTAGTCGCTGAAACATTAAGACAAGGAAACTTAAGGCCAACAAATTAGTCGCTGAAATATGCAGACATTTGAAATTAACAATACCTAATTTTTTACAATAATCTCAATTCTCACATATTTGCTGCCACATTACGCAGCTGCAAATTGAAGTGATCAACATCCAAATCCACTTGAATTCCTGTAATCCCCACATTGAAGGGAACCAACTTAAAAAGAATGACACTCTAAGAAACTATGAAGTAATAGGACAATTGCTGAGCCATAGAAAAGGTCCGAATCTGAATTTAAGAACACCTTTAAAGTTTAAACACATGAAGTGCTGGGGCTCAATGAGATTTAAAATTAAAGAATGTGGAATTATGACACAATGATGACTATTGTTGAACCCAATTGGCAACTAATGGTATTTTTTGTCCAAAAAGTCCAAATATCTTGATTATAGTATCAAAATTATGATTGAAATCCTGATTCATTCAAACTTGAATACAACTGGTATAAAGAAGAACGCTTTGCACATCAATGTGGCAAATGCTAGCAACTATTTATATGTAAATCTGCAAGTGATTTTTTATATAGTAGTATTGAAGAACTTCCCTGATTTTTAACTTTTTCATAGTCGAGTGAAATTATAGTTTTTTAATTCATCTTCATTCTCACCAAGAATTCTGAGAAGCAGCTACTTTGTGCAAATCATATCAAAGCTTAGGCCTGTATCCAGTCCACCTCTCCCAGCACCCTCGATTATTGGCAACCGCATTGGATATTAATTACCCTTCATGACCCTCTCAACAAGAATTCTGCCTCCAAGTTGTAAAAATGGAGAAGTTCCTGCAAGTCTACTGTAAATTTTTTTCAAGAATATCCTATGTTAACAGTCATGAAGTTTTAAATAGTTTTGAAAAGACTAAGTGCCTGTTTGGGGGAGCTTCCTGAGCTCAAACGGGCTTCTAAGCCCAACAAGTCCATCCCCAATAATAATCTGTGTTTTGTGAAACTCTTGAAACGTACAGGAGAAACCAACTGATCAAAAGCCCATTCAATAGAAGCTTGATAAACTTGCTTCTTGATCGACTTCACGCAAGGCAAGACTCATTTAAGTAATGAATACCAAAGTTATAATATTGTCCCTATTTTTTTTTTTTCATTTACCGTATTAATCTTATTTATCTAATTTCTCCACCCTCTCTGATGTTCTCTCTATAATCGGTGGTGGTACCTCACCCCTGCCCAGACAACCCTAACGCCGCCGCTCACCTTCCTCGTCTCCTCAGCACTCAAAACACCAAATCCAACGAATCAGATCTTACCTATGGTAGCAGATTCCTCCTTCATGACCCTTCCAACACCATGGGCCTCATCGCCGGTGAGGACAGAGTTGCAATTTACTTTTTTCAATTATTATTTTTGGATACATACATACCTAAGAAGCACGGACACGGATACGGGACACGGATACGACACGACACGGACATGGCGACACGGCAAATCCAAAAAAATTAGGACATGGATACGGCGAATAGTGTGTGTGTGTGTGTGTGTGTGTATATATATATATATATATCAGCATTAATAATTTTAAAAAAAAAACACTGATATGTTTAGGTTGGAATATATATATATATATATCACTAATATGTTAGTATATATATATATCAGCATCTTTAGGACACGGCGAATTGTGGCATCTTTAGGTTAGTATATATATATATCAGCATCTTTAGGGTAGTACAAAACAAAAAATAGAACATATCAGCATTAAAAAAAATTTAAAAAAAAAAAAAAATTAACATATCAGCATTAAAAATTTAAAAAAAAAAAAAAAAAAAATTCCAGAAAAGTGTGTCCGAGCCGTGTCCGAGCCGTGTCCGAGCCGTGTCCGAGCTGTCCGTGCCGTGTCCGAGCCGTGTCCGTGCCGTGTTCGAGCCGTGTCCGAAAATTAAAAAAAATAAAAAAATTACAGACACATTTTTTGGCGTGTCCGACATGTGTCGGGGCGTGTCCGACGCGTGTCCGTGTCCGACACGTGTCGGACACCGATTCTTCGCCCATTTTAGAGTGTCCGTGCTTCCTAGATACATACACATATATTGATATATATATATATATATATATATACGTTTGGGTGTTGGTTATGTTTTAGGGGTGACATCATATAAAACCCATCGTGGTGCCAACACTAATGTGTCTGCATATGCAAATAAAGAAGTTGAGGGTTTATACTTTTCCATTGAAACTGGGTTTCTTCTCTTGTGTGCCATAAAAAGTTCAAGGGTAGAATTGCCAAATGAAATTATTCTAAAATTCTTAACTATTTTTACAAATATATTCACCAACCATCTTTTCTCCATTGAATTATTTTTGGCAAAATTCCTTCTTAAACAACCTTTTGAACAAAGGACTTTTTATGCTATGAAGCTCCCCCAAACACTAACTAAATCAGGTTCTGGAAGTAGTAGTAATGACAATCCTGTTATTCAAGCTTTTGGTTCGTAAACACAAAATATTCTACCACTGATCATCGCATAGTTTCTGGAAAAAGGTGCCAGATTGCCACCACCTCTCAAATTTCTGCTCATTCCCTTCAATAAAGGTTTTACCTTTGTTTATAGCTTCTCAAAAACCTTAATACACACTGAACAATGAATAACTAAGTACCACACATTAATATATTATTTTTTACCTTTCAAATCTTCTTCCGCATTAGTCAAACCGAGTCCCTCAACTCTATCCTGCATTACCAGTACCTACTCACACAAACTCTTCTGCAACAAATTGTAGTCCATAAATAGTAATCATCGAGCAGATTATGTCTCTAAATAGATTAGTGCCCAGACAATGATTTAACCTATAGTTTATGCAAACAAACACAAGTATCGCATTTTGCACTGCCAAAAGGGATAAGGGACCATGACACTCTACAGCCAGACATGGCAAACAGCTATATTTGTGTCATTTTTTATAATAAGACAACTACACTGAAAATTGGCATTTACCATTGCTCATGCTTGTGTTTGTAAGCAGTACAATCTTCGACAATAAACAGCAAGGGGAAAACTGAATAAATAAGATACATAACAAGAAGGTGTCTATAAGCTCTCTTCTGCCAAACAATTAAATGGTAAATAAACTCTACTCTAAATTCCAGCGACAAGTCTTGCACACCAGTTGACATGGATGTCGTGTCTAAAAGTGTACCACATTTGTTGCCGCATGGGAATGCGCAAACAAAAACCTTTCTTTCCTTCTCTTGAAGTAGATATTCAATCTCACATGCAAATGTTGTGACTCTTTAAAGAAATTACAATTCCAAGCGGAACAATTCTACAAAATAAGCAATTGCGAATAAAAAGGCCATTATGGTTCTTTAAAATACTGTCTCAATCAAGCTCTCAAACAAATATTCAATTGCGATAAAAAATGACGAACAATGATACTATAATTCTTCATATATTATCTGAATCAAGTCCTCAAACAAATTCCTTGCAAGAATCTAAAATCAATGTGTGCATGTAGATTTGAATTGGATGGTACTTACTGAGAAAAAATTGCTAGAAGATCACCTTCGGTGAGATCAAACGGAATGCCGCCAACGAATACGTAAGCGGAGTCTTTGTACTTGGCATGCCATGAAGCATCATCTGATATACCTAACGCTGCTTCTTTTGAATTGATCTGCTGAATTCGTTTCACAAGTGTCAACGGATTCATTGCTTGGAGCTAAGATTCGAATTTCTCAAACCAGGAGTCAGAATTTGGAGACTCGATCAGGGCCGGCCCTGAGATTCCAAATATTTTGAAAGGCCCTAGGCGAACTTTCAAATATGAGGCCTTGAGTTTCACATGCGCAAAAAAGAATTATAAGAGTGCGAATTTTACACGATGTTTTCAAATTCTATAGCTAATACAATTGTGCCCTTGTGCATTGTTCTAAAGACAACTAACTAATAACTATAAATTTATCATCACCAACAAATAATTGTGCGCCTGTACAGTGTGCATAAGACAACTAACTAATAAGTATTAATCAATCACTACCAATAAATAATTGTGCGCATGTGTTGTGTGTTTAAGACAACTAACTAATAACTATAAATTTTTATCACCACCAATAAAATAATTGTGCGTGTGTGCAATGTGCATAAGACAGCTAACTAATAACAATAAATTTATCAATTAAAGAGTGCGAAATTTTCACAAGCACAAAATAAAAAAATGAAGAGAACAGTTTACTAGAGAACAGAAAACTGCAGCTTCTTTTACATTCATTGTTTATATAGCTACTAAAATTTGATGATTACAGATGACAAAAATATGTGGAGATGAGGTGACTATATATATATAGGAGGCTGAACTTGTAGTACTGAAGAACTAGTGGGACTTTTAGGTTATATGTGGCCTCCACTATCATATATAGTGGAGGCCACATATATTAACTACACTACACTTTGTTGTGTGTTTTTTTGGGAGCCAATAATCCGCAGTGATTGATTGATCATTGCTACATAAGACCTGCGCAAATTAATAGAAAAAACCATTAACTTTTGTTTTGTTAAAGCCTGCTCTTGATTTCCATGTGTTTGTACATTCTGATGGCAAGTGCTTTGACAGTATTATTAACTGAAATTCTAGCTGAGCCAACTTCAAATAACATCAATAATGGTGGTATGTATCTTCATATAAAAATAAAATAAAAATAAAAATAAAAATACCCTTAATTTGGCACTTTTAATTATGAGCATAATTTAGAGATCGAAAAAGTTAATAATTACCTCAACCCACTAGAAGGGATCCTTAATTTTCATGGGATTGAATGTGAAAATGCAAAAAATTATGAGGAAAAGGGGTATGGCTGCTGCTGTTGTGAGATTGGAGTGGACTTAGGGAGAGGGAAAAAAAAAGTACCTGCCATAGATTATGGACACGATCGCCATGAAAGACACATGTAGAAAGGCACACATTTATTAAAATACTAAGAGAACCATAATATATTCATTCAGCTTTTGATAGCCATCACACACACAGTGACACACACAAAACCCTAGCTACTTTTCACTATTGGAAGGCCCGAATCAAACGAACCAGAGTTAGAACAAATCAAATGATGAGATGAACGAAAGAAAGAAACATATATAAAAGATCGATTCATGCAAAAGGAGAGAGAAGAGAGAAGAGAGAAGAGAGAAGAGAGAGAGAGAGGATGAACATACCTTGTCACCTGAGGCGATAGCGGAGGCTGCGCCCTGCGCAGTGTCGAAGCAGATTGTGTCGTCTGAAACTTGCCCTAACTTATTTTTTATTTTTAGTTTTTTTCCATCCCCTATGGGCCATAAATTTGAGGCCCTCTAAAATCTGAGGCCCAAGGCCACCGCCTTGGTCGCCTTGGGCCAGGGCCGGCCCTGGACTCGATGAAAGTTTCAAATTCAAAACCCTAGGAAATTAATGAATGACAAGGGAACGCAGAGAGAGGAGTGTTCGACTACCTAGTAGCAGAAAGAAACCCTAGATAAAAAAGAAACGAAAGCGATTCATAATACCAAAGACGTATTCGAAGACTCGAGTTTGAAGGAGTGGAGTAGTGACTGTTCTTGGTGGAGCTGAACGACCGAAACCCTAGATTTTCTGCAGTTTCTATGAAACAATGGCAGTTTTTTCCATTTTCAGTTTCTTTTTTAAAAATATAAAAAAAAAAAAAAAAAATCTGAAAATATTAACCACCGCGTCGTTAGTCACGAGACTCACGACCATCTAAACAGACTAAAGTTATAAGTTTGATTTGGGCCTCTGCAGGAACAAGTGGGCTCGAGATGGCTTTACTGGATGAAATGTAGTAGCCCAAACGATGCACTTAATTTTGTTGGTGGGATAAGTGCAAATAAATAAATATTGGTGGGATATAAGTGCAAATAAATAAATATTGGTGGGGTATAAGTGCAAATAAATAAATATTAGTCTTTGACTTTATTGTAAACGTATTTAGGAAATAATATATTGTGAATCTTTTAAAAAAAATAATCGAAAAATAGAAAAATGCAACCTAAATAAATAGATGGAAACTTATATGATTGAATAACCAGATTTCCTTTAACGATTGTGTCAATTTTATTTTATTTTTTAAAAAAGATTTGGATGCTTTGATAAATAAAATTAAAAACAATTTTAACTAAACAAAAACGCACAAATTTTTACAAAAACATATTTATCTATAACAAAACAACCTAATAATATTTTAGTAGTTTATACCAAAAGTATTTATATTTTCTGTTAAATGACAAATTTAAATTTTAGCTATATAATATAATTACTGGTGTTCGCATTCTTGTCATCTTGGTGTCACAAGACTCACATCACTTCAATTTTCCTTCCCTTCCAACTTTACCAACATAACCTTTCAAATCTAAATTTAAATATAAAAATTATGTTAAATATCATTTAAAGCAAAGCAATGATTATGCAACAGAATAAAAACACATATTCTATTTTTTATTATTATTATTATTTGGCAAGGTGAATCGAACCTGGACCATACTACTCAGAATTCATTCTTTTTATTTTCTACCATTTTTTTTTTTTCGTTAAGATAGCAAATGTACTCTCATTATGTAACACTTCAAACTCTTCTATTTCCTTTATTGAAATTAATAAAAGTCATGTGTCAATTTTAAGGCCCGTTTGTGTTTTATAGTGTGTTGTTTTAACCTAGAACTGAACAAGTGTTTTATAATATAGTGTTTTGAAATGAGAACAAAACATGTTTGGCAACGAAAATTTACGGTGAGAATTTTGAAACAGAAACATGATAGAACATGTTTGGCAAGGTATTTCATTTCAAGAAATATGAGAACAAACCATGTTTGGCAAAGTATTTGTGTTTTGTAGTGTTTTATTTATAACTTTATTAAATATAAATTAAAAACTAATTATTGTATAATTTTAGTATACAATTGTGTAATGCTTTAAACATATTAATTGTTACCAAACAAATTTAAAATTACTACTACATTTATAAAATTTGAAAGATAATGTATCATAAAAAAATATATACAGTATATGCATATTTTTATTTTTTATGCTAAATTTTTATTTTGAACTTACATTCTTAAAAATTCATATTTTGATTCAATTGAAGAAAGAGTAATTCGGTATTTTGCAGGTGTGATACCCCTCAGATCCGAGATACGGGTTGATCAGGCCCAAGCCTAAACTCGAGGGAATATCAAACAATTAATATTTTATAATGAACACGGAATACAAAGTGAAATACGAAATAATATATTAAGCTGAAAGAAACTAAAAGAAAATCCTTGTATCATAATTAATCAAATCCGATAATCCAAAACTCCATAAGTTTACAACTCGGGAATCCATCTATTGGACCCCTTATTAAAATTCTCAAACCAAAACTGAATTAATAGAAATAAAATCTAAAGCTAACATAGAGAAGATTCCTACATAATCGGAGGAATGAATATCTGTATCTGCTCAGCACGTCCAAGCTCTAACCCTGGAACTGACGAACACCTGAAAAATAAAAGAGTGTGTCAGGCCCATATGCAAGTCCTGATCTACTACAATCCAACAGTAATCCGATACGCAGATACATCCTAGGAAGACTCAACAATATCTAAAGTAATCCATATATGTATATAGTACACACTATAGGACGCTCGTTAGTCCAATAGATCTATCTCAGCCTGAATAGAAGGCAATATGCAAATACGCACCCTAAGGTGGGTATGAGTACCTAGCCTTACCAGGGAACAACACCTATGTCCAGTTATCCATCCTAGGCGATATACGCGCCCTAACCATGGTCATAAGACTCAAGCTCATACCACGGCACCATATAATATATTTATAAAGTCCGTACTCCTCCTAATACAAAATACCATCCAATTGTGTAGTGGTCTGATATATGTATAACAAATCTATCCTGAAACCATAATAGGTCATTCAATTTATTTGATTGACATGACACAAGTAGATGATAGACTTAACCTTTATGGTTAATTCATATCTTAATCCAAATTAGGTAGGACTTAGTGTTTTGAACTAATCCATTACCAATACAGGTAGGTCTCAGTGTTTTGAATTAAGCCATCCCTAATATGACACCGTCCCATACTGGTTCATATATATCCATATAAGTAGGACTTAACATTTTTATGGTTAATCCAACTCATTCCAAATTAGGTAGGATTTAGTGTTTGAACTAATCCATACCTAGTATGTCACCGCTCCATACCGGTACATACAATCCTCCAATTAACATAGTTGACAAAACAATATTAAATAGTCATCAACCAAATTCCACAGTATGCACAAGATAAGTTAATCTATATACATAAATATTAGGCATTCAATACCGAGCCTAAAATCCAACTTCAATAATGTAAATTGCTACACAATTTGCACACATTTACATTTTCCAACATAATCCACGAATTGATACAATTTAGTACAACTTAAGTATCAAATAAACCCAAGTTAAGCATAAGGAAAATTCAGTTAATTCACTATACTTCAAATACTACAAAATTATGATTTATATATATATTTAAATCATGCACAACAACCTTGCCAAGCTCCAGTATATAACCCTAGCAAATCATCCAATATAGTCTACGAATTAATACAGTTAATGGAAATTTAAGTATCAATTTAACTCAAACTAAGCATAGGTAAGTTTAGTTAATTCCCTATGCTTGTAATATTATAGAAATATGATTTATATATATAATTAAATCATGTCACAAAATCTTACTAAGTTCCAGTGCACAAAATTTACAAAACAGTGAGCAACACCCTAGTTTTTCTTTAACTTTGTATTGCTTCATCCCTTAATCCAACTACAACCTAATGTTTCACCATTATTTTTACAGGTCTACAGTAGTCATCCATATCCTTTAAACCAATTTAAACTGATCAAAACACCCCACGCAGTCAAACAGTGCCCAAAAACAAAACTGGAAGACTGTAGGTGAGAGCAGGCTCTTGAAAAATGCAGAGCCTGCTGCCTGCACTTGTTCAACAAGAGCCGGCTCCAACCCCTTAGGAACTGGCTCCTAGCAAGGTAGAGCCGGCTCCACCTCCTTGGGAGCTGGCTCTAAGAGTAGGAAGAGCCTGATCTTCTCCCCTTAGTTGCTATTGTCCAGTTCTGCTTCATCTTCCTCAACTTTGGTGTTTTCCCCGGCCTCTGTAATGTTCTTAATAGTTGTTCTAGGGTTCAATTTTAGTTCAAGGGTAATCCTAACTCACTGATATCTGACCATAACATGTATGGAACACAACCATTGGAGGCACAACTACAGAAATCTCAGTTAAAAACTTAAGCGATTCAAAACAGATTTATTTAGTAAAAATCGAATACTATTTTTGAAACTTGATTTAAGGTTTAACCCTAGTCCCAACTTAATTATTAGTTATCAATACACATTCATGATCTCAAATTAATCAAAGCTTAAACATAAACACCGAGAAGAGTCAAATAACAGAAATATCAAGGACTTTGCAAATCACCTATGTCAACGAGATTAATATAATTCATACATGCATACAAGACTTGATTTAATGTTTGTCTAATCCGTTTTAGCCTTTAATTAATCCCTGGAGTCTAACTAGGCATGCATAGAACACAAATTAAAGGGAAATAATATAACGGAGACTTACCTTTGAGACTTTGATTTAAAATCTCTAACTGTTGTCTTTATCAACTCTGGCAACGTCGGTTGTGTTAAACGACCTCTGTTGTTCCTAGTTCAGTCCAGTATCATACACCAAACTCCCCTCCTTGATTCAGTCTTAGCTCAAGACCAAAACCCTAGCCTTCCTCTCTTTAGCTATCTTTGTAACTCCCTGTAATCTCTCTCTGTTTCACGGTACGTGAATATGGTGAATGGGGTTTACAAAACCCTTGGCAGACGTATACTTATATATTTATAAGGTTTATTTGAAACCCTAAACCAAACCCTGAAGTAAATCCTAAACCAATTATATGTCGGCTCCAATCCTAGACACGATGTAAAACATGAAACCCTAATACCAAAACAGTGAATTCACATAAGCACGTAATTAATTAAACTTGAGAAAATACATTTAAATTAAAGAAACAAACCAAAATATAATTTAAGCAATTAATTAAAGAAAACACAATTTAAAATGATTAATGAATGAAAAACACAATTAATTGAATTAAAAATAAAATCAATCAAATAAGCAAATAATTAATTAATTAAAACAAGCAAACAATCAATTAATTTAATAAAAACACAATAAATAATTAAATTAAATTAAATTCCAGGACTGTCCTTTTAAAATTAGAAGCAAATAATTAATTAATTAGAACAAGCAAACAATCAATTAATTTAATAAAAATACAATAAATAATTAAATTAAATTCCAGGACTGTCCTTTTAAAATTAAGGGTATTACAGCAGGGCACTACCTTATCACACGAGAATCAGTTTATCTGTATTCAACTATTAACACAAACAAAATCTGAATAATTTCCAGAAAACGATAGTCTCTAAAATGGATCTTTCTTTTCCATCTTCAAATCTGAAAATTGTAGATCACATTCTTAGACAAACATGAAACGCAAACATATATAATTACATATAATATATGCAAGGGGAATAAAACGAGGCTCAGATATGCTTTAGGTCAGATCATATGAGAATGTGACACAACTATGACTGCAACAACAGTTGCCCTTGAGAATAAAAAAAGCATCTCACAGACCATCCGAGTCGCCCTGCCATGAAACGAGTCATCTTCTCGATGACTGATTTGCTCAGATATTTTTCATCACAGCCTTTTGCAAAAAGACCATACAAAATTTAGACAGAGCTTGGGGAGAATATGGATAAAGAGAACAGAATACGAGAATGGAGAGAGAGACGATGAAGAGATAGCTCATCGGACTTTCTAAAACGCCGATTTGAAGCCCGACGGTGTGTAAGAAAGTGTCGTCGATTTGAAGCACAATATCGCCTCTGGAATCGCCCACAAGAGCGCAAAACAAACCCTACTTTTGTGTTGCAACTTTGTTTTATACCCGTTCTGTGTTGGGCCATTTTGTTCCTTCCGCTACAGTGATTTTTGTAGCCTAAAAAAACTTGGAACAAACTGGAACACAAAAATGTTGTTTCAACATTGGGCCCAAATGTTGGGTTGTTCTGCTACTGTTTAGAACAAAACAAGGCGGGCCAAACACGTTGTGGTCTTAAAATGGGAAACTGTAGCGGCACAAGAGCATTACAGAACACTTGGAACACTTCCTAAACATGGCCTAAAATTAAACACTTAAAAACGTGTCATTTGGATTAAAATTAGGATTTTTTTTTTTTTTTTATCATGAAAATACAATAAATAAATGGCACCTAAATTTTTCTTTATTTTATTGGCTGTTGTGTCAAAATCTTTTATTACTGAAAATGTTAAGGCCTGTTTGGTATATGTTTTGTCTTGGGTTGTTTTGTTCCTGGCCCGCCTTGTTTTGTTTTCAACAATTCCACGACATGTCCAGAATTCGGGCCCAAAGTTGAAACACCATTTAGGTGTTTGAGGTTATTCCGATTAATTTTTGGGCTGCACAGGTACTGCAGCGAAAAGAACAACTTGGCCTAACCCACTACATGTATATAACAAACTTGCAACAAATTCTAAGGTTATGTTGTACGCTCTTATCTGGCGATTTCGAAGGCAATTCCAACTGTTCGCTCTCGTCTGGCGATTCCAGCTTTTCTGAAGACTGAAGCTCGATGACACCCAACCCACAGATCTGAAGCTCGACAACGTTCTCTTGAGATTTGAATCTCTCATACACAGTGGTTCATCTTTGAGAAAACCAGGTTTGCCTATTTTCTTTTAAAACCCTAAATTTTTCTTTAATTTTTCTTATCATGTTTGGATAACTGTAATAATTACTTCATTTTAACTCTTTTTTAGGATTTGGATAACTGTAATAACTACTTTATTTTAACTCTCTTTTATGATTTGAATAAATGTAATAACTTGTGCCAATTTTACATTACGCATTTTACCACTTGTACATGCAGTCATGTATAAGATACAGGGTAACATGACACTTTATGCATGCGGAAGGAGTCGAATGAATCTTTATACGACTGGAACTTCAAAGAATTATGAACGTTCATTCTATAGATGTCTAGCTTTAGGGGTATACAATTATTTGCATTAATAATTTTTTATACGTACATGTTATTGTCACAGGAGCATTATAATAATATACAAGTGTTTGATGTTTTAGTCACATGCTTGTTCATTTACATGGTTGGATGACATGTACCAACGTTTGCAAGTGGATGGTCATGTGGATCAAGAGTTGGAGGTTGTAGTTACTGTCATGCAAGCTCAACAAAATAAGCAAATTAAACTACATTATCATTGGCGGTTGTTGTTGTCTTACTATTACTGTATTATTTGTGTTATTACTCATGTTGTTGTTGTTGGTTATTATGGCTATTGACAAATGATATAATATATTAGTTCAATTTTACTTAGATACTTTTATTGTGCTTGTTGACAAGTGGTGTAATATTTATGAAACTCATGTCTGCAATATTTTAAAACTCATGCAATGAGTAATATGTTGAAAGTATATTTCAGTTCGATATTGAAACAATGTCTTCTAGAATTGTCAAAACAATATACATCATTCATAGGTTTTACAATTTATAATATATTTTATTGGTTTTTATAGATTAGTTAAAAAAAATATTGTAAACTAAAACTTAATAAACTAAAATAAACTATAAAAATAAAAATATTAAAAGATATATCAATTGTATAATAAAATTATACAATAATAAAATTTTACTTTATATTTAACAATGTTATAAATAATGTATTGATGAAAACAAATTGAAAACACTCCTTACCAAATATATTTCATGTTTTTGTTTCAGTAATTTTGGATACACTTTTACTCTGCCAAACATGTTTTGTTCTCATATTTCTTGAAACGAAATACTTTTTTTTTTTTTTTTGGTTAAAGAGAAACGAAATACCTTGCCAAACATGTTCTATCATGTTTCTGTTCCAAAATTCTCATTGCAAATTTTCATCACCAAACATATTTTGTTCTCAAAACACTTGTTCTGTTCTAGGCTAAAACAAAACGCTCGGGAACACAACGTATACCAAACGGGCCCTAAGAGTTTAATTGGTAAATAAAAAATAAATAAATAAATTTTTAAATTTTTAGTATTCAACATTCATTTAGTGATGCCCCTATTACTTAATTATGCTATGTTTGGTTAGAAATGAAAAATTTGGATGGAAGAGAGAAAAAAATGAATGGAAGAGACATCCTAGGGAAGAAATTGTCTATTTCCTTATTTTTGTTTGGTAGGATAAAAGAGAAAAGAACAAGCTTATTATTTCATATGTTTGTTAGAAGAGAATTAAATAAAATTTTTAAATTGTTTTTACTATTATATTCAATAATATTTTTAATATTGTAATTTATTGTTTTTAATATTTTTAATAGAGGATAATACTATAATTTAAAACTTATTATAATTTAGGATAATATTTCATTTAATAGTCTACTTGTTTTTCTTCTTTTAGAGCATCTTCCACTGTTTTGTATATATATATATATATATTTGTAAATTGGATGGGTCATATTAGATTTACACACAAATTTTGGATTATTTGTTTTTAGGTCTAGCCGTTATTTTATACATTTTATGTAAAAATATATGTCCTGATAACAACTAACGAGTGTTATGTCTGAAACCACATAATATTTACAAACTTAATTCGTTAATGAAATAAGAAAGAGGGAAGATAAAGGAAATATGTTATGTCATTGTGTAAAAAAGTTGTGTAAAATATATAATAATTTTACATATCAGTGACGTGGCAGTATATCTTAACATACTGTTGGAGATAAAGAAAAATTACACATCATACGTGACAATATTTCATACAAAAGAGTGTTTTAACATATAAGTGAAAGAATGACCCATCATTCATATTATTATTTCTTTTCTTATATCATCTTTACCAAATGCTGTTTCTTCCTTCTTAATTTTTTTTCACACCTCTTACTATTATATCATTCAAATTTTATCTCATTTTAAGACATACTTATGTTTTCAATTATATTCAAATTATGTTATTAAACTAACTTAATTAAATAAATATATAACCCATTCAAAATTAAATATTGAATTAAGTGATCAAATACCACCTCTTACTCTTTCACAAGGGGGTGTGGAGTCCCAACAATAATGTTCCGCGACAAGACCACCAGTCACATCAAACAATTCTTTATTTCCTCACACCATGTCATTTTATATACAAAACATATATGTACTACAAATTCCTATTGTTAAAAATAAAAAATTAAAAAATATTTCCTTCCTTTACAGGCCAAACTGGGCCTAAAAATAAGTCAAATTATTGTAGGAAGGATATTATGATCATATGATATGAGCAGCGAACCGAGTGGACTCATCCTCCCGTCCATCATTCAAGTTCTTCCAAATCCTCTGAAAATATTGAAAGATGGTGCCAAACAATCTCACATGGCGCTTCGCATGCTCGACTTGCAGAGAAACACGACCCCACCATGCTTTTTTTTTCTCTCCCCACCAAATTCAAAAAGCTTCACTTTTTGTGGGCCCATAGTTAGCTGGAAGATAAAGGCGACCATTATACCATGTAGGTGTAGTTTCAGTAACAGTCCTCTCTTTTTCTTTCAAATCTATCGGTACCCACATTGTCTGTTTCAATATCTACCTTTCTTTACTTCTCCGTTACCCATTTACTTATTCTTTAATGGACTTTTAATAGTTTGTATTATTCACTGGTCAAAAGGGTTGAGAATATGGTAAGTTTTGTTCCCTCTCACACTCAAGTTTTGGATCTTCCAAAGATTCATACTATTTTCAAAGCTTCAATTTCGCCCTTTTAGCTATTGGGTCATCAAAATTTTATACAGAGAGGTTTGGTACAGATTTGCTTACTGTATTGTGTTGTTCTTTTAAATTTGGTTGTGTTTTGTTGCTTATTTGTAAATCAAACATTTCATAATTAAACTATTTTTTCTTAGTTAGATGTGGTTTTGGCAATACACACACACTACTATGCGTAGAAGTAAATTACAGACTTGTGTGCTTTGCAAAAATGTATTTGTATTGTGGAGATGGGCTTCGAGCACAAGATATAGATAAATGATAGTAGTATACATTTTCAACTCAGACTATGTTTATCCTTTATTCCTTGCATTGTTTCTTAGTCTTTGTGTTCTTCTTAGAGCTTCTTCACTATGAATCATATGGCTTCTTCTTATTAGTAAAGTCTGTGTAGTGGGTCTTTCTTGCACATGACAGTGCTATCTTTGCTTATCTCCTCACATTTTATCACTAATTGGTGGTTGCGAATTTGCGGACACGCCGGTTTGTTTTTGTTGCGACTCATATGTTCGGGCTTATAGCTTTAACTTTTCTCATCCAATGGGCAATAACTAGATCAATTGGACATCCTACAGAAACAAAACCATCCATTTCTGTTTTTCCTTGGATTCTGAAGGTCCAAAGTTGCTACCAAAGAAGAATGCAGTCAAGTAAATAATTGGCATTATTAACCTACATCATAAAATAATTTATTTTGATTCAATCTTCGAAAGGTTAGGTCTGTCTTGATTCTTGAGTCTTCCCTCCTTAGACCCCTGTTGCGGTAGGACCAGAATTGGATAATGTTTTTTTTTTTCTTTTTCTTCTTTTTCCCTTGAAATTGATTATGTATGTTTGTTGGAGTGCTTGTGCAATGTCACCAGTGTGGCATAAAATAGAGTGATTTCAAATGGACGCAGAAATAAGTTGGACTTATGTAAAATGAGTAAAACGATGTAAAATGAGTAAAACGAATTTTTTGTAATAATTTAGTTTATTTAGAATGTCATGATGTTCATTCATACATGATTTAGATTCACAATTGGGGTAAAATTTGGCAAACATCAGCAGCTTCAGATGTGGCATTTTCCCCTGACATAATGGTCATTTTTGTATGGATGTGGACGTATCAATTTCTTTTTTCAGTACAATATTTGACCTCCTATTTAGTCCGTAAACAATAAATTTTAATGCCTCTACTGCAGGGTATATGCATGAACTGTGGAATGTCTTGTGAAGGGGTGAATATATAGGAGAAGATGTCTCTCTATGATAAAAATATTGATTCAGCATTCCATGGTGCAGGAGCAAAGGCGTATCCTCATTAAGAGTTTCATTTTGCATTATTATACATTTTATTACAGTCTTTGATAACACTTCTATATTGAGTCATGCTTTATCTTGTGCATCTTACCAAGATTTTCGATTTTGACGTATACTAGATAACCAAACACTGAAACATCTTGAAAAGTCAGAAGAAGCACAGGCAGTTACACTTCCAGGGAGGACCCATGTCTCTGTCGGATATGTGACACAAGTGGACACTTCCTGGGAAACTCTGGATACACCTACGACACATTTTATAGAAGTATATTAATTAAATTCTTAATTTTGAACACATAGCCGACATTTCTTGAATACTCGCTGTTATCATTCTGCATTGGATACAATTTGTTTAGCATGATAAAGAGAACAATAATCTTAATCTTGAGAAAAAATTAAATTAAAGGCTATATATAAATTGTGTTAAAGTTACCACCAATGACCTAGTCCAAGTGGTATCTCCTCCTCCCACATGGGAGATTGAGGGTCTTAGTACCCATTGGGATGATAGTAGATGTCTGTACCTATCAAAAAAAAAAAAAAAGTAACATTAAAAAAGTAGTATATTAAAGGAATAGCCAGAGTAGTAGAAGACAGAGGTTACAATTCTTGTAGTACATAAACAAAAAGGTGCACGCATTTATTGCGTGTCCTTGTCAGAACTTCCTCTACATGACAACGGTGATTATTATTATATAGTTGTAAGTTATGAATTTCTTTTAGCCATAATTGTATTTTGAGTTGCTATGAAGCTGTTGTTTTTGTACACAACATTTTTGTATATATAACAAAAGCATTATAACCAGAAATCTGCCAACAATGCAAGAGTTACACTAACATATATGACTATAACAAGAAATTTGTAACTTGTTAATAATATAATTAAATTTACATATGTTGCATGGAGAAATGCATTACAGGATATGACATTTGTATGCACATGTTTGTTTGTTTATGCATGTATAAATTTTAATGTGCGTGTGTGTGTTTGTGTATATATATAGTATATACATATAATTTGACGTCTCTTTTCCTACTCCCATGCTCACTCCTTCAATGAAAAATTATTTATTTTAATTTTAATATATGGCCCAATTTTATATAAACCTTCACTTTGACTTTTCTTTCAATTATACTTTGTTTCCATGCCAAAAAGGAAGTCTAATACAATTATTGATGTTCGTTGATCACATGTAAGAATATATTCAGCAAGCGTTGATCATGTTTTCCTAATTAAGAAATTTAGTTTTAAATCATGGACACGCCCTGGATGTGTTGGATACATGTCCAGGAGTGTCCGAGAAATGTACGTGTCCAACACCTGCCAGACATGGATACAACTGCTTGTTAGAAGCAAGAAACACTGCTGCAGGAAAAAGGTGGTTGCTGTTGTTTTATTTTTTATTTTTTATAAAAGTCTGAATATGTAAAAAACAATTTACTGAAGTAATCAATAAGACTTGCAATTGTTTATTGTTGCAGATCTTTTCTAGTTGCCAAAAGTTACACTGTATCTTTGTAAGCTGGCCAGTGTTAACTTATTTTGATTTTAGTAAGTTGAATACAAACAAGTACCATATTACCCAAGGATGCATTTTACTGGCTGATTAAATTATGAATACATCATTATTATGCATTTAAGTACTTTACTTTATCCATTCCTTAACCTGTATTATGTTCAGTGGTTTAGAAATCTGGTGCATAGAGAACCTCTGGCTAGTTCCAGTTCCAAAGTCTTTGCATGGGAAATTCTTTTCTGGAAGTGCATATGTAGTTTTGAATGTAAGTTTTTTGTAATTTGGCAACTTTGGTTTGAAGATTTTAGCAAATTCGGAAACCCAACTTCTAGTTTAAATGGATGAGTTGATTGTCTGAAGTAATTTCAGACTTTCAGTTACAACTTATACAATTGAAGTTACTTTTGCTGCTGATCTGATCTGCTTTGCGAATGTTGCGACTTCACTTGAGGGTGTGTGTAATTTTTCTCTTTCTTGGCAATGAACTTGACTCTCTTGTACCTTTCAATTGATACAGACGGTTTTGCTTAAAAGTGGGACTCCTCAACATGATATACATTATTGGATCGGAAGGGATGCGAAAGAGGTTTTAACCTTCTCTCCTTGTTATTTTTATTACGTCGATAACATTAAATTGGTAATGAAAGCTGCGGAGGTAGCCTTATGACACTATTGATGCTCATGCAAGGGAATACATAAGACCCGCTGATCAATTAATACCAAAAGTTCCTGCCAAACCATCTCTTAAATTGAAAATCAACATTTGTGTGATTTGATTCATCAACCTTTTTTTTTTTTTTTTTGGTTTTGAGAGAAAAGGCAACTGGTGGAAGCAACCTAAAATTTATTGTCCCAGTAACTTGATGAGATGTTGATATAGGAATCAAGAGGGTGTCACTATCATCTTCTTGTACAACATTTGTTTGGAACTTTATAAAAAAGCAAAGTTGTTGTCTATAAATTTGAACTACAAAAATGATGTCAATAACTGAATTATTAAAGGATGTTTCAAGGTTGTCTACTAATGAATTGGCAGGTGGACTCAGCGATGGCATCTGACAAAGCACTTGAATTGGATGCAGCTTTGGGGTCCCATATTGTGCAGTATAGGGAAGTTCAAGGTCAAGAAAGTGAAAAGTTCTTGTCATACTTCAAACCTTGTATCATCCCAGTTGAAGGAGTGTTTTCTGTAGGACCAGGGGATGCAAACGGTGAAACATACCAAGTCAGCTTGTTAAAATGCAAGGGAGACCGTGTTGTTCATGTTAAAGAAGTAAGTTTTCTTGCTTAATGATTAACCACTGCACTTGTAAGTTTACAAACTATCTTTCCAAATGCTCACAAAAGCTCTAATTATATGTCTGATCCTAAACTAATCTGGTATGATCATTATGGTGTGCCTGCGCCAGGTGCCTTTTACTCGATCGTCCTTGAACCACAATGACGTTTTCATACTTGACACGGCGTCAAAAATTTTCCTCTTCAGTGGGTGCAACTCCCTCATACAAGAAAGAGCTAAAGCTTTGGAAGTTGTTCAGTATATCAAAGAGAATAAACACAAAGGGGATTGTGAGATTGCAACTATAGGTTGGAATTTGATTATTTTCTTTTCTTTATGTAAGGGATATAAATTTCAAAGGTTAACTGTTCATTTGCTTCAGATGATGGAAAATTTGTGGGTGATTCTGATGTTGGGGAATTCTGGAGCTTATTTGGTGGTTATGCTCCCATTCCTCGGGATTCACCCTCAGCTGTTCAGGAACAGCCTGAATTTCCAACGGCCAAACTATTCTGGTGAGTTTTGGCTGAATTTTAGAAATACATCTGTGCTATTGCAATTTTTTTCTTCCTAAATGTTGTCAATCCTGTATATCAGCGCATCCAAAAAGTTTTGCTTTCCCAAAGGCTGATGAATAGTATTTAAATGATTAAATCATCCTAACCAGATTCACAGGGATCAAATATTTTTCCATTTTAATAAGTAGTTGTACATCAGTAAACCGAAAAATGCTTCTATTACTTATTCTTATATCCCAATGTGCAAAAGGGCTGTGCAACTTGGTTTGTCTGACATGATCCTTCCAGTATTATTTTCGCTTTTGATTGTCAGAATGCCTTTATCTTTCGGATTGCTTTAAGGTTCTCTGATCAACAGGATAACTACTCAGGGACAACTATGTCAATGTGGGACTAATACTTTGAACAAGGAAATGCTTGACACAAACAAGTGCTATTTGTTGGATTGTGATACCGAGCTTGTTGTTTGGATGGGAAGAAATACATCAATTATGGAACGGAAGACATCGATCTCAGCTGTAGAAGTAAGAATTGGATTCCCTCCCTTATCTCATTATAATTCACACTTGCACATACCTGTAGTACACAAGAACTCACCAAAAGCACACTCTTTGTATGTATATGCTGTTTTGTGCATATGTATATCGTGGGACACTCATACTGTGTCTTAGTTGCTAGTAGGATTTACAGTGCAAGCAATTTGAAATCCATTCTACATAAAACTATTGGAAGTCCAGTTGTGATAAATAGGATTGAGATACTTTGGTTCAAGCACATGATTAGAATTTTGATGGTGGAAATGGAATTGGTTCAAAGACTGTGAGAATGACTGGGGGAATATGAGCTTGAAAGGATGTGAGTCATGTGACACAGTTAGTAAGAAATGACTGAAATCTAGGTCTGATTAAAATGTGGCTTTTGCTGGCGGCTCTCAGATATTCAAATTGTACACCATATTTCTCAATGCTATCATCATCACTAACAATTGTTTACTCTAAATGTTCAAGAGAACATCATAACTTATTTCATCAACATATGCCCCTCATCCGTGGCTATTCTCTTATGAGTGGTTTGAGCACTTGAGCACCTGAATGTATAATAGTCATGATTCATGAGGGATGCGTTGAGATTTGAGGGTTCGACCCTCTCATTCTGCTTCCATGTCAACAACAAATTATTATAAAAGCTTAAGTCATTAGTCCTTCAATAAGCATGAAGTAGAAAGGCAGGTCTATGCTTACCTTTAATATATTCAACTTCCCAATATATGAATTTGGTCGAGTTTGTAAATTGAATATACTAGAATAAGCCCTCAAATGCTTTTACATCCCAAGCTTTTCTATCAATAGCTTAAAGATTGTTTCTTACTAAACCGAAACCACTTTACTTCCCTGATTACTGGTTTTTCTTTTACAGGATTTCCTCAGATCTCAGGGCAGATCAGTGGGTACCCATTTAACTTTCGTAACAGAAGGATCAGAAACCGCCTCATTTAAGTCATACTTTGGTGGTTGGCCTCAAACAGCAGAGGTGAAGCTGTATGAAGAAGGTCGAGAGAAAGTAGCAGGTTTTGTACCTCTTGCAACAGTTTCTTAGAAAGGAAATGAGAAAAAAAGAAAGAAAAAATAAATAAAAAAAATAACGAGGAAGGAAGAATGAAAAAATAGAACCCTATCAGTATTTGAGGTAATAGTAGTTATTGCCTTATTTTCACCTTCCTTTTAATTTCAGCAATATTCAAACAACAAGGTTATGATGTGAGGGAGCTTCCTGAAGAGGACTGCCGGCCATTTATTGATTGCAGTGGCACACTAAAGGTAACTTCTTTTTGCAAAACTTACCAGTTTCATATAATCATGACTTTAAGCTTGTTTTATCTAGCATTTTGTATTGATGGTATCTTAATATTTTAGGTTTGGCTGGTGAATGGTGATGAAGTGTCCCTAGTTCCGGTTGTAGAACAGAAAAAGCTTTTCAGTGGGGACTGTTATGTTGTGCAATATACATATCCCGGATATGGCAGAAATGGAATGGAGGAGAATCTATTCTATGCATGGCTTGGCCGCAGGAGTGTAATGGTAAGAGTGGTGCATGTATCACAGGTCTCTCTAAAATTGATTTATTTGTTTAAATATGCTTATCGCTATTTTTTAGTCTGATTTGAATAACTTGTGTATTATTCCAATATCTAATTCTGTTACATATATACTTTTAGATGCTTATGATGAATTAAGAGTTTCTATCAAACACAGGCCTTAAAAGTTAGACTTGCATGATTTCATCACAAAAATCTCATGTTTGTCATGTTTTCGTGAAACAATTCTATATTGTCACAGATATCAGTCTCAAACCCATCAAAATTCAAAAGTGTTGTTGACTAATTTAGAAGTAATGTTTCATATAATCCGTGCACTTTCACCTGATAAGATGTTCAAGATGGACTTTGAGAAAGTGAAATCCGTAGTGATAGACTAGAAGAGAAAGTTCATTCATGCATAACCAAGCATCTGCCTGACCTGAAAATTTTGGCTAATATAAGTTGTGCCAGTGGTTTGTAACTTAATCTATCATTACTTACCAAAAAAACTTAATCTATCAGAAATATATATATACACATTTTTTTATTTCTTTGTACTTTTATGTTCTTTTTTATTTACTGAAATGAAATAATAAGCAACAGAACAAAATATTTTAAAAGCTTTTATGTCAATATACTGCAAAAACTGCAAAACTTATGTTGTGAACTATATTTCTTTGTTAGCAATATTTAGGATCTGGCACTTGAATCCATCTATGTTGTATTTTCGTGCTTCTGATCTCTTTCTAGGTACTAATATAGTGTAACTAAGGTACCTTCAATAGTCTTTACTGAGTTTTTAATTCATAAACTTCCCTCCCGTTTTTCATTGTTTTCTCCCATTGTAGGAAGACAGGGCTGATGCTATCTCCAACATGAACACTATTGCTAATTCAACCAAGGGAGATCCAGTTTTGGTTAGTTTTCTCTTTGCATTTCTCATATGTGCAATTTATTGAGATTCATTTCTACTTTGATCTTTAGTTACTTCAGTTTGACTTAACTGATGTGAATATGAGCCAAGCAGATGTTCAAATGTTACTCATACATCCTTCTCTATTTATATATTATAATAGCTAGTGCTCAGTGCATAATCAAACAAATTGTCTTTTTTATTAGAAACTAAATGGCTTCATCCTAACATAATGAAGAAAAAGAATTACTGAAAACGACATGACAAACCCCAAAGATGTATCATGCATTGAACAACTCTCTTTGCGAGCTTCATTTATCATATCACAAGCTACCAACAAAGGAGAAATCGGATCTCCTCTTTTTCTAGCCTCTATATATTTATTGTCTGTGCAATGGGTTAGTTTCTGTTCCTTTATTATTTATTTTTTTAATTTTATTTTGTTGTTTGAATAAGAAAAATGGAATATATTTGAAGCAAGATCTGTTATATAGTTTTGCTTCTTTGTGCTGGACCTAATCAGAGCAATGAGTTGTTATTTAATATAGGAACATTCATTGGATATGAAAAAGAGATAAAATTAAGGATGTTTCTTAGGGTATTTTAGTCCTCTAGAAAACTATTTTTAGCACCATGTCTGCAGCACAACCTGTAGGCAGACTTGATTTATCAGGAGTGCAAGATACACTGATGTCATAGTAGGGTTGAGGGCAGTGTAAAAGCCAGGCAACACTACCCTTGTTGCTTAAGAATCGGATTCTTACTGTCTTCAGAATGATACATTATGTCCTTAGAACTGTAAAGTAAACTTTATACCCAAACTCGTCTCTCTGAATGTTGCCTCAAAGTATAATCAGAGAAAGTAATTGGAGGGATGCCCATTGTGTACTTCATTCACTTTCCAATTAATTTTCTGACCTTGCCTTACCTATGTTTAATAATAAAAAATAAAAAAAATGTTGCATTAAATTTCAAGTGGGAAAAAAAATAATATTTTCCTGTGAATAAATTTCTCTCAGTTTGTGTATGACGACTACACTTCAAATCAAGTCAATTGAGTTCCTTCCACGACTTCTCTTCCATTCTGAAACCTGCCCAAGAATGTTTGGTAATCTAGAGGTAGCACGTGACATAATGGTGTAAATTAGTTGAAATGTTGTTGTCCCATCATATACACACAAACTGTTGATGTGCGCTTCCTGCTTGACCCTAACAGATGTCTTCTACGGCTTCAACTTACATGTTTTGATTTCAGGCTCAAATTGTTGAGGGGAGGGAACCAATTCAATTTTTCTCGATTTTCCAGACATTGATTATTTACAAGGTCTGTACCTCACAGATTTGTTTCTTTTTCCAGTCAAATATGTTGTCTTTTGAGTTAATCTACTATTGAACTTTGATCGCGGTTCTGATTGTTTTGTTCTCCATTTCATATAGGGGGGAATGAGTAAAAGGTACAAGAGGTCTATGGCAGAAAAAAGTATTTCAGATGAAACTTATGATGACACAAAGACAGCTCTTTTTCGAGTTCAAGGGACAAGTTCACTTAACATGCAAGCCATCCAAGTTGATCTGGTAAGTTCAAGTGTGTATTCCACCTTCTTTGGACTCAGAAAGCCTCCTCTGGTATCCCCTTGTCCCCCAAAAACCAACACATGAAAAAGCCTCTCTTTTGTCTCCTCCTTTGGGTGGTCTCTTATGCACTTACACCCATGTTACCGTTTATCTTATGTTGTTACCATGTTGATGTGTGTATCCCAGCAGGTTCTGACTGATGGTATTTGTATGCCTTGACATAACGAATTCTATTTGGATAGAAGAGACGTGTTCCTTGCGTTATTTGAAATTATATTTATGCTTTATATAATTGGTGAATGCAATGTATTATGGTTCAATTCATTATGGAATTGATGTTGTCCACTTGATTGCACGTGAAAGTTATATGTATGTAATAACGTTCAATACAAGTATATAAATCGCAATCATAAATAGTTCATAATCGATAATTAAGGATGAACTCTTATATTAATTAAGATATGAACCGGATCCGCGATAGGTTGATATATATTGTGACAACCGTCATATACAATTGCTCCGTATCACTGTTATGGCATTTTACTCTTAAGCATGAGAGAAGTATAGACTCTTTTATTAATTAATAATTGCTTTGATTTGTTCGGCGGAGTCTTCAGGAACCTATGACCGGCTCTTTGGGTAATTAGTTAATTGATAATTAGAGAGTTATATTCTCAATATTTGCATCGGTGCTACTTATATTTATTTTGTATTGATTACGGTTGATCACAAAGTAAATTCGGAGGCCTTTGTGTATTTTGGACAAAATAGTTTCTATATGTATTTATTTACTAAATTATTTTTTTTGTCAAACAAATGTTTATTGTGATCAAACCGGAAATTAAGGAACCAAAATAAATATATTAATTAAGTGGTCGGATTGATGACTTTAATTATCTGATAGCTAATTATGCATAGAGGGGTCAAATTGCAATATTGACTTAGTGGTTATTTATTATCAGATTGGATTACAATTCTTTTCTCTTAGTAGAGTAGAAATTAATTTATAAATTAATTGAATTGGGTCCATAGTTGTTGGACCGGGTCAATTAGTAATTCATTAGAGCCAAAAGGTTAGTGAGCCTAGGGATTCTCTCCCATAGCCCATAATTGATGTGGAGGCCCATGAGATTGGAGATAGCACTTTTCTTGTAAAGATTGAGAAATACTACACGTGCTTATATAAACCATGTGGCCATGTAATGCGAACAACCTTTGTGCACTATTAGTGTGATATATAGATATACACTCTCTCTCTACATTAAGGTTTTGTGTTCTCATCTCGAAGAAGCTCCCACAAGCTTAGAGCCTCCAAGTTCATCAATAGAGGTCATATGGGGGATTCCTAAAGGCAAGACTACCAATGCAATGGTGGTGCTCCAATGAAGAAGAAGGAGCTAAAGTGGTCTTCATAAGGGAGAACATTCTCTTTGTGGATAGATCTAAAGACTTTCTAAGTCTTGATGTGAGTATTCTAACTCTTATATGTGAATCATCACCTTCGTCTTGTGTGAAAATGGCCTCTACACTTGAATCAAGATCATGGAATGAAAAGTCCTCTTTTAGATTTTTGAAAATCTCCATTTCCCTAACACTGACTTGGCACCGTCCTTTGACATGTAGCTTGAGATTTTTTATCTGCAGAGACAAACATATAGTGCTGAAAGTTTGACAGTTAGCCTATCCTCCATACGTTAACATAAAAATGATGTAAAGTATGTTCCATGAAGTTTTGCCTTCAAAATCAACCTTTGGATTACCCTAGTTATTCATTAAATGAGCTGCCTATTGGATGGAAGCTTCGGAAATTATGTTATGCCAAACTTCACATTAATTAGTGATCCTACTATCCTTTGTTGTCAATAAATTTATTTTTTCATCTAAGAATAATTTCTGTTTGTGTTGGTTTTCCTTGGAAATGGAAGGTTCTGGTAAGTACTTATGATGGTTATTGTACTGCTATTAGAGGGGTTACAGCCTAAGCACTTGAATGAAGTTTTAAGGATTTCTACTCAGGCATTTGAGGGTTTTTCTAATTTTCATTTTTAAAGGGATTTAAGCATTCTTGCAACCATTTGCCTTGATTATTGAGCATCAAGCTCAATGATAAGATCCTTCAATTGTGCTCTTTATTATTCAATGTACAGAACCTGATCAATTCTGTAGACTGTGCTGGATGTTAGTATCCATAAGAATGGTCTGCCTCTTCAATCTCTGGTGCTTACAAGAATGGGCTGCCTCTTTATCTCTGGTGCTTACATGCCAAAAATAGTGCTACTGTAGTCATGATGATTATATGTAATCCTGTTGCAGGTTTCAAGTTCTCTTAATGCATCCCATTGTTACATCCTGAAGACTGAGACATCTATCTTCTCTTGGATCGGGAATCTCTCCTCAACCAGAGACCATGATCTTCTCGACAGAATGCTGGATCTGATAGATGTATGCGTCTACTTTGAGCATATAACATTTTCATGCTCATTGTTCTTTATTTGGCCACTTAAATCAAGCATCACTTTTCTTGATGCCATTTGCAGCCAAGATTGCAACCTGTATTAGTGAGGGAAGGTAGTGAACCTGATGTTTTCTGGAATGCACTGAGTGGAAAGGCAGAATATCCAAGGGAAAAGGAGATTAAAGGATACAGAGAAGATCCACATTTGTTTTCCTGTACCTTTACTGAAGGTAAGCAAAATATCCATGCTCTTAAATTTTTCTTCTCTCAAAGGATAATGTGGTTCTGCCTTTATTCAGAGTTGCCCCAATTATAAAACTGTAAAATCATGTCTAATGGTGGGTTCTGGATCTTTTTGCTGCCGGATGAAACTTTCTTTCAGGCGATTTCAAGGTACGTTTCTATAGGCATTGATGGGTTTTGATATTTGCTGCACTTCCAAGGCATATAATTTTCACAATACAGAAAGCCAAATAAAAATCAGATTCAGTGATTAATTCTTACAGCATATTTGAAAAATTGACAAAGTTGCAAAGGAGTCGAGAGAAAAACAAGAACAACACTTTGTTAATGATTGGCTCCAATAGCATTATAGCAATTACTGCAGTAAAATAGAGACTCAAAGGGCGTTTACATTGCAGGTGAAAGAGATATTCAACTTCTCCCAGGATGATTTAACTACTGAAGATGTTCTAGTTCTGGACTGCCACTGTGACATTTATGTTTGGATAGGACGCCATTCACATATTAAATCAAAGCAACAAGCCCTTACTATTGGCCTGGTAACAACTGCAAAGTGATCTCGAGTGTTCTTCAACCCTCTTAAATTTATTTTGCTTGGGGTGACTGCTTGTATCTATTGATTTGTGCCAATGCCCATATGCATGCTAGATGAGGTCCAATGATGCATTTGCAATATCCTCCCATGCATTGATCCAGTTAATTTTAAACAAATCATTTCATGGTTCCTAATTTGTACCTCAGTTGCTTCAAGTTCTCGATCTCAAGGAATTTTGAAGGCCCTCAAGGCATCAATAAGTTGATTGTTAGCATGATATTTCTTACTTGTATGATTTATACAATTCTACCTCCACAAATATTGTACGTGGACACATATAAAATGATGCGCAGGCACCAACATTTATATATATATATATATATATATATATATATATATATAATGTGATGCAAGATCTAGGATTAGCTGAATCTTTTATGATAGATGATTTTTGTTTATGTTGATGATATCATTTATTTAGAGTTTTGCCTTTGAAGTAACAGAAATTTCTTGAGAAGGACATTCTTGTTGAAGGCCTTTCTTTGGAGACTCCGGTTTATGTTGTTACAGAAGGTTATGAGCCACCATTCTTCACTCGTTTCTTTGAATGGGATTTCTCAAAGGCAAATGTAAGTGAATAATGTCCCATCCCAAAATGAAATTTGTTGAGCTCTTAATTTAAGCTGTGGTTACCTGTTGTTTGTGTTTCCCCCATAAGTTGATTTTGTTAGGTGACCCTTCAAAAATGTAACAAGTACTCCTTTTGGACACAATTCAAAATGGGCATCCAAATGAGGTGTGTTTGAGATGCCTGATCCACTCAATGTGAGTGCAGAGGGAGGGAAACACATCTTTGCAAGGATAGTATCTTAATCTGTCACCAGATCAGATGGTTATTTCAAATGACCTTAATGCCAATGTGGAACTTGTTTAACTGTATTGAAATTTTTGGTGTACCCAAGTGTATTTTTTTTTTTTTTTTGGATAAGTAAGAATTGTATAAAAAAATCCTCAAAAGGGGAGCGCATCCCAAAGGAACAACAAAAAGCAAAAACCACTAAGCCTTCAAAGGCTAAAAAATCTACAATGTCCTCAATAGATCTATAATCTCTACCCCGAAACCCAACAAAAAACAGTGGAAACGATGGAGAATTTCAAAACAGAAATAGGTGACTCTTTTCCCTTAAAGTATCTCTTGTTTCTCACAAGCCAAATGCACCACCAAATACAAAGAGGCGCAGCCCTCCATGCCTCTCTAATGTGAGCCCCCACAGAACAGCCTTTCCAAGCCTCAATCAAACCTCTAGAAGAGCTAGGCATGACCCACAGAAAACCAAACTGGCCAAGCATCAAATCCCAACATTCCTTGGCCAAAGGACAATGCAAAAGAAGATGGTCCACTGACTTTTCATCCCGACGGCACATATAACACCGATTAACCACCACCTGATTCCTTCTTCTCAAATTATCCTGAGTCAAAATCTTTCCCAAGACAGAGTTCCAAGCAAAAAAGGCCACCTTAAGAGGAGCCTTAGAACGCCAAACTGCCTTCCACGGGGAAGGACCTTCAGGCTCTTGAGTGAGACACCTAAAGAAAGACTGCACTTCAAAGCGACCCTAAGCATTGGGAGCCCAAATCCAAATCCAAACATCAGAATCTCCGACCATAACACCCTGCCGATACAACGCCTCTAGAAGACGAATGGCATCGTCAACTTCCCAATCTTGAAACAGGCGCCTGAATCGAACATCCCAAACCAATCTCCCATTATCAAGATGATAACAGTTGATCACCCTGGCCTGCCTATCCGAAGCAATCCTGAACATTCGAGGGAAAACGAGCAAGAGGGATGTCCTCACACCAGACACCCTCCCAAAAACTAATCCGCCTACCATCCCTGAGACGAAACCAAACATGATTGGAAAAATCAACCCAGCCCTGTCGAATAAACTTCCAAACCCCCACACCCCTAGGACCACGCACCTCAAGAGAGCACCACCCTCCTCTACTCTCCCCAAATCTGCTCACCACGACCCTCCTCCAAAGCTAATGCCTCTCCACCCCAAACCTCCATAACCATTTCCCAAGTAGAGCTTTATTGAAAGGCACCAATCTTCTAAGCCCCAATCCTCCATTCCGAATCGGCCTACAAACTTGCTCCCAACGAATCAGGTGAAACTTGAATTCCTCTCCTCCCCCCCCTCCCCCACGCACACACACAAAAAAATGCGCTGCAAACGCTTAATCCTCTCCGCCACCAAGGAGGGAATCTGGAATAGAGAGATAAAATAGGTGGGAAGACAAGAAAGGGTACTCTTGATCAGAGTCACCCGCCCCCCTTTGGAAAGATACTGCTTCTTCCACCCCGCCAACCGCCTCTCAAATCTATCCACGACTAGATCCCAAACCCCCACACACCTCGAAGGAGCACCCAGGGGCAACCCTAAATAAGAAATGGGAAAGGAGCCTGTACGACATCCAAAAATGCTCGCAAGCATCCCGATGTCAGGGACCTCAACAACTGGAACTAAAACACTCTTTCCAACATTCACCTTAAGGCCAGACACAACTTGGAACCAGATCAAAACACATTTCAGATATCTGAGCTCTGCATCACACAGAACCGAAGTATCATTTGCAAACATCAAGTGCGAAATCTCCAACTGACTAGCAACATCCCTGCCCACTCGGAAACCCCTCAGAAAACCCAGCTCCACAGCCCTCCTCATCAACCTGCCGAGGGCTTCCATCACGAAGTGGAACAAAAAAAGGGAAAACGGATCTCCTTACCTCAACCCCTTCGAGCTAGAGAAGAAACCGACAGAGCTCCATTCACAAGCACAGAGAAACGAGCACTGGAAATACAAAAATGAATCCATTTCCTCCATCTCACTCCAAACCCCATCCTCTCCATCAGATAAAGAAGGAAGCTCCAACTTACATGGTCGTATGCCTTCTCGATGTCCAACTTACACAGAACGCCTGGAACCCCACTGTGCAATCTGGAATCAACGCACTCACTAGCAATAAGAACTGAATCCAGAATCTGACGACCTCCCACAAAGGCTTTCTGAGAGTCAGAAATGACTCCATCCAACACCTTCCTAAAGTGTATAAAAGACTAAATTTGAACTTAATAATTACTGTGTCTGTGTTCTAGAGTTTGTATTACTCTGATCTGATATCTGGGCACAGTAAAGGCTCAGCATGCATGCAAAGCATTTCTAAGAAAATGCTTTTGCCATTGCACTAAGCAACCACTCATTTGTCTTCTTGAGACACAATTTGAGTCTACCAGATGTAATTAAACTGTGTAACTCAATTTCTTCCCCTGCAGATGCTTGGTAACTCATTTGAGCGGAAGCTTGCTATTTTGAAGGGAAAAGCACAAAAAATGGAAGTAAGTGATTCTCACAACATTTTTTATACCTTAAGTTATACTTTTATGACATTGATCTTCAAATTTTTTTTTTTCTTTTAATGAAGTAATGAAGTATTTTTTCACTTCACAGTGTCAATTCTAATGAAAGAATGTAGGACATTTGTCTTATTTTTAGGTTGTTTCTTCCCCTTCTTAGAATGCTATTCTACTTACTATGCTTCATCCAAACATTCTTTATATTCAGGCACCTTTAAGAAGTTCACGGAGAGCATACTCTTTGGAGACTACGCCAGAAAGTTTGAGAAGCCGGTCTGTTACTCCCAATGGAATAGGGAGAAGCTTATCTCCTGCATCTGGTGTTTCTGGTGCAAGTTTTAGATCTTCAGATACACGCCGCTTTTCCAGCCCAACTCCAACTACCAGAACACTATTCTCAGGATATTCTCCAGATCTTGATAATGCTGGTAATGCTGCATCCATCCATATGCCAATGAAGAAACTTTAATTATCACTTGGCATGGCATTTGGTTGTACTTTGCAGTGAATCAAGTTTGTGCACTTCCTGTGTGTGCATGTATATGTCCCATGATTATGGGATCAGTAGTAATCGATATCACAGATGCATAAAAAAAAATTATATGTATATCAGGAAAAGAAAAAGGCATCCATTCATAGGAAGGGTTTGAATCTCATGCATGGGGGTTGATCTAATGGGACCTGCTGGCCCGACATTTGAACGAGTTGGATTGTTAAAATCATCTGATAAATTGCATTTAATTGAATGACACTGATTATGACCCTGAATGGCCGTATCATTCCGTTGGGAATTTTCATATAGAGAGTCCTAAGCAATGCAACAACCTCGAAGGTGAATTTAATAAACCTTTACTATCTTTACAAGGAGACCAAGCTTTTCTCATTGGTTATTCTGTTTCCTCTTTCCCCTTTTTTTTTTTCTTCTCTAGTTCTTTCTCTCTATTTCTTCTACTTGTATAAGTAGTGCTGGTTGTTTTGACTCGACTAAACTGTCTGTAAATTTGTTCTTTGCAGATGGATTGTTGGTATCTACAGGTTCTGTAGAAAAAGTGCCAATGCGCAATTCAGAGAAGGCGGGTATCCTGCTGGATAAACAAACTGAAAATGGTGTAAACTTGTTAATCTACCCATATGAGCGACTAAAAGTGATTTCAAATGACCCTGTAACAGGCATAGATGTAACCAAAAGAGAGGTATTCATCTAAAGAAACTTGTTTAATTCACTGTTTTAGACAAATTTTATTAATGCACACGTACTGAAGTTGTAAAATTTGACATTGACATCATGTTTCTATTTACCGTAGTACATTTTTGTCACAGTTGACTTCATCTTTTTTGTCAGTGACAAAATTTATACATTTTTACCATGTCCCGAGATGGACATTAATGAAAACAAAAGTTAAAACCTTTGGGGCACTTATTCCTCTTATAATGATAAGTTCATTTATTCCATGAATTTTCCACGTTAACCTTTTGAAATTTGTCCCGGTAAATTATACTTTTCATATTGCTTCTTTGGTATTGATCATTAGTTCAATCAGTTAAATGTCTGCACTTTCTGGTGGTTATTTGTAGGCGTATTTATCCGATGAAGAGTTTCAAGAGAAATTTGGAATGCCAAAAAGAGACTTCTACGAGCTTCCCAAATGGAGACGGAACAAAATGAAGATGTCTCTTCATCTTTTCTAGAAGCCAGGTGAAAATGTATCTAATGAATTATTTCGTTGCCAGGGATAATCTGTTGTTTTTTTTTTCTCTGAGAGGACTGTTTGTCACACAGCATTTGGAACCCAAACCTAGCCTATTGAATGCGTCATCTTAACTCTTAGTCTCTTAATTCGTAGTTGAATGTAGATTTCCCAGCTTTCTTGAAGAAAGCCTTGATCTAAGAAATCATAAACCAAGGATATTTGTTTTATTGGTAACTGAACTGTACTTTTTTAAAGAATGGAAACATTCTCAGTTCATTATGGCTATTTATAAGAATATTTCATGATATATACATACATGTGCGTGTGTGTGTGTGTGTGTATATATATATATATATATAGAACTATGAAGAAAATTAACAAGACAATTGATGCAAAGATGAGTAGAATGATGTAAAACTACACAGGTAGAAGGAAGACACTTTCCTGTACTCAGCTACTCAATTGTGTGGATGACTGAATGGGACAGGGAGATGAAGGAATATTGACTCTGAATTTAGGTGCCGAATTATTTAGGGACCGAATTTCGGAATTCAATTTATGTGGGAGGAGTGGTAGGTCTTGTTAGAATATATTCTATAACAATTTTTTAGTATGTTTGGATATTATGGATTTTGACTATGCATCATTGGCTTTTTCTCAGGTACAGCTTCAAACAATTTATTAATTTTGGCCGACCACTGTGCAATTAACCTGTAAAATGACAAATGCTATATATATATATGTGTGTGTGTGTGTGTGTGTGTGTCACAATCGTTTGTTGGAACATCCTTTTTCTGATTCTCTCCCTCCCCCAGGAGGGAACAAATCCAAAATATAATATTTGCAAGAGTAGGATTTGTTGTGGAAATTTCACATATTTATAGATAAAATATACATACAACAATGATTCAAGATAATGAACACCACCACCAATCAGAATAATTAAGAATGATTTTTTCATTAAATTGAATAATACATCATTTGAACAATATAGATATAACATTGCACATGAAATTAACAAAATAAATAATTTAGCAATATAATATTAATATTAGCTTAAAAATATAAATTAAGAAGTAAAACGATAATAATAAAATAGGTAAGAAAGTACTAACTTGATTGTTGAGGTATGTGTAAATACATTGACCTAAAGTTGATAGTCCTCCCTTTCGTGCGGGTATTGGTGAAACTAGTCAGCTCCAAGATACAATCCAATCAGCTCGCATCGGCGTCTCCTCCATGTGCACGACCATAGGAAGACTAGGTCCAACTCTATATAAGTTTAGTTGTTCATAAATTCAATATTCAATATTCAAATAACTCTCAAAGGAAAAAAAATAAAATAGGCTCACAACCCTTACAAAAGTGTCACTCTATGATCTTGCCATATACTCAAAAGTCCTTCTACAGATGTTTTATACATAGAGTATATACAGGGAGTAAAATATGTAATTGCTAAGGTATAATAATGATAGAAATAATATACACCATAAGTATAATTTAATTAGTGGAATAAAATCCCATTAAACCATAATATAATATAATTATATTTTTATTAAAATATTCCCAACAATCCCCACCTATTTTAATAAAAAGGGTTAAGTGCAAAAAACCCCCCTCTACTATCGATATAGTGCATATCAGTCCCTGTGTGGTAAAAAAACCCCCCACTTCTGTTGAATAAATTAATGATTATAATACTGGCCATGTAAATTGACCCTTTTGTCCAAATTTGTATAAAATGAGGTTTGTTTGATAGAAGGATAAAATAAACCTCAAATTGTATAAAATAGGGATAACCTAAACCTGAATATAACTAAATCTAAAACCAAACATGCCTTTTCATATTTTAAAATATAAATAAATTTGTCATTTATATATATATATATATATGATGCCGGACGACTCGCACCCACCTCAGTTCAGTCCGGCAAGCTTCACATTCATTCAGTTTAGCGTGCTCCAACTTAGCTTCATGTACATTAACAACAGAGAGAATGAAATCGATAACGTCCACGCAAGCTCCACCATCTACATGCACTACCACTGGTGACCAAACTAGTGAGCCTCAAAGATGAACCAACAGTGTTCTTCATTAAAGAATCATTCTGGCCGGAGTTACATATGAGACCCATTTCTGACGTACTCCACTTCAGATCAGCGAGCTGCACTCAAAGACTCAACAATTTCGATGATCTTCAGTTAGACCCAAAAGCTGCTTCAACACCATTAGCTCCGGCGAGCTTCGTTCAACAATTGGGCGAACTTCAGTCGTGAATTGTAGTGACCCAAAAGCTTCAATCTGGTGACAATCAGTTCGGTGAGCTTCAATCTTAACATTCACTCATTTCTTCTTCACGAAATCTCGACAATAATCGAAGCCTTTATCAGCAATGCGATTTTTATCAGCCTTATACTCTTGATTAGGCCAGTAGTGGAGTCAAGTTACATTGTCTGCAGCTGAAGGTGGGTTCAATATCAGAAGGATTAAGGACATTGACAGTGCAGCTAAGATGACCATGTGTTGGGATATTGTACAGAAAAAAGACGAGTTGTGGATCAAATGGTTAAATGCAGTACATTAAATAGAACTGACTTCTGGTTAGTAGTTCAAAAATCATGTGATTCAGTTGTTTGGAAACATATTTTGGGGGTTCGTGACCTGATATTGGAGAATGTTGGGTTCCAGATTGGAGATGGCAAAAAATTTAAATTGTTAACAGACCCTTTGTGCAATGAACAAAGCTTATTACACTTGTTTGGAGCTGTTAGTTTCAGAAATTAGGACATACAGGTTGGATTGGATTAGATTCTTCTTAATGGCACTTGGGAGTTTCCTGATTCTTTTACAATTCAAATGCAAAATACTTTAAATCAGTTGGAAATTAATCCTGGACCATATCAAATTGTACACTTCTCACAAGTAAACAACTATAAACTCTGCAAAACTCTATTAAATTTTAAAATTTAATTGTGGATTTGCTACGGAAGTTTGGGTTGGTAGATTTGATTTGCTGAAGACAGAGTGGCCCAGTTGTAAAACTTTGTTGCAGGTGGTGGACGGGTTTCTAAAGCACACTTCTCACAATAAACAACTATAAACTCTGCAAAACTCTATTAAATTTTAAAATTTTTCAAAACAAATAACAATTTTACAATACTGAAGCAGTAAAAAGACACACCCAATTCATACAAATCCGATCACACATATCAGACAAACTTCATCAGTTAAAATACTGAATTATCACAATCACCATATATTATACACACGACAACTCACAATCTAATTATACCAAGACAACCCCAAAACCCAAAACTGGTTCTGAGGCAGAGCCTCAAGCACAGATAGAGTCGCTTTCAGTATCAATCATCAGTTAAACTACTAAATTATCACAATCACCATATATTATACACACAACAACTAATAGCTTTAAAATGACAGAAACAGAGTAAGAAATCAGAGGAAACAATTGAGTTCTATTTCAATGCAGGTATAGATCTGTACTGAAATGGTTATATATATATATATACACACACAGATAACAGAGATAGAAACCTGCATATCGAAGAATCTCCAAGAATGTCATCGCAGAGAGAGAAAAGTTAGTGACAGAAACAATGCCGATATGCATGCCTTGTGTGTGTGGGGGATTATATTTGTATACACTAATCAATAACAAACTTAGTGAAATTTTGATGGAGTTTTCTGATAATGGGTTGTATAGAGAAAATGGGTCACCGACAAGTTTTCTGGTAATCAAAGATGGGTATGTGTAATTTCATGATTTTGTTGCTTATATATATATATATGCCCAATACTATTAAATGGGTCAGTGCCATCTGTGATGTATTAATCCAATGTGTGGTGTTCGGGTGTACAAGCTCTGCATTGCGTAAAAGATTGTCTCGTCTACATGGTCACTTACACATCTTTTTGCATTGCGAGGGAGGTCAGCATGGAGAGAGAGAGAGAGAGAGGGAGGGAGCAGTGATCATGTAGAGAGAGAGACGAATTGGTATGAGGGGCCGGGGGCCTTTTATGCACGTGTGGCTGAGGGTCTTTTCTGCACAAATTGTGAGGGGCAAAATGGGAAATAAAAGGGTAAAATGGGGTTTTAAGTTTTACTTTTTATAAAAGTTGTCAAAGGGACAGGTTAGACACCTTTTTTGAATTTTGTGGACTTGCATGTACTTTTTCCAAAAGTAGGGACTTGTTCTGCACAAAGTCTATATATTAGGGATTTTTTTTGCACTTAACCCTAATAAAAATAATAAGTAAAATATTATTAAGCAACTTTATACTATTGAATCGGCGTAGGTGCTTTCTGGGCTTGAACCTACATTTAGTGTGATAGTCTCCATTTGATGAACCTGAATGAACTAAGTCTTGAATTTGGTTCCTTGAGCCAAACTTCAACATACCACACACATAGTATTAATGATAGACTTGGTTTGGCGGGTTAGTGCGATTAATGGCCATGCGCTGGTAGCTTGATTCTTATGAAAGTTCTAGGGAACAGCCCAACTCCCACAGTCGTGGCCTCAGGACAACTTTCACTTAGGTAAATCCTCCAAGGGTATATGTGACCTATACCCTGCAAGAGTATGCTCGCCTCGAATTCATTCAGGGCAAAGCACTTCCTTGACGTCACATCACAACACGGATGCCATAGGGATGAGTAAGAAAGAATCTCCTCGAGAAACCTCCTAAAAAGAGTATTGTCAATGAGTCACGCAGTGCAGATTGTTTCTACCCATTGAACCTTTCGCCATGTGATTAAATAGCCAAGCAGAAGGTTGGGTTACTTCCGTAGGTTACTCCCTTAGGGCTTAGGCCCATCCCCTCGACGTATGTAGGACTATGTCCTAAGAAGACTCTTGGTCTTTTTATATCTTTTCTTCGTGACTCAATTCTTTTTTTATTTTTATTTTATTATTATTATTTATATATATATATATATATATATATATTTCCTTTTTTCACCTCACCACTTCCTTCTTATCAACCTCTTCTTCTTTCTTTCTTTTTTTTTTTTTTTTTTTTTTCAAAATAATACATCACTAAATAATATCTCGTTTGAGATTGATAGTTAGCTTTGTTTATTCTATCCGGATAGAATGTTAGTATATGCTTTCAAATTGTTGCAATATTGATAGTGGCTTGAGAGAAGTGCAAGGCAGAAAACATCACAAACACGTGTGCACGCGCGCACACACACACATCAAAGAAGAGAACCCGGGCAATCCCGTGCGATATCTTTCCACAAAACAAAAAATGAAATTTTGTTAAGGACTAACCTACCATGCAAGCTCACCTACTATGGTAAGGTCATGGTTACGCATTAACAATATATATATATATATATATATATTTTTTTTCCTTCAAGATTCTCTGGTGTCACCTTCTTCAACCTTGGTCTCCATCAACTAGTTTCCAAACAGAGCAAAGAAATGATCTCTCTGATTTAATTGTATTGCTTCACAAAGGCTTCGCAAAGAGCATCTTACACCTTTACAGCTTCTTCAACTTTGATCTATATGTCATTCCATAACTTTGAGAAGGCAGAGGCTGGATTTATCACTGGCACTTTCTTCCTTTGTTGTTACCCCTTCATGCATATGCTCATGTAACTCTCTTTGCACGAGTCAATGAAATCGACCTCTCTGTTTTCACCAATATTCTCTGCTTAATTCTTTCTAGCTGAATGTGTCATATCTTTTTTGTTTGCAACACATGTTTTACTAATGTGATCTTCATTATAACCCGAACAAAAGGAACATGGCTCTGATCAATAGCTTTTGCTCTCTCTCTCCCTCTCTCTCTCTGGACTTCTGTTCAACCACGGCTAATTGCCTTCACTTTTCCATAATACGCTTGTTTTCCTTCGAAGATTGTCAAAGATGTAAAATGGGTTAGAAAAACCTCACCATTCAAAAGAAGTTGATTGCTCAAAATATTATAAATATTTTCCATAATACTCTTGTTTTTTTCCTCTTAGTTTTGTTTATCACGTAGACAATAATTATATATTTGAAAAGATATAACGGTTGCCTAATAAATTATCAGTTTCTATGATTTAAAAGGCCAATAAAATTACCTTTTAAATACCAAAATATATTCTTACAATAATAATAATATCACTACTGCCCATTAAAAATAAATTTGTTTTAAAAATTTGATTAACAAATTATGACCAGCTAATTGATCATAATGGTAAAAAATATACAGGATGCTCCTTCCAATTATAAACAAAGAATCAATTCCGATTTCCAAACAACATATATTTAAATAAATATGTAGTTTTCAGAAACCGTAACTGTTACGATTTGATCTATGCATATAGATAAAAAATCAAGAGCATTTAATGTATTCACAAAAGAGTAAGGCTCTAAACATATAACATCCAATGTAATCAAGGGTGATTTATACTATCTTGCCACTTGCATGCATAAGTCAAAATATAACAGACCAACATTAAGTAAAAATAAAATTAGTTTCAGAAATTGTAAATAACTCAATTACTATAATTAATGGCCGTTACCAATTTTACTCATAACAGATTAATAAGTAACTCATTATTTACAATGATGAAATAGTAGTAACATATAAATAGAAAACATAATATAATAGCATTCTCGTATTATATTAAAGGAAAGACTAGTGACATATACGACAATAATTCATATATCGTTACATAAAACGAGTGTAATCATTTTAAACAAATTATATATATCAAATATAGTAATATGCAACTTACCTAACCCATATCAACTTTTATTAGAGTAAAGGGATGCAACATAAACCAATTACCATCTAATCATATACCCAATATCATACTACCATAAATAAGATTAATAATACTTTAAAAATAATCTACAGCTTTAGACTGTTGTGGAAATTCCACATATTTATAGATAAAATATACATACAACAATTATTCAAGATAATGAACACCACCACCAATCAGAATAATCTAAGAACGATTCTTTTATTAAATTGAATAATACATCATTTACACAATATAGATATAACAGCGCACATGAAATTAACAAAATAAATAATTCAGCAATATAATATTAATTTTAGCTTAAAAAAATAAATTAAGAAAAAAAATGATAATAATAAAATAGGCAAGAAAATGCTAGCCTGATTGTTGAGGCATGTGTAAACACATTGACATAAAGCTGATAGTCCTCCCCTTCGTGCGGATATTGGTGAAACTAGTTAATTCCAAGATACAACCCAATCAGCTCGTAGTGGTGTCTCCTTTATGTGCACGACCACAGGAAGACTAGGTCCAAGTCTGTATAAGTCTAATTGTTCATAAACTCAATATTCAAATAACTCTCAAAGGAAAAAAATAGAATACGCTCACAACCCTTACAAAAGTGTCACTCTATGATCTTGCCATTTACTCAAAAGTCCTTCTATAGATGTTTTATACATAGAGTATATATAGGGAGTAAATATGTAACCGTTAAGATATAATAATGATAGAAATAATATACACCATAAAGTATAATTTAATTAGTGGAATAAAATTCCATTAAAGCATAATATAATATAATTATATTTTTATTAAAATATTCCCAACAGGATTGTGATGTATTGTCATTGATCAAGATTAGACACACTTTCAACTTTTGATCATGGTCTTATCATTTCTATTTTTTAAATTTATTATTATTATTATTATTATTTTGGTAAGAAAGAAGCCTTGCTATTATAGAGAAGAGATCCATTTGGCTTATTTTAATGTTGTTTTTGTATTCTTTCGTAATTGAAAAGAATTGAAAGAACAATGTAAGAAATGGAATTTTGTCAAACTTCAAGGAACATTTTTAAAATAGTCGATCAAATAAAATTTGCATTAAATTATATTTTGAGTAAGACTTTAGGTAGACCACATAATATTTGCCACGAGCCATTCTTTTAAATTAGTCTACTTTGAGAAAGAAAATACTAGTTCACCTTATTCATATTTAAATGGACTCAACAAAAAAAAAAAAAATAAAAAAAAAATCAAAACACTTTAAAACAAAGTTATATGAGTTCCTCAAAAATGGTAGTTCAATTTTGTTAAATTAAGTAAGAAGAGAGAACTTGTATATATTATATTCATACAAATATTCATCGCAAAAACACAAGAATTTATTGATAAAAAACATATGAGAACCAGCATAAATGTTGATATAAAATTTAATTTTATAATCTTAATACAATTCTAATTTTATAATCTTAATATAATTCTTTTTAAAATAATTAGACGCATTTTTAAATTAGGATTTTTTTTTAATTATAAAAAAGGTGCTTATATTGCAACAAGGTGTACACATCATAAATTATTTTTGATCCTTAACATTAAACTCTCTTTTGATAGAAGAGCTATCCATCAATATATTCTTTTAGTACAAGAATTTCATTATTGTAATTGTAATATTTTATTGCCAAAAAAAGAAAAATTTTATAATATTTTACAAATTTTAATAATATTCAAATATGATAAAATTAAATAGCACCTTGATATTCAAGCCCACCACCAAGTCCCAACGATTTACTTGACCAAAGGCTTTAAATACGTGACGTGGTGACGTGCAACTTTTGGTTTCGTTTATTCGCCACTACAAGGTATATACCACGGGGAAGGGCGCACGGGGTAGGTCTTAACCACCCGTCATCGCATCATCGTATGGTCTAAATTTCATTTCATCACCAAAAATTTGACACGTGTCAAGCTATGAGTGCCTAAACGTATACACAAACAGTCTACTTCACACATATTACTGTACTCCAAAGACTTTTATAACTTTTATTTCTTAGTATTTATTTATTTAGTAGTATATAACTGTCTTATCTTCTACTTCATAAATTCATATCACCAGAAGACAACTATCCTCTTTTTTAGTGTTTTTTTTTTTTTCCCCGATCACCGGTAACTAATCCGGTCGCCGGCGAAATGATTACTCGGCGAGCTCTCTTCACCGTTGTCTTCTTCCTCTACCTCTTGGCCCACTCTCACTCTCTCGACTTCCCCTTTCCCAAACCCAAACACAAAATCAAAGGCCCCATCAAAACCCTAGTCGTCGTGGTCATGGAGAACCGCTCATTCGATCATGTTCTAGGCTGGTTGAAGAGGACTCGCCCAGAAATCGACGGATTGTCCGGCAGAGAATCCAATCGGGTGAACGCCTCCGACCCATCATCCCCCAAAATCTTCGTCTCCGACGATGCGCTTTTCGTCGATTCCGACCCGGGTCATTCAATCCAGGCGATACGGGAACAGATATTCGGGTCGAACGATACCTTGTCCGACCCGGCGCCTATGAACGGGTTTGCCCAGCAGGCGGAGAGCATGGGAGTGGAGGGATTATCGAGGAGCGTGATGAGCGGGTTCAAACCGGAGGTCTTGCCGGTTTACACCGAGTTGGCGAACGAGTTCGCCGTGATGGACCGGTGGTTCGCCTCGGTCCCCGCATCGACTCAGCCGAACCGGTTTTACGTCCACTCGGCGACGTCCCACGGCGCTTCCAGCAACGTTCGAAAAGACCTCATCCACGGGTTCCCTCAAAAGACCATTTTCGACTCCCTTGACGAAAATGGCCTCAGTTTTGGGATTTATTACCAGAACATCCCTGCCACTCTCTTCTTCAAGAGCTTGAGGAAGCTAAAGCATGTATTTAAGTTTCACAATTACAAATTGAAGTTCAAATCGCATGCTAAGAAGGGTAAGCTTCCCAATTATGTGGTGGTGGAGCAGCGTTACTTCGATGTGGAGCTGTTTCCGGCCAATGATGATCACCCGTCGCACGACGTGGCGATCGGACAGAGGTTTGTGAAGGAGGTGTACGAGACTCTGAGGGCTAGCCCGCAGTGGAAAGAAATGGCTTTGCTGATTACTTATGATGAGCATGGTGGGTTCTATGATCATGTGCCCACCCCTGTTTCTGGTGTCCCTAATCCGGATGGTATCATCGGGCCTGACCCGTTTTACTTCCGGTTCGATAGGCTTGGCGTCCGGGTGCCGACCATATTGGTTTCTCCGTGGATTGACAAGGGCACCGGTGAGTCTTTGTTTATGTCCAGGAGATCATTATTACTGGCTTATTATTGTTATTACTATTTATTTCTGCATCTAGTTACTGATTAACTAGTTCCAAAATTTTGTGAATATTACTTATTCAAGTCCTGAATTAATGGTCGTATTGAGTTATTTCTGCTGTTATCTTGTTTGAGTTTTTGGTGGTTAAGGTTCATGTTTTGCTTGCTATGGTAGGAAAATTTGGCAAACTTGTATTGTTCTTCACGCATATATAGTTGATTAGGGGAGAAAAAGAAAACGTTGTTAGGAATTTATTGAAATTTTAGCCTTCTATGAAGGCTCAATGTAACCAAAGTAATTACATTGAGTTGGAGGAGTGACAATGAAAAATAAATGAAGTTAGAAGTGAATGCATTCATGAGAACATTGAGAAGTTAGGTGATGTTCAAATTGAGGACTGGTTCTTAAGCGGCAAATCTTTCGTTGGGATCACATTATTTTTCTATACTCAATTCTTGATACTTTCAATTGCTCAATTTTTTCTTTTGTGTCGAGGAGAAACCTGATTCCTACTCATGCCTTCCTTTTGACATTCGTAGAGACTTGACTTCATTTGGATTTTAAGTTTGCTACTTAGTTGGTGAGACAATTAACTAGTTCAAAGTTGTGATATAGCATTGTTTGAAGTAAAGAGATTTTTCTTATCAATTTATAATTTGGAAATTGTCTGCTGTCAATTGTAAGCTTCCTAAGTTTCATTGTAGTTGGAAAATTTAAATTTTGTTCCAAAATCATGATGGTGATTACTAAGACCTTGAGTCGCCGTCTCTCTGCTTTGGCTGCTACCAGAACTAGAATTTGCTAAGGCCAGAGATCTAATTGTAAATTTTTTATGTAGAATTTTGGTTGGGGAAGCCGATCACCGTCTTGGTCTCTAATACAGTACTTAGCCATAAAACTTATTAATTCTTAAATATGTGAAAGAAGTGAGGGTTAGTTAAGAATGGGACTGGTCTGGTATAATGTAGGTTGATATGTGGTAGCACCCCAAAAACTTGAAGTCGATCTAATTTGATTCTTTATAATTTAAGATTTCAACATGTTACATCCTTGGAATCTAATATTTGTTTCACATGTCAGTTGCATGAAGTTGGAGAATGATGACTTGTGCTTGAACTTAGAATGCGTAGTTTTTAATTGAGACTATGACTTTTTTGTGGGAGCCCAAAGTTATCCTCCTTTCTTTTCCTTTTCTAAATAGGTAGGACCAGGGATGGAGCCACCCTATGCCGAGTGGGGATGTCCGCCCCTGCTGATATATTTATTTACATTTTATACCTATGATTTTGTTAAAACCTTAAAAATGCCCCCACAAAATAATTACTAAAACCCCCCATTTATAACCCTGCCCCCGCCGAAGTCTTACTCTTCACACTCGTGTCCTCTCTCTCATTTTCACTCTCTGCTCCTCTGCTTCCCAGCGATTGTAACCCATTGACTCCTTCTCTCTCTCTCTGTGTTGTGAATATCGTAGTTGTTGGCTAATTGTTCTTCAACTATCATACAATGTTTTCAAAATATGAAAAATCGTTGACAACAATTGTAAGTGTATCCAGTGAAAATGTTAATTAATGTTAAAGTTCTTTGTTTACCATGATAGTTGAAATTTTTTTATCTTATCATTGTTCAAGGCCACCCCCTCTTAAATAATTTTTTGTCTCGGTCATTGAGTAGGAGTTACATATTGACATAGAAAGCACAATTGGTATTTTAGTGAGGAAAGGGGTACTCTTAGTAATTTAGTAATAGATGGCGATATAGTAGAAAAGTTGTTTATTGATAAAATTTGAACTTTTGAACTTATTTTAAAATATATCTCAAAAGTAGGACTGACTTGTCTAATGAAAATCTTTTAGGACTTATTCATCTTGAGTGCAAAAGTAGGACTAGCTGGTAAATTTCAAATTCACTCTTACATTCAATTTGAGTTCTGATTCAAGATCTTGTCCAGACATTGCATCTATGTTGATTGGGATAGTTGCTCGCTTGCTTCTAGGTATGCTTTAAATATTTTTTCCATTTGTGTGTCAATCAAATAGCTGAGAAGAAATTTGGTGAGTTGATGTTAGAAAAAGCTCGTAATTGGAAGAATGATCTTGAAGAATTAACCAATATGTATACTGTGAAAATTGCACAACCACAGAAAGACTGATGGTCAAGCACTAAAACTTAGGGTTGCCACACGAATGCATCTTTATCAGTGATAAAGTGAAGTGACTCAAAGAGGTCTTGACCAGGAAATCACCATATATACTTGCCCCTAATTTCAGAGTTAACTGTACTGTTCTCAAGTCCTGGACACCAAAACAATACTTTCCCTAGACACTAGCCACAGGAGTGTATTGCATTATAGCTCCAGCCACTAGAAGACTCAAAATGAATGTTTGGAGAGTTATTGTTGAAAAATATATTGTTTTAGTTATTGTAGCATGGTGGTAAAAAATGACGACATGTCGTCTAAAAGGAAGGTGTAGGTCAAGGTTTGTCTGTTATTGCTATCAATTGAAGTTGAACTGAAGTTCACATTTCAGCTGGTTGTTAAAGTAGTGAGGACACTCCCTTTCTAGCGACACTGTCAATCACTCATTCATCAGAATCACTTCCTATAATAGAAATACCTCTTTTTTTATTGGTTGGGTACGTCTGTTGGGATGGATAAGTTACAACGTGGGAGACAGATTCAATTTTAGACGGGGCTTTCTAATCTTTTTGACTGACCTTATCAATTGCTCAAAGTTGGTGTTTGGGGTCAACTTTTGACATGATAAACACTAAACAGGCATTGGATACCTAATTATCCTGTTTTTGAATCTGCCTTTACATGATGTCTATCTAAAAATATTCTTTTTTTTTTTTTTTTTTTCCCCGGTAATCTAAAAATATTCTTCTTCTACTATTATTGACAATTTTCAGTGTCTAGACGTTTAAACGAGTATATGGTGAGTTTTCTTAGGTTGAGCAATTGTTTCCAAAAAATTATGGTCTTTAGCCTTTCCGATCTTTTATTTCATTGTTCTAATGTATATATTTTAATATTGTTGAGTTCTTTAGCTTTGTGATTGATTCTCAACTATTCTTATGCAGTGATCCACGAGCCAATTGGGCCAACCCCATATTCCCAATTTGAACATTCTTCTATCCCTGCAACTGTCAAGAAACTTTTTAATCTAAAATCAAACTTCCTGACCAAAAGGGATGCATGGGCTGGAACCTTTGAGAATTACTTTTACCTTCGTGACACACCACGCGATGACTGTCCAGGTTTGCTTCAGTCCCTTGTTGATATTTAAATGAGCTATGCATCATAACAAGTGACATATGACTAGCAAAGGTTTCATAATTATGTGATAAAACATGGTGCACTCTTCTCTTTATGCATGTTTCCTTCAAAATTTTATGGTTGCTTTCCATTTCTCAAACAAACATAGACTATTAGAGGTCAAGCCTTCATGGGCATCTCATTGCTCTAAACATTTTGATTCTAACGTAGAAGTTTGAGACCAGGTTACATCTTTGAGATAAAATATGTGGTCCATCATCACAGTCCTAACTGGATCCCATGATCCATATTAGGATATTGTTGTGGAATGATGTAAATCTGCCATTATTTATGTGACTCATTAAGAACCTAAGATTTGGACATGAGTTTCATGAGAGAATAAATTTCTTATTATGATGATGTTAAATTATATTTCATATATATATATATATATATATCTAATTATTCTTACATACATACATATGATGATGATTGAGGTAATGACTATATAATGCGGAAGGGTGAAACAGTATTCATGTAGCCGATCACAAATTGTTGGGAAAAGACTATTTGAGTCTATACGTGTCATGTATTTTCATTTATGAATCATAGCCAACCATTAAATTTGGATTCTTGTACAGAAACACTCCCAGAAGTTACGACATCGCTAAGGCCATGGGGACCAAAGGAAGATGTGGAACTGTCTGAATTCCAAGTTGAACTGACACAGCTTGCATCGCAACTCAATGGTGATTATGTCCTCAATACTTATCCAGATATTGGCAAAAGCATGAATGTGGGTGAAGCCAACCGTTATTCTGAGAATGCAGTTGAGAGATTTTTGGAAGCTGGTAGAGCGGCTTTGAGAGCTGGAGCAAATGAGTCTGCTATTGTTACAATGAGGCCCTCCCTTACCAGCAGAACTCCAAGGACACGCAGTATATCGGCTACTTGAAAACCTATTGATTCCACAGATTACTGGTTGTATCTATACCTATTTGAATTTTCATACTGCTGTTTGTCTGTATGTATGTATGTATATATTTCTTGTTAAACTGCATGATGAACTCATGATCAGTTGATGTCTTCAATACTAATGGACTTTCTAATATTTGAGCACTGCCCCTTTTCTATCTACTATTAGGGTGCTTTCTGGTTGTGCATAATTGAAATCCAATACGGTTTTTTTTTTTTTTTTTCGTGGATAAATCATTTATTGTGTATTGGAATACACATACATTAATACATGAACACATATATATTGGCGCTGTACTTGTCTTTTTCAAACTACTACCTTCACAGGCTTCACGGTGATCACCGTGAAGAAAAGGAGAGTCCATGTATGGTGATGCCGAAATAACAACCTAAGGCGTAAGCTTGCACACGTATTACAAAGAACTGAAAAAAGCAATCAAAAATAGATCTTTCTCGTGCTTTTTAGGAGTGTTCATTTCAATTAACAAGCAGTGAGCGTGTTCAATAAGGAATGGGTAGGTGTTTGTTGTCCTCCAACTTTTATTTTTGCAGGTGAATTCTAGTGGAGCAGAAACAAGTCCCAAAAAAAACCAAAAACAAAATGTAAGTAGAATAATTTAAAGAAAATATTTTTGCTAAAACTTGTTGGTATATTCACATATTTAAAAAAAAATATATATATATTTATATATAATTCACATGTTTCGATTAAAGATATGCTGTTGGAATATTAAAGATACAAAAAATATTAATAAAGACCATTTAAGTAATTATATTGGTAAAAATAATTTGAATGCTTTTGGAATGACCGCGGGTATTGAAGAGAATTGGGGGTGGTGGGGGGTTACCCTTCCTTGTTGAAATTAGGGGTTCTAAACAATATTGCCTGTTTTTATTTTATTTTATTTAAAAAAAGTTTGACGTTAGCAGTGACATTAGCGACCTCAATTCACAACATCCTTTCAAATCTATCCAACCATGGAATTCAAAATCATTTTATCTTTATAAATCAGGCCTTAAATAAGGAAAAATGATAATTTTTACGACATTTTCATATCACGAATGGCTATTCCAAATCTCTCTCATCACATATTAAATGTACCACATTTTTCGGACAAAAATACCCTTTTAATTTCTCTAGTTTTCTTCACCATATATATATATATATATATATATCATTACCTTTTCCTCTACATATTTGTCATTCCTCCATAATTTTATTTTTATTTTTATTTTTATTTTTTGTCAATAAAAAAGTTTTAGTCAACCATATTTGTTTCTCTCTATTCTCTTCAACTACAATTTTATATGTTTTTCATCTCAAAAAAAAAAATAAAAAAAAATAAAAGAAAAGAGAACATTTTGAAGATGGGTTTTATATATGGTAGTTTTTAACAAAATTTATGGTAGTAGGTTTCAATTGAATTTAAGGGAGGAAATAAGGATGAAAGTACCTATTATAAAAATATGTTTCGGCAACCAATCGTTTCGAGAAAACATTGATGGCATTGGGTTTATACTGGGTTTTTCGGCCACGATTTGAAAATATTATGAAATTTGTTAAAGAAGATGAAGGTTGATTGAGTTGGAGAAGGTGAGGATTGCTCTAAGATGAGTTTGGATAGAAAGAGAAAAGATGGTAATTGATTAGAGAAAGAAAAGGGAGAGACCTGAAATAAGAGGATATTTTAGTCTTAAAAGTTTAATGTATTTAATGTATTCTATAGAAAGAATGACATATCGTTATGAATCGGAGTAAATAAATCGGGTGAAATAGCAATATTCCTTAAATAACACCATTCACATAATAAATTTGGCATTTGGCGGTGTCTCATAGAACTTGAATTCAATTCTAGAATGCCAAGCTGGCTTTACTAGATGCTCTTGGGATGCCTGCGGTATTGAAGAAAATAATAGTGTGGAGTCACCCTTCATTTTCAAATAAGGAAGAAAATTAATGGTTTCTATTTTTTATTTTAAAAAAACGGTGATAAGAAGTTAGACAAATCCAAAAGGAAAGGAAAAAAAAGTGATTTATAGGCAATTTTGTTTCTAAAATTTTATTTTATTTTATTTTTAAATGCTGGTAGAATGTAGAAAAAATTTAGATGTATCATTGTGAGAAAGGACATGAGTCTCATTACTGTTGTTATTGATGAGGACAGTTAACAGAGTTCATGCACCTTGGTTTTTTTTAGAATTTATTTGATATAGAGAATTCTATCTCATTATCCTTTTTAAGATATGCTTTAAATAAGATCATTCATGTAATTAAATTGGTGCAAAGCATTTGCCCATGCTTCATAGATCTGGAATTCAAATTATAGAGCGCCAAGTTGGCTTATTAGACACTTTTGGAATGAGTGTGCGTCATTGAAGAGAATAGGGTGGAGTCGCATTTCGTTGCCAAAAAAAAAAACGAAAAATAGTGGTTTCGTTGCCAAGGTAAAGTTGTTTCTATTACACGTGTCGAAAGAATAGCCAGAGTCAGTTAAGTGACCGTAAGAACAGGGCAAATTACTGCTGTAAAAATTGGTATAAATGGTGCGAATTACTGCTGTAAAAATTGGTATAAATAGTTATAACGAACCTAACGATCACGATCCCCGTTTCAGCAAGGACAGTTCTGTCCTTTTACGTCTTCAAAATTCGCGGGGCCACGTCCATCGTTTCCTTCACATTTCATTTCGTGAGCCAAAAATCGCTGAGGTTCGAAGAGTCCGTTTTGAAGCCATGACTGGCTCCCCCATTCGTCTCTTGAACTCCCTATATATATGCACATAGACATATACTTCTAGAGAGAGAGAATCTAATTCGTTTTAGAGAGAGAGGCATTTTGTTTTAGAGAGAGAGAGTGAAGCGATCACTAGGCTTCCCCAATCGTCTTCAACTCAGAATATGCAGATAGTCATGTGCTTCTAGAGAGAGAGAGTAATTTGTTTCGGAGAGAGAAGCATTTTGTTTTAGAGAGATAGAAAGTGATTTTGATCACGAAATTGTGTGCGTGTGAAAGAGAGAAAGAGAGTATAGATCATGGCGGCTTCGAACGGAAGCGAATACTTCGAGTTTGAGATCGAAACTGGAAGCGAGGGGTTTGCGCGACCGTCGAACGCCGAGTCAGTGGCGGAGGACGAAGATGAGCTGCTTTGGGCCGCGCTCGGGAGGTTACCGTCGCAGAAACGGACGAACTTTGCGTTGTTGAGACGTTCGGCGTCGGAATCCGATAGCGGAGAAGAGAAGACAGAGACGATAGACGTCAGGAAACTAGATCGATTCAATCGTGAACTCGTCGTCAGGAATGCATTGGCAACGTCCGAGCAAGATAACTTCAAGCTCCTCTCCGCCATCAAAGAACGACTCGACAGGTATACGCATTTGTGTATATATGTGTGTGTGAGAGAGACTTTGGGATCTAGTTTTAGTGAATTTCTATTCATAAATCCATTTCTTGATTTTCTTCAATTCCTAAAGTCGCATTAATGAACAGGAGTTCCTTTTCCTATTTTTATGCATTTAATTTTTAGTTCTTCATTTATTTTTCTCGGAAATTTGTTCTTCATTTATTATTAGTAAAAAGAAGTAACGATTGTACTGAAGATCGATGTATAAATTCTTGCTTGTGAAACTGGATTTAGGAAGACCTTTGTGAAGTACTTGATGCATTTAATTCTCTGGCTTTTGAATAATTTAAAGAATTTCTAATCTCGATCCATTGATCATTTGTGGACATTTAGTTTGAATTTAGATTTCTAATTTCATTTATATATGTGCTGATTGATCTTCATCTTATTCATCATAAAAAAGAGTGGGAATAGAGGTCCCGAAAGTTGAAGTGAGGTTCGAGCATCTGACTATCACGGCCAACGTGCAAGTCGGTTCCAGAGCTTTGCCGACTTTGGTTAATTTTACTCGAGACAAGTTCGAGGTAGAGTAATTTTTAAATAATTATTTCTCTCTCTCTTTTTGTAAGTGTTCTAATTGAGGCTGGTTATTACTCAATTTTATTAATTTCTCGTAATTGGATGCAGCGTGTCTTAACTGGACTGAAGATTTTTCGTCCAAGGAGGCATGCCTTAACCATTTTGGACAACCTCAGTGGTTCTGTGAAACCAGGAAGGTAAAACACCTCTTCTCTCTTGTTTCTTATAGATTCAGCATATGCATGGTGCGAAAGAAAGATTATTGGCTTTGAATGGCTGTGTGTCAATCACAACAACCATTTTATTTTTTGTTCTGCAATCACCACTATTTGGCAGTCTTTTATATTATTTTTGGATAAGTATTCTGTTACTCGTTGCTGAAGTTTATAAACATTTTATCTCCTGGTCAGTGAAATATTTTTGGTAAGTTTCATTGGCGAAGGTCATCTACACAAAATACATTCTTCTTGGAAAAGGATAGTGTCCATAATTTTTTTTTTTTTTAAATTTTAAAAATGATATTCACACTTCACAAGAGTGCTCTCATACTCCATTTGCTCTTTTTAGTAAAGAATATGAAAAATATAGCTTCGAGCGAATATGACAAATGTTTTTTTTTTTTTTTTTTTGGGTAATGCAAATATGACAAATGTTCCTCAAAAGCATTCTCACACTTTATATTGTTTAAGAATATTTTTATGTCATTTACACTCCACTTTTGAGGAGTCATTATGTCATTTTTATTGAAATATAAAAATAAAAAATCAAGTGAAGTTTGAGTTTTACCTTTTAATACTACAAATATCACTGCCCAGCCTTTTATATGGATAAATGAATGAAACTGAAATTGGCTGTCCAAATTAGTTCTTTCTTTTTTTAATGTTAAACTTTAATCTTCTTAATATGCATTTTAGCGTACTAGTTTATCTCTCATGGCCTCTTTCCCAAAGTTAGTGTGACCATCAGTTAACTAGTGCTGAGAAGGATAGCTTAAGAGTAATTTTAGAAGTAATCTTCAATTGAGCACAAACTAAAAGTTATAAAATACCAATAAATCAGGAAACAAGAGTTCATTGGCAACTTGACAGATAATTGACAAGGATTGGTTTCTATTTTAAACTGTAATCTTCTTAGCATGCATTCTAGCTTACTAATCTGTCTCTTCTGGGGTCCTTCCCAAAGTTAGAATGACCATCAGGTACCTAGTGCCGAGAAGGATAGCTCAGAGTAGTTTTAAAAGAAATGCACTTCTCTTTAATTGAGCACAAAACTAAAAGTTATAAAATACCAATAAATCAGGAAATGAGAGTTGTTAACTTGACAGATACTCTGATAAGGATTAGTCTAATTTTAAAATTTAATCTTCTAACTAGGCATTCTAGCTGACTATTCTGTCTCTTCTGGACTCCTTCCCAAAGTTAGTATGACCATCAGTTAACTAGTGCAGACGGATAGCGGATAGCCCAGAGTAATTTTAAAAGAAATGCAGTTCTCTTTAATTGAGAACAAAACTAAAAACTATAAAATACCAATAAATCAGGACATGAGAGTGGGCAACTTGACAGATACTCTAATAAGGATTAGCTTATAATTTTAAACTTTAATATTCTTTTTAGGCATTCTAGCTTACTAGTCTGTCTCTTCTGGGCTCCTTCCCAAAGTTAGTATGACCATTAGTTAACTAGTGCTGAGAAGGATAGCTCTGAGTAATTTTAAAAGAAATGCAGTTCTCTTTAATTGAGCACAAAACTAAAAGTTATAAAATACCAATAAATCAGGAAATTAGAGTTAATTGGCAACTTGACATATACTCTGATAAGGATGAAACTTAGATAAGGCTAGTCACATCAGATGCTCTAATTAATAAGCACAAAACTTAGTTAATAATCTCTTACCTAAGTTCCTTTTTCGCCCAAAACACACCAACTAAATGAAACGTAACGGCTTGCAAATATATATCAAAACATGGACATAATTAAATTGGAGGACCCAATTACAGTATACTATATGGTAAAGGGCATTGCCGTTTTCATCCGGTGAACTACCTTGATGTGAACGGAAACTCTTTTTTTGGAAATGAATATAGGGCTGCAATATATAAAACTAGTCTTTACATTCAATTTTACTCATGTTCATGACATCTCACATGTTTATGATTAATTTATTCTTTATTGAGATTATCACTTTCACCATTGCACTTGCACTGTGCACAGTGGTTTTGTCCTTTCATGGTCATATAAAATTAGTTTGGAATGCTAAAATCCTTTTTTACATGCATGTGTTATCTTTGGCTGGTTTATTTTTCATTAAGTGACATTATGTAGTGAATAGCACGTGGAATCTTGAAATCACATTTTTTTTTTTATATATGACAAGTTTCTTTAGAGTTGATGAGTTAATTTATTTATTACCAAATATAATTGATTCAGAGAGATGGAATAAGAAATGGAGAGGTGATCTATCTCATGTTTGGACTATCCAAATTTGGAGAGTACTATATTCATTTGTTCTTTGTTGCGCTTCATTGATGATTTGTTGCATGCACGGCAAATTTCCTTCATGTCCCTTCATGTGTGGTGTTAATGTCGTCTTGCAAACAGCAAAACAGTACAGTTACTTTATGAAGAAAGCAGAACCGTAACAATCCATCACATAATCATGACATTTGGTCTTTAATAGGGATCTTAACTACAGTCTCTGAAAATAAAAGCTAGGGTGTGATAACTGATTTAGAGATGTGATCACGTGACTCATGCTACAGGTGTGAAACTGTAAAAATCTGTAATGTATTGTCAAAGATGAGTTGCCAAAAGAAGCAAGTAAATTTGCAATTAATCTAATAATTATATTTCTATTTTGTCCAATTGTTGGATTAGGAATTGAGATTACACCAACAAAAATAATACCTTTTAGCTTCTATTATTATGTTTAATATGTTATTGGAATGCAAGCAATTTAAAGTTATTATATTTGTGTTGCCAGGATGACACTGCTTTTGGGGCCTCCAGGTTCTGGGAAATCCACATTGCTTCTTGCTCTAGCAGGGAAGCTTGATTCTGGCTTAAAGGTTCGTCCTCCTACTCAGTACAATATGTCCATGAAAACATTATCTTGTTGCCCTTGCTTAATTAATTGATACATCCTTGACCCTGAACTGGTAAGTAAAGCTCTCAATGGAAATAAAGGACTAGGGGAAATCAACACCCTTCCCCAAGTTGTTAGAATATGATGTTTTTGTTGAGTGATTTTTGTGCAGTCATTTGGTCTTTCGATGCATTATTGGACATGTGTTTGAGTAAAATTATGCCACTCAACATTTGAGTTTTAAAGTTGGCAGTAGTCCCAAAATAATTTTCCCAGTTCTTGCACAAACTAATCCTCTCTAAGGAAGTGCCCACATAGTGAATAGGATTCATATAATAGAGCTCTTGTTGTTCTTCAGTGGATTGAAACTAGAATAGAGTTCTCTCTATTTTTTCCCCTTTCTAGTGTATCATATATATATATATAAACTAGAATAGAGTTCTCTCTATTTTTTCCCCTTTCTAGTGTATCATATATATATATAGTTTTCCCCCCTAAAGTTATCTCACACACACAATGACATACATTTATATTGTGTAGTTGAAGAATAGAGGTGACTTATATATTATAGCCAGGCACAAACCCATTAAGGGTTCAGGGCAAGATGTCTCCACTGATTTTTTTTCTTTTTTTCTTTTTTTTTTTTTTTTTCTTTTTTTTTTATTTTATTTTTTAAATCTTAAAAATACTCTCACCCAATTTCTAAAGTTTCTTTGCCGCATTAAAAAGAAAATCAAATAACAAAAGTAAATGATGTTTCTCCTTCATTCAAATTTCCATTCAATGTGAGAAGGTGCTTCTCTTACACAAACGTACTGTTTTGGTTTCAGAAAAGTGGTAGTATTACCTACAATGGCCACAAGCTTGATGATTTTTGCGTTCAAAGGACTTCTGCTTACATAAGTCAAACAGATAATCACATTGCAGAGTTAACTGTACGTGAAACTTTGGATTTTGCTGCCAGATGTCAAGGTGCAAATGAAGGCTATGGTGGTATGTTTTGCTCTAAATCATCAGATTTTTATTTATTTTTTATTTTGTTATTTTTTTTGCAATGTGCTCTGTTTTCATTGTTAAATTTTTGCTCATATCTTATTACTGTTTTAGTTTAAATTTTGTGATTAGGATTCACCAACTCAAAAGAAAAGAAAAATTGGAAGGAGGAAACATTGAGCCCTAGAAAGTGTTGATGCCCTGGTCGTCTAACCCAAACTCAATAGAAGTTAGTGGAGCTGGTACTGATCTTTTATTTGGGTTTAAACTGTGACTGATCGATCTTCTTGAGTTTCGCACTGCATGGAATGGGCTATTGGGCTTGGATTAAATTTGCACCAATGTCACCCAAAGCAGCCCATAATTAGAGCCTCTCATTCAACTATTTAAGTCACGTTTTTAGTTTTCTGAGTTGCTTTAACATGATCTAACCACCCACCAAACGGACACGCAATACAATGCACCCCCTTGGGAAATTTTTCTGACCTAATTCACAAATGACGATCAAGGGTACCTGTTATACGATCAAAGGTCCCTGTTACCAGTACTTCTAGTCTTCCCTGATGTTTTTCTTTGAAAGTGCTGATGGATGACTCTTTGATTTATCATATCAATGAGAAAAGAATGACGCCGCAGACCTTCCAAATCTAGAATTTTTAAATGCTTCTTTGGATTCTGAAAAGGAATAAAATGTTTTTGAAGAATCAACTCAGTGTGCTCGATTCTTTCTAGAAGAAACCAGGAAATACAGAAGGTTAGGCGAGTACCTAGGTTAATAATAAGGTATCCTAAAGGAAATACCTCTTGAGGAAAATCTGAAACTCCCTTAGAAGATGGCAATTTGAAATTCAATGACCCAGAATTCCAGGACTTCTTCACGAGGATCTTGGTACACTGTGCCTGTATGATAATAACACCAGATCATCAAAAAGATCGAAAGTCTCAGGTGCAGGCTGAAGAAGAGCCGTAGGACTGTTCCTTGCATTTGGTGAACAAAAGTATCTATGCATTTTACAATTTAATATGTTGTAGAGCTATCAAGTCCAGTAGCTATTTCATCCATGAAAAACCACCATGAATTTTTGTCTCAAGTGCTTATCACAATGAATTTTTTGTGGGTTACTGAAATTCTATACTCAATCTGCTGATTGTGTTTTGCATTTTTTTTTTTTCGTTGGTAATATTATTATTATTATTATTATTATTATATTTGAATGCATTTCAAAAGGATTTAAGGTTTTGTTGTTTTTCTATTTACTTCCTTCTCCTATATTCCTGGAGTTATCCTTAAATGTTTTTCCCTTTTCTTTTCTTGCATTTATCTAAGGCCAGTAGTTAGTGTTGATCCTGCCAATTGAGATTTTTGTGAAGTCTTGACATTCTAACCTTTATTTGTATTACTACTTGAAGGCCATGATGTTAGTTCAACCCCCTTTTTTTTTTCTTTTTTTTTTTTTTTCAATTCTTTTTCAGTTCTTTGTTATTTGTTTGACTCGGTCAACATGCATTTTATATGACTTATGAAAGATTGTGGATATGCAATTACATTATGTGCCCCATAATTTCATGACTGTGGAACACTTATTTTCCATTTCTCTTTTGTTGCAGGATATATGGAGGATCTTACTCGTTTGGAGAAGGAAAGGAATATACGTCCCAGTCCTGAAATAGATGCTTTTATGAAGGTTTTCATTACAAAGTTTTTGTAGCTTGTCAATCTTTTATGGCTATATATTTTGCTATACTTGTCGTCAACTTTTTACTACGTAATATTTGATGGCTTTTATCTAAAGAGTTTTCGAAATCTAATTGCTTAGGCATCATCTGTTGGCAGCAGAAAGCACAGTGTCTCAACAGATTATATATTGAAATTGCTTGGTCTTGATATATGTTCAGAGACACTAGTTGGTAATGATATGCTCAGGGGTGTTTCAGGTGGTCAGAGAAAGAGAGTTACTACAGGTTTCTCTCTCTCTCTCTCTCTCTGGTATGACATTATGATGTTATAATTGTTTGTGTTAATGAAAATGCTGAAATGTGGAGAAATGGGAGTGCCAGATGATTTACATCTCAAGACTTGCTGACACGGCATGATCCTTTGAGATAACTGTCATGCAAATATAATGTTTATGTCGCAAGTCTACACTGAAAGAGCATAAATATATATATTTATATATTTGATACATAGACATATGGTGAATATTTTTTGAAATATCCAAACACTGTTCAGAAGAGCACGAAGTTTGTTTGAAATAGCCTAACCTACCAATAAAGAAAATGTTTGATATAGCCAAAATCAAGTTGTGTTTGGTTTTCTCACTATGTCATCTTTATTGTATTTGTATTTCAATTTTGTTTGGTTTTCTCACTTTCAATTTTGTGGGGTGTGGAAGATTTCTACTCAAACACACACACAAACATACACACTTAATAAAATTTGGACCCTTTCGAGTTGTGATCCCGAACTTTGAAAGGTTCCCTATGTGAAATACATGTTCTCTAAGCAAGATGTTGTGCTAATCGTTTATATGGTTTTTACTTCTGCATATGTTTCTTTTAAATGTGTCCAAATATACCTTTCTAGTAAGTTTGTTGAATAGTATTCACTCATGCTGATTTATAGATGCTATAATCTTTGTGTGGCCCATTTCCTACTTCCTAGTACTTCTAACAGTTTGTACCTTTTCTTTCGTTTATCTTGTTATTATACATATGTATTTGGTGTGTGAGACTTTCTAGGTTACTATTTGGCATTTGCGTGCTTGTTTGACCAATGAGATCATCAGTTTGTGTGGTGGTGTTCTCCATTATGATGTTGTGAGGTTAAACTCGCAATGTGGAAAACTCACCTGGTGAAGGTGAAATTTCTCATGCATTTGGAATAACTGTCAATGAGTAATCTATCGTGGGCTTACGCTGACAGTGGGAACACCCAAAAGATAGCTATTTGCAATGTGAATTGTGAAATACTGAAAAAGTTTGCTTTCTATGAAAATGAAAAAATGGAAATGAAAAGCAACAAAAAACTATGCTTTTGATTAGACTCGGAAGAAATTCTCAATGAATTTGGTTTTATGACATTCTTCAATCAAATAATCATGGTGTCATAAGTCTATCGTGGGTGCATGCTCATGATTTGAACACCCACAAGATAGCTATTTGCAATTTGAAATACTGAAATAGTTTGCTTTCTCTGAAATGAAAAAAATATGCCTTTATTAGACTGAGAAGAAAGTTCTCAACGAGTTTGGTTTAATGACATTCTTCGATCAAATAATCATGGTATCATTCTGATGTAGGTGAAATGGTGGTTGGGCCAAGAAAAACCCTTTTCATGGATGAAATATCTACCGGACTTGATAGCTCAACAACATATCAAATTGTAAAATGCATCGGAAATATTGTTCACCAGATGCAAGGAACAGTTCTAATGGCTCTTCTTCAACCTGCACCAGAGACGTTTGATCTGTTTGATGACCTGGTGTTATTATCAGAAGGGCACATAGTGTACCAAGGTCCTCGTGAAGAAGTCTTGGAATTCTTTGAGTCATTGGGTTTCAGATTGCCGCCTCGTAAGGGAGTTGCAGATTTTCTTCAAGAGGTATTTTCCTTTATGATACCTTATTATTAACCAGGGAACTTTTCTAACTTACTGCATTTACAGGTAACTTCTAGAAAGGATCAAGAACAATACTGGGCCGATTCTTCAAAACCATATGTTTTCCTTTCTGTTCCACAAATTTCAGAAGCATTTAGAAATTCCAGATTTGGAAGGTCCGTGGAGTCCTCTCTTTCTCTTCCATATGATAAATCCAAGAATCATCCTTCAGCTCTTTCCAAGGCAAAGTTTGCTGTATCAAAATCGGAGCTTTTCTGGACATGCTTTGCACGAGAATTGCTTCTCATTAGCAGGCATCGTTTTCTTTATATTTTTAGAACATGTCAGGTATAGTTTACCTTACTGCTTCTATATTCTCATGCCTATCTTTTACATCTTCTCGATTAAAAACTGTTTATGATTATGTCACTAAGGAAATAAGTAACATGTTCTAGTTTCTGTTCACTACTGTGACGTGTTTGAATTTTGAAAACTAACAATAAATGGGTGGATTACCTTGCAATTTGTGAAACTGATCTACTTTTTCTTGTTTAAATCATAGAGTGCCTGGGATAAATTTAGGGATAGGGCATAATTTGGCTTTATTTTGGAAACAAGGTCCAAATCAGTATGTTGGTCCAGTCATCTCAAGGTTTCTGGGTGCAAACACGTATTTGTGTTCTTCTGTGCTCAAGTATTGCATCTTAGATCAAAGCATTCCTTATATGCAGATTCATTTCAATTTTGGCCACAGTAGTTCATGATTAGTTTATTTATTCCTTGTTATCTGGATCTTTCCAAAGCTGTGGAATCCTGTGCTTGACAAGACATAGGTGCTAGCAGGGGATCCATACTATATTGTTCAACAATTCTGTTTTTGTTATGCATTCTAGATTTTTTTACTATCAAAAGTAGTTTTTTTTTTTTAATTTTAATTTTAATTTTTTATGTTGCAATTATTTTTTTCTTTTCCTTGAAAACAAATATAATTAAAGGAAATGTAGGACAATACACTTACACAGAACATATATTGGTTAATAAGAATCTAGACAAACAACATCTAATGAGTTTGCTTAATATGGTCCCCCACTAATGTTGATATATTTAAGAAAATATTTAATTGAAAAAACACACAAACCTCTTCCTTGTAGATACTTTTATTCCATTCTTCCAATACATGTACACAGAACATTAGAGAGATAGAGAGTCCTATATCTAGATGACTTTTTTACATCTATAACTATAATTGATTTAGCATCCTCTAGAAAGGTAAAAAATATTTCTTGGAGAAAACCAAACAGATACTAGATTGGGCATAAAACAAACATCCTCATCCTTTTTAAAAAATAAACAATGGAGGACAATACGATCCATGATCTCAATATTTATTCACATGAAACATCTATTTGGAATAACCCAATTCAGCTTATTATCCTGCAAACTTTGGTTCAAGTAAAGGAAGGAAACCTTGGACCAAGTAGTATGATGCAAAATATTAACCTGCCTGACCATGTAATCCACCAAATTTGTTTGTTTATAAGTATGTAAGCTCTTCTTGAACAGCTTTGTGAAACATTGGAATTGATGGGATCAGTTCCATTCGAATACGTTGTAGCTAGTATCAATGCTATTTTTGACTGCCCACAAATGATAGTCATTTAATCCAAGGAGATTTTTTTTTTCTTTCATTTTTTTTTTTTCCAAAAAAAAAAAAAAACCTATATAATCCGGGTGATTTGCGAGATTCCTTCTTTAAGAATAGTATAACTGTACCACAAATTCTTATGAAATCTCGTTTAATGCCGAAACGGGTCGAAACTTTGTTTGTGTCAGACTTGTGTCCGACACATCCATGAATTATCCGAGAAGTGTTTTTGTAAGTTATAGTATGATGTGAAATATTAACCTGCCCGACCATGTAATCCACTGATTGAAACCTCCTCATCGACTGCCTTCTAACAAATCAGGAGATTCCTCTTTAAGAGTAGTATAACTGTACCACAGATTCTTATGAAATCTCATTTAATGCCGAAACGGGTCCAAACTTAGTTTGCATCAGACTTGTGTCTGACACATCCATGATTTATCTGAGCAAGTGTTGTGTAACTTAACTAGTGCCAATGCCCAGTTTATGGCTTAGGATCCAATGTTGAGAATCATTTTGGTGTTAACTAGTGCCAATGCCCTGTTTATGGCTCAGGATCCAATGTTGAGAATCATTTTGGTGTCTGTAACAGCTTGGATCACATTGGATTTGTTTCTTGGCAGTGGCATTTCCCTTATTAAGTTTCTGAACCTCAGTTTTCTCCATCATGTAAACTAATGCACACATGAAGTCCTAAGTAAACATCTTGAAGTAGAACTTTGATTTCTTGAAGAAAAAGTTTATACAATTTTCACATTACAAATTGCTCTCCTACTGGAAGTTATTTGCTGATATTTGTTAGAAGCCTTGTGAAAGGTTGTGTTTCCTGTTAGGATGTGTCTCAAATTCTTGAAGACTGATGTTGTTCGAAGAAGTCTGAATGGTCGCACTGATGCGGACCAGTCGCACTTTCTCGGTTGGGAGTTCTGAAAAGTGCAATGGGTCACACTAGCCTGACATGTGCGATAATTGTTTCTTTTTCTGAGAAATTGGTTTTCTAAGGGCTGCAGACTTGTAGGAGAAGTTGTTTCTTTGTAATTAAGGAATTGGATTGTAAGGCAAGTCTTGGCCACAAGGAATTGTAATCCTTGTCCGACAAGGAATGGGTTGAAGACTTTATAAATAGAAGTGGAGTTGAGTGGATTAAATAGAGAAGAAACAAGGGTTGAAAGGGGGAGTGATGTGAGGAGAGGAGAGAATGTGCATAATTCCAAGTTGAGATATGTAGCCCCAAAAGTGATGAGTGAGAGTAGGGGGCGGGCATTCTCTATGGCTGTGCGTTCTCTTCTAATTCATGATAGTAAAGTTTCTCTCCGTGGATGTAGCCCTAGAGTTGGGGTCAACCACATAAAATATTGTGTTGTGCTTGATTGGTGTATGATTGTATCTCCATAAATGCAAGTTTGATGGTTGTGTGATGATATGCTTCCACTGTGCTTGAATGAAGAGGGAATTATTCCCAACAAATGGGATCCAAACTAGTTGGAAGGAATTGACATTCCCAACATTTTCTAGTACACCATTCAGCTAGTATTCTTATAGTGTAAGATACTAGCTGCATAGATGGTCTCTAGTTGGTATAGCTAGTTCAAAATTGCTGTGAACAAAAACAAAAATCAGATGAAAATGGAACTTTAGTGAAGTTAATTGTGAGAAGGGATGCCAAAAAAATTATGTCCTGCACAAAGGTGGGAAAAGGAATAAAACACAGAATAGCAGAACTGGAGAAGATATTTGAACTATGATTCCTAATTCTTAATAGAGTTTTTCCTTTATATGTGATACAAGTTATCAATTAATGTAAAATCCAAGGGTATAAAGTTTTTTTTTTTTTTTTTTACTTTTTTTGCCCCAGTAAATATGTTTTTTTTTGACCATTTATTATCCAACAAATCATCTGATCATCGGCTCATTTCTACTCCTCTGTAAATAAATCAGAATCAATTATTTATTGAAAATTTATCTGCAGGTATCACTTCTTGTAGTTGGATGCACATGCATTTATATTTTTATTTTTTGTATATAAAATTTTTGGAATTTATATACTGTTATATCATATTTCTTTCTGTTAATTTGTTATACAGGTGGCATTTGTAGGATTTGTCACATGCACAATGTTTTTACGAACAAGAATACATCCTACAGATGAGATAAATGGAAACCTGTATCTGTCTTGTCTGTTCTTTGGGCTGGTGCATATGATGTTCAATGGGTTTTCAGAGCTACCTCTTATGATATTTCGACTTCCAGTTTTTTATAAGCAACGAGATAATTACTTTTATCCTGCATGGGCATGGTCTTTTTGTAGTTGGATTTTGCGTGTACCTTACTCGGTCATTGAAGCTGTTGTATGGTCTGTTGTTGTGTACTACACTGTTGGTTTTGCCCCTGCTGCTGGGAGGTATCTCCTGCTTACTCAGTAAATCTCGTTGATGTTTATTAATATATTCTCCATCCTTATCATCTCCTTTTATATGTTTAAGATTTTTTGGCTATATGTTTTTACTCTTTGCCGTACACCAAATGGCTTTGGGTCTCTTCCGGATGATGGCGTCTCTTACTCGAGATATGATCATTGCCAATACATTTGGATCGGCTGGACTGCTAGTTATATTTTTGTTGGGTGGATTTATTATTCCAAAAGGTAGGCTTTGGTAGTTTTCAGTCGATGTAAAGTACAAGTAGGTGCTCTTTGGTGATCAAGTTACTCTTCTTTCAGAAATGATCAAACCATGGTGGGTTTGGGCATTTTGGATGTCACCATTATCCTATGGGCAACGTGCAATTTCCGTCAATGAATTTACTGCCACAAGATGGATGAAGGTCTGTCTCGTAACTAGTGAACAGCTGGATGTACTTTCAGTAGAACTATGTTGTTCATCTTGGACAAAATTAGTGACACATAACTCAATTAGCTTTTTTTTTTTTTTTCTGTGAATCATTACTGAATCAAACTTACTGGTTTGGAAAACTGTCACTTTACAGAGATCTGCCATTGGAAACACTACGATTGGACACAATGTTCTTCAGTCACATAGTCTACCTAGTGGAAATTATTGGTATTGGCTCGGAGTTGGTGTTCTATTACTTTATGCTGTGCTTTTCAATATGATAGTGACATTGGCATTGGCTTACCTTAATCGTAAGTCTTCAGATTTATCATGTTTGCATCTCTCTTATAGTGCTTTTGAGACTATTAGTTTAATGTCATGTGCTTATATTCTGAATTGCATATGTACGTCACAATGAATTACGTACCTCGGTTGTTTGCTTACAGCTATCACAAAAGCCCAGGCCGTGATTCCACTTAATGTCACAGAAGATAATTCATCTGGGGACAGTGGTCAGTTATCCTTTTTCCTTTGTGCTTTACAATTTAGTTATTTCTTATTAAAAGCTATATTGGACAAATCCCATCCCTCCCCCGCCCCCCCCTCCCTCCAACCGGATTGTAGACTTCTTAACATTCAGAATATGTGTTTTAAAATTTCTTTCTTAAATGTATCATACTCGTTTGGGCAGGAAAAGATCCTGCTGAGCACAGAGTTAAAAGGAGGGGAATGATTCTTCCATTTCAACCATTAACAATGACTTTCCATAATGTCAACTACTTTGTTGACATGCCAAAGGTGTGGGAATCATGCAGTTTTGGTTTCCTTTAGATTTCCTCATTTCACCTAATGTGAAATATTTGTTATTTTGAGTGTCTCAGGAAATGAGTTCGAAAGGTATAAAGGGAAAGAGGTTGCAACTCTTGTCGAATGTGAGTGGAGTTTTCTCACCAGGTGTGCTCACTGCATTAGTGGGATCAAGTGGAGCAGGGAAGACTACTTTGATGGATGTTCTTGCTGGTAGAAAGACTGGGGGATACATAGAAGGGGACATCAGGATCTCGGGTTACCCAAAAGTACATCGCACTTTTGCAAGAATCTCAGGATATGTTGAACAAAATGATATACATTCTCCTCAAGTGACAGTCTGGGAATCCCTTTGGTTCTCTTCATGTCTTCGCCTTCCCAAGGAAGTGAACAAAGAAAAAAGAAATGTTAGTTGCTACCATCAACTACAGAGAATTTATTTCTTTCTCAGAGTTGTTCTATTGTATTCCATAAAACAGTTCACTCCTATGTTCTGCAGGAGTTTGTTGAAGAGGTGATGAAATTAGTGGAGCTTGACAATTTAAGGCATGCCTTGGTAGGTTTGCCAGGCAGTACGGGATTATCTACAGAACAAAGAAAACGTTTAACGATTGCAGTGGAGCTTGTTGCAAATCCTTCAATAATCTTTATGGATGAGCCTACATCTGGACTTGATGCACGAGCTGCAGCCATTGTTATGAGAACTGTTCGTAATACTGTTGATACTGGAAGAACGGTGGTTTGCACCATACATCAACCAAGTATTGACATATTTGAATCATTTGATGAGGTTGGTTAGATTTATGGTTTGTGAAAAACTGTGATGTAGAATACCTTGGGTTATACAGAACATATTTGTTCTTTAAAATTACACACATTGTTTTCAATGCACAGCTACTTCTTATGAAGAGAGGGGGCCGAGTAATATATGGAGGGAAACTTGGTGAGAAGTCGCAGATTTTGATAAACTATTTTCAGGTAAGGCTGCATGCTTTTGTCTTTATTATTTTCAGCTCTTATATTTCTGGTTCATTCTCCTGTTCAAAGGAAAAAATTATAAATAGAAACTAAAATTAAACTGTTCATCCCTGATAGCTCATAGAAAGATTACCGCCATATGATGGACCTTTTTATTTTTTACCATCTGGTACTGCCACAAATGTTTGCTTGTCATAGTTTATATAGCAGGAAAAAGGACATGGCCACAGGAGACATGACAGGGCATGACACTAAGCGAATGCACTTCCACAACAAATTCTAAGAAGTAGGATACAGAGTAACATCATATCTACTATATATATTGGAGCTATTCCCTAAAAAAATATTAACTCTAGGATACTTTGTGAAACTTGAAATCATGCTGCATGCTGCATACGGTTCATAATGTGGTGGGTAAAGGTCACACAAACTTGTAATTTTAGGATTGTAAAAGATGCAAGGAAGATTGAAGGTTTTTCAGGTGAAGAAGTATTGGGATTGGCTTGATTTTAGAAGTGACATTTTTTTTTTTCCTTTAAATACAATTGCTGAAATTTATTATCAACAACTACTTTAGATTTTGGATCTTAATTTAAAATGACAAAAGGTAGGAAAAATGAATTAGGGCTTATTAGAAGCTTTGTGATTTTGGAAATAAAATAAAGCTCTTCTCAGGCTATAAATAGTAACCCATGATTTGTTTGTGCGGTCCTTTGGGCTGTTGGTATAATTTTTTATGAAAGGAAGAGTTGCACTTGTGAATATTAGATATTTAAGGGAATGTAGTGTTTCAGATTTTGAAGTGCGGAAAACTGCAAAGACTAAGATGTAAAAGAAGAATTTTTTTTTAAGGATTTTCACCTCGAATTCCTTAAACTATGCCCTCAAGTTTGCATTACACAAACTTCAATTCTCTGTAGCTCAACGATATCACGTTGAAAAAATGTATAGATACTTATAAGCTGCTGTTATCTGTTAGTTTTGTCACAACTAAGACTCCAAGTTAGGACATTATAAAACTTTGACTTCTAAGTCTATCCTAGGCCTATTAAATACTACCATTAGAACATCAAAAATTAACCTACGAAATTTTATTACATGAATGTCCAGAATTTCTTGAAAGTCTGAAGATATTTAAAATGTAAGAAAATATATAAGTACTATTGAAATAAAATAATAGTTTATTATACTCAAAACTTAATTGCACGGTATCCCAAGCTTCCCCCATATAATGTTTCAAGTTTTAAATTTTCTTTTTTGCATGCGTTATATTTAACTTTTATCTTGTTTTCTAGTACCTGCCAAAAATAATATTCCAGTCTGGAACTAGAGCAAATGGGAGCACAAAAGCAAAAAGGTCATTATCCATTGTGTCCCTGTTGGGTGCTGGGAGAAGTAGATTGGATAAATTTCTTACCTTTGCCCTTTTTTGCACCAGTTGCTGCTCCAAAAAATTCAAACCCACGTTCTTATGCTTAATAGCCCGAGCTGTAAAATATCTTGTTTCTTGGGAGAACAAAAGCTTCGGTAATATAACACCTTATATCTATAGTGGAGTGCTTACAAAGTATTAAATTTTTACTACTATATTTATGAATTAATTTATTAGTTATAAAAAAAGGGAGGCGATATTTGCACTCCACTTTTCTCAATTGCACTACACTCTTAGCAGAAAGGACACTTATATCCCTAATCTTATAAATAAATAATTATTTTTCTTAAATACCACAATTACTCTTCCCGTTATAGAAAGATATTTTTGTCTCACTCTCTTCCCAATTTAACGATTTGGGTCACTTACAGCCTCTCTCAATTCTTTCTCTACTTTGTATTAATTATCTTCTCTCTCTTTAGAGTTTGATATTGATCTTTTGTATGTAACAATGGAAGATTAGCACAGAAAGCATGTAAGAACTATCAAAACTTCATGAGTTATTCAACACCATCCATGCTAACAGTGATAGTAATTTTTTCTTTTATTTTTCTTTTCGTATTATGTGTTTTGAGTTTAATTCAATTTTCTTTTCCCTTCATTTGATGTTTAAGAATTAATTTGGAACGTATTTAAATCTTGAAGTTTTTCTTGTTGATGAGAAAAGCCCAAATTATTTTGACAATACAATTTCAAGAACAAAGATTTTATGGGAAAGAGAGAGAGAGAGATATTATATGCAACTATGTTTGCTTTTTGACTTGATAAATAAGCTTTTGTAGCTCTAATCAAGTCTTTGTATCCTTATTTCTTTCTCTACTTCTCTTAAATTCAGTTGAAACATAATTCTTAATTTAATTCTGTCAAAACTTAAATCCATATAACTCACCTTTCAAATATTTTCTCCTTTTTTTTTTTTCCCTTCCTCGTATATATATATATATATATATATATATTTTAAAGATTAATATATATAATATTAATTGAAGACAATAGAAAAAAGACAAACATTCACTGCAACGGAGTTCTTTAAGAAAAAAGTATTTTATAGAAAGAAGAATGTTATGCAAAAACAATTATGTATAAATGGTGAACAAAATGACGATGAAAGGGTAACTTTATCTAAAATTAGTTAGTGCAATTTAATATGCCAAGTAAAATCTAGGAGGACAATTGGTTTATTGCTACATTTTAGGAGTAAGTAAAGAAGATAAAAAAAAAGAAAGTTTATACTGCAAATGGTAGTTATGGTATAATAAAATAAGGGATGATGCATTAATTAGCCTAGGGATTTTTTTGTCATTTGCATTAAAGAAAAAAGAAAAGTGGAGTGCAAACGTAGAAAAGTGGAGTGCGAATATCGCCTCCCTAAAAAAGTGCACCTTAAAATTTTAAATGAAGGAAACTGCTGACTTCAAATGTGATCTTGGCTTGGCGGTAGGTTAATCAGCCCCTCCCTCCATGTGAAGTGTCAACTAATTGACACTGAACTGCAGACAAATGCTCGACAGAGGTGTGATAAGATGTGTGTTTTATCATTTAGAAACGAGTATATCTGTAGAAATGAAAGTATGTTCCTTCTCTTTATTATACAGAAAAGTAGGAGAGATCTATGCTCTCAAAATATCAGAACTAGTCCACCGACCGATACGGGGCGGATAAACTTAAAATACCAAACAGCACCTGAATCACTTGATACACGTAATAATAATCTCTAGCTCTCTGTCATTTGAGTAAAGCCAAATTTAAAGTTGTACATTTCTAATTGATTGAGAAAAAATTTATACTGCTGCAGCAACATATGATTCTTAAGTTCATTCAGATGTATGATTTACTATATTTTATTTTGTTTTGTTTTTCTATTTCTTGAGTCAATCCTATGGTTATGTGTTAAGACTGTCTTGTAAGTTCTTCACACTAATTTGTGTTGGATGGTCAGTCAATAACTTCTTTTCATGTTTTTAACTGGCACAAGAAGATTGTTGAAAAAATAAAAATAAAAAATGACAGAAAGAAAAAATGAGGTCTTGCTGGATATTATTACCTCAGACACCATATTCCTTGAAGCTCATGGATTTGCCAAGTATGGCCAGTTTCATTATGACTGGTTGCTTGTTACAAGAGAAGATGGGGGTTGGAGAAGACTTTGTTGTTGGTTGTGACTCGTATATCTCAGTTGTCAATCTACATTACAATATGATGCTCAAATGTTGGGAGGTTTTCCTTGTCTGTTGGGGCATGGGGGGCTATTGCTAGGTTGGGAAAATCATTTTTGAGAGATATAAATGGCTGAATTTGAATTTGATGAGAGACTTAGGAGAGCTGGTTTATAATTCCACCTCCTTTCCATATCTTTTCAGGACTTGGTAAACAAGTTTTCCAGAAAGTGGACTTGGTAAATATCATGAGAAGAGAAAGTGGACGGGGGATGTAGAGAGATTTTATAGTGTTTTTTTATGTTCTTCAGTCCCAAGGTGACAAAACATACCATTCACAGTAGGAGACTTTAGGAATTATATGCAAGAATAACAAAGATGATTATGCTCTTCTTCTTTTTTCCGCACTGTAAAGTATCATTTTTTTCATCACTAGATGTCACTCTAATATCAAGAACTTCATGTTGATTTAACTACATTTGTGACTTGTGAGTGCAAATTTTGGTCCTCTTAAATTGTTCTTTTAGGATTTGCTATAGTAATTTATTCAAAATCTCAGAATTTTACTCTAAAATATATAAATTCTTCAATGTTATTTGATTGTACCATCGATTTTTTGAAAACATTCATATTGTCTTCTTTTTTGTTGTTCAGGCAGTTAATGGAATCCCTCCCATTCCCACTGGTTACAATCCTGCAACTTGGATGCTTGAGATCAGTACACCTGCAGCTGAAGAGAGAATTGGTAAAGACTTTGCGGAGATATACAAGAATTCGGAGCAGTATAGGTGATCATTATTGACATTGTGTTACTATCAGAAGCAAGATCTTGCTGATTTTCCATTACTTGTTATTAAATTATATTATCTCTTATTTGTTCATTTAATCTTATTTTTCTCTTTATATTCTGTTCTAGGGAAGTTGAAGCTTCCATTAAGTGTATGAGTATTCCAGCTGATGACTCCGAGCCATTAAAATTTGCCTCTACGTATTCTCAGAATCTGATGTCCCAATTGAGAATATGCCTCTGGAAGCAGAATCTTGTATATTGGAGAAGTCCACAGTACAATGCTGTGAGGATATTTTTTACTGCAATGAGTGCATTGATAATTGGTGCAGTGTTTTGGGATGTTGGATCGAAAAGGTAATTTTTCATTTTTGCCAATCCCCAAAAGGAAGATTCATTAAATTGCACTTGGATATTGCTTTGTTATTCTTGTGATTGTTCACAATTTCTTGCTCTCTTGGATCCTAATTGTTAATGATGATGATGATGATGTTACACTTGTTTTTGTAAGAGCTATGTTAAATTTTCGAACTTAACAGGAATTACTTTGAGTATTATTACCTATTATTACTCAAAGATTGCCAGAATTGGGTCCGTGATATTAAAAGACCTGCGCAGCTAACTTCAAGTAGTTTGGGTTGGAGGCTCTATTGACGTAATTGAATATTTAGGGACCAGCTGGGTAAATGTGGATTTGGTCGTGTTTCTAGCTCAAATGTTGTAGAGTGGTCTTTGTTGCAAGTGTGGATAGTTTAGCCATGGCTTTTTACCGAGTCATGTATTTTTTTTATTAATTAAATATACAGGAATGCCTCCAAATATCATCAACAAACATGATTTTCTTCTATTACTGTCACACTGCAACTTGGTTTGGGGAACGGTATTTGACCAGAAATTTGGTATATGATTGCATGTTCTGCAGGGACTCAACTCAAAACTTGCTTGTTGTCATGGGCGCTATGTATAGCGCTTGCTTGTTTCTTGGGGTTAATAACTCTTCATCGGTACAACCAATTGTTTCAATTGAGAGGACAGTTTTCTACAGAGAAAAAGCAGCTGGAATGTATTCTCCATTTCCTTATGCGGCAGCCCAGGTAAGCATCTTGCTTATGAGACGGTTTATTTAATGGGAAATGAGACCCTAAAAAGAAATGTGTTCAATCTATTGGATAGGATGCATATCATTGTGATTGTAATATTGGAAAGCGTTGATGTAATAGGAATTTCATACTAAGAGATACACTAAGCTATTATGTCCAGCCAATTTCTTGGAAATTGGTATTTCAGAAACAAAGAATAAGCCAAACCTTCAGCAGGAAGTAGGGATTATGTTGGCAAAGACTTGGATGTCATACCATGTCTGCGTCAAGACTTTCTAGAAGTTTGAACACCTTCCTTGCCGGCTAACACTTTACCATTTCCAAGTGAAATTGAGTAGAAAAATATGTTCTATATAATATATATATATATATATATATATATATATATATATTTTTGGGTAGGTTGTAAGTATGTTCTATAATTTTTTTTAAGAATGATAAAATTTATAAGGGTTTCCTAATGTTCCAGTATCAACTTTTACCAAACATGAAAAGGAGCCTGAACAGAATTTGAAATTTGTGGTTCTTGTTGACTTCTGAATAATAGACCATAATATTTTGGTTTTCTTACTGACAGGGCCTTGTGGAGTTACCATACATTACAGTGCAGACAGTATTATATGGTGTAATTACGTACTTCATGATTAACTTTGAGAGGACAGTTGGTAAGAATCTAATTTTTCCTTTAGTGATGCTTCCTGGTGTATTATATTGCTTTTTTATTGTTAGATTAGAAAATGAAGTGCATTTCCTTTAATACAATGGGGGATTGTAGGGGAAGTTTTACTGGGAATTTATATTCTCATATTCATGATACCTCAAATAGTCATAAATTTATTTCATGATACCCACAAAAAATAAAAATAAAAATAAATGTGTAGAATATATGTTGACATCCCTAAAGAAAATTTAGCACGAGTCATTTTCGGGAAATCATAGCTTGTCCGGGTGTGTAACCTGGTCAGGACTATAACTTGCAAGCTGACCGACACTGCTGCAATAAACTTATAGTAGTATCTTTGGATATTACCTTGATTAAGACAACGTAGCTCCCTGCATCTAACTCCAAAAGACATAAAATTCAATTGGTTTTTGAGATTTTAAATTTTTTAGAAAAAATGGTTTTTGAATGGAACAAATAGAATTGTCTTATGTTTGCATTAGGAGAGATGATGATCATTTGAGATAGTTATTATGTAAAACTTATGGTTGGCATCCTTGAAACTTATTGTGGTTGTGAGGTAATATTAAGTGTATATCTTCCTGAATGCATCCAGCTCACCTTTTATACAATATCTTATGTTTGGAAGCATATAATTTTGTGATTTAATCAAATTGACAGGATCACTACAAATTTTTATGACTCAATAACGGAAGTAATTATAATGAATGTTTCTCCTGTGTTGCAGGTAAATTTTTTCTCTACATTATGTTCATGTTTCTCACCTTCACCTACTTTACCTTTTATGGCATGATGGCTGTTGGTCTCACACCTTCTCAACATCTGGCTTCTGTCGTTTCTTCCGCATTTTATTCACTGTGGAATCTCCTCTCGGGTTTTCTTGTCCCAAAACCTGTAAGTAGTGTATCATTTTTTGTTTAACAAGGCATTGCTTTGAGATCCGGTTTGGAACGATTAAATGTTCTGTTCACACAGGATTCCTGGTTTTTTGTAACTTCAACTAAATAACCAGACAAAGCCAGGAAAAAGAAGGGAAAAATAATGAATTAGATTTGCTTGGGCTGAGTGGTCAATGACCATCTTTCAGTCCAACCTGTTCAATGGTTCATCACATGCACCATTGTTTTACCTGGTCTCAGCTTGCAAAAAAGACCATCTCTCATTGTTTTATGCCTAGGACTTGGCTTTATATCCACAGTAGAGTTAATAAGATGCTTCATATTGCCCTTGCATCATTAACTCCTCTCACATCACTTGATTATGGATTGAAAATATTTTTAAAAGAACAAATAAATAAATAAATAAAAATTCTGTTATAAACTTTGAATTTTTTTAATGTACTTATGGTATTTCTTTGTTTCTATTACAATATATATAGAGCATCCCAGGATGGTGGATCTGGTTCTACTACATTTGCCCAGTTGCGTGGACTTTGCGAGGCATAATTACCTCTCAGCTGGGTGACGTGGAAACGAAGGTTGTAGGGCCTGGATTTGAGGGCACTGTTAAAGAGTATTTGGAGGTGAGTCTTGGCTTTGGCCCTGGGATGATTGGCGTTTCAGCGGCAGTGCTTGTTGGCTTCAACATCTTATTCTTTGGCATCTTTGCCATCTCTGTCAAAACCCTCAACTTCCAGAGAAGATGAATGGAGGATTAGAATATTATATCTTATGAGGTTAGGATCAACACTGCATTAGTTTGGACTTACGCTGTTGAGTAACATCATTGCAAGATTAAATCTTTTAGGAGGAGTGAAGAAAGGTTCCAGTTGTACACATCTCCCTTTGCATGTATGGCCTACTTAAAAAAAGTACTGATGCAATGTAAACAAGTATTGAGAAAATGAAATGAAATATACAAATTAGCATTCATAGAGCAACTTTCAGAAATTGAAGTGTTCATACAATTTTATCTATTTGGAAGCAGGTAGATTTGATTATATATATATTTATGGGTACTTCTATTTGGAAGTAGGTAGTTTCTACATGCATCTATTTTTGGGTAATTCTTTCCACAACAAGGGTACAGCTGGAGCCAATGTAGAAACTGCATGTGGCATGTGGAAATGGTATACATGTTGGGAGCACAATTCATGTATACCCAAAATTCTTAACCAAAGTGCAAATTAAAGAAAAATAATGGACCGCTAATGTGGCCCAATAAAATTGCGACAAATGTTAAAATTAAATATAAAACTAACTTCTGCTTTTGGACATGTGTTATAAATCATAACTTTTACTTTTGGACACTTGTTTTAGATCTATTGGGACACATCAGCAGGTTGGACCCAAGTATTGTTTCGAATTAAATTTTAAAAAATGCAACAAATAATAGAGAATCAAGTCAAAGTAGCTCCCATTAACCTTTACCACAAAAACTTAGGGCTTGAGAAAGGAGGAACAAGAACTAACTTCTACTTCTAGTTTACTACAACTTCCGAGACAAGATGAGTAAAATGAGGGGACAATAATGTAGAGAACAAGGCATCTAATACAATATTCAATGAACCAACAACTCATTCTTTTTATGTTCATTTTTAAAACAAACACCAATAAAGAGCAGTCAAACAACTTCCTCACTAGTTTATTCTTGCAAGAAAGCCACTTTGTGGAGCTCCACATCCTCCTCCACATGAAAGTCAAATCTCCTTCCAAGGAATTATTTTCTCCTCTCTCATCTCATCAATCCAATACAGAATTGAATCCAGTGTGCTAAACCTTGCCGTGAAACCGAGCCGGTCAGCTTTATCTCGAGTCCCCAACATTTTCACAGGGCATCTGAACAGAACATCCAGAAATCCCCAGTTAGCCAAGTCCTCCATCTCTGTTTGAAAAAGTCCCTCCTCCTCTACAATCTCTTTCCATATCCCTCCCTTATCACTCATTGCCGTCGAAAACATAAAGTCCGGTGAGAACATGTTGTCAGGCACTTCCAATCCAAACTTCAATCCAATCTGTGGCCAGATTTGCTTCCAAGTGAAGCGCGGTCCATTGATGGCATTGAATGCTTGGCCATCAGTGGAATGTACTTGATCATTGGTAGCTGCCCAAATGTGCTGTTCAGCGACTAACCGAGCATCTGAGCCATCAATGCACAACTCTTCCCAACACTCCCTCGTCCCTCCAAACACAAAAGGGAGATTCAGATGCTTACAAATTGTCCCATAAACACATAAACTGCCCATGAAGTTGTACAAAGTCCTCTGAGAACTACCCATGATCAAACCAGGCCGGTGAACCGACCACGCCACGTTGCCAGCCACCGCCACTGCCAGTCTCTCCCTGAGCAAGTCCTCTAGGACATAGTAAAAATTGCAGCCTGAAGTACTCACCCTTGGACAATCTTCATCATGGTAACAAACTTGTTTTTGATTGAAAGGGGGTTGGAGAGACACATAATGCTTAGTCCCTGTTTGGAGAGAGACATGCCTTAATGAATTTGCTATTGGGAGAATAGCATTCAAGGCATTGGACATCATGGCCTTGTTCTGCTCACAGCACTCTCGGGTATCCAAAGGGAATTGGGTAGCCCATGTAACCCAAAAAATATGGGTCACGTCTTGTAACAAAGAGAGGTTCTTTAGGGTTTCTAAATGGTTCAAAAGGTCACATGAGATGAAATGGTAATTGGGATTTTGAATTGGGTTGATCTGATCAGGGTTTCGAGCTATACCATAAACCTTCCACTTGGATTTTGAGAGGAGCTTTCTGAGAAGCTCTTTCCCAACAAGCCCAGTGACTCCAAAGATGACTGCCACATTAGATTTTTCAACTGCCATTGGGACAGAACAGACTTGGATTCTTTGGCTCAGTTCTGATCACAATCCATTTCTGGTGACAGGATCTGTGTATATATATATATACACACATACACACACACGTCTTGTCTGTTAATGTGAACTTATAATAATAGCCTTTTTAATAAAAGGGATTCAATTCAACACCTAATCCTACTCAGCCATTAGAAGGCTGCTTGTTACCTAAAATTGCAATTCTCGTTTTCTCATTCTTTGAATGAGATGGATGGACCCTATTATGGGTCTACATTCACAATTGTCACTAACATTTCTGCAACTTCTAATCTTCTCGTTTTTAAGGGAGGTTTCAGAGTCAACCTTCGTGTTAATAATTCATCCACTGGCATATTATAATTTTTATTTTCATTTCTTACGTTGTGTATGTAGTGTATGATTGAATTTAGTTAGACCAACTTGGTGATTGCGGCGTCAAAGCTTAATGAATCTATTAAAGGCCGGCAGATTGTGACACCAGCCGTTACATTGTTGGCATCTGAGCTAAAAAAATAATAAATAAAAGATTGTTTTGCTTTAATAATTTCTAATTTTGTTCATATTTTATACCCAAACACACACACACACACACATATTATATATATATATATATATATATATATATATATATATTTGGCTACATATATGGAGCGCACCCTAATAAAGACAGCCTAACACCTAGATTAATGAACTATTTTTCTTGATGAAGTTGCAATACTAAAACACCCCCAAAGAATGGGAAATTAAATGGTTTCTTGGCTATTAATGTTGAATTAAGGTATTACATTGCTATTGTGCGGGAATTGTTAGTATGGGCACGGTGTTAGCTCATATGACATGATCTCTTCTTTCAAAAATAAGGTAAATTGAGTGTCGTTTTTACAATTTTCAAGCTTACGCATGGCCTCTTCTTAGGTTATATTTATGTAAATGCCAGATTAGATACCACCTATCCTATCCTTTAAGGAGAGCTAGCCTTTATTCATAAATCCCTCTTGTGATTGCTTGAAACTTGAAAGTTTCCTAGTTTTGAAGAACAAATGGTCATTAAGTTGTTTAATGCTGGTTTAAACCTCAATAAGTACTTGATCAACTTTGTCAAATGAAGCTAGCAACAAGCTTAAAAATTATGGTCTAACAGAAGATCGAACAGAAAAATTGAAAATAGTTTGAAATTTTAATTAATTGGCACTTATCACAAGACATTTTTTCTTTTCTTTTCTTTTCCTTTGATGTGAGCTCCTCCTAATGAGAACTTAATGTGCAATTCTAGAAGAAAAACATCTGGCAAACAATTAAAATTAAATAGATTTCGTATGAGTAATGTAAAGGATGCATGATTCAAGTGTCATATATATTATATTATATTCAACAACAACTTGGGACTTGATGCTAAGAGTTCCATGTGCAACGAGGAATTAATATAAAATTATTAGTTAATGAAGGTGGTCAACGGATAGACGTGGAACGTCAAAATGTCAACTTATGTCCATGAATGATATACACACACACACACACACACACGACGTGGAACGTCAAAATGTCAACTTATGTCCATGAATCACACACACACACACACACACACACACACGAAGTTATGAGTTAATTTAAAATGTAAAATATGATGACCCTATGAGGGTATAAAAAATGACCTGGGCCGGGCACAACCCAGATCACTGAAAACAAGTCTGAAAAGAACATTTTGTTCAATCGAACAATCACTTATTGGGCTTAAGACCGAAAGATCAGTCTAGAAGCCCGATCTCAAAGCAAAAGAAATGGGCCCATATTCATAATGAGCCCAAAGGATCAGCCCAGTGTGAAGAGTTAGTTAGGAAGCTTTTAGAATATTTGTAGAAGTTTGTAAATAGACTGAAAAGAGAGAAAAAAGGGGTTGAGATATTTTTGAAGTGTAAAACTATTCTTTCCAAATCGAGAGAGTAAATTTCTTGCATTTTCAATGACGCCGTCTGTGGGAAGCGATCGAGATTCATTTATGAAGAAGAAGCTTGATCTCTGGAAGTTGGATTCAGATCGGCGAGCTCATGGTCTGTCTTGCAGAGGCTTGTTTCTAATTGATTTTTGGAAATTGGAGTCGTATTTGCACAATCGCGATCTATTTTACGGAGCCAAATCTGATGAGCTCACGGTAGGAAAGATTCAGATTCAACCGAAGTAGATCGAAATTCAGCCAGACTGAGTCCAGATCTAGTGCATTTGCATTAGCAGAGTTCAGATCCGATTAAGAATTCACGGTTGATGACTCTACTCCGATCAGGAACGATGATAGCAGGTAAGAGTTCTAATCCACAAGAGAATGACCAGCAAACAAAGCTCGACGAATTGATAAGCATGATTGAAGCTCTCAGAAGAGAGAATACAGAATTGAGAGCTGGAATGGAGCATCTGATGAGCGCTGAAAAGTGCGCATTTAAACCTCTTAAGCTTAGGTATTCTAGGACATTTTTCTATCTTATTTTTCCGCCTTAGACTAATTTCATGTTATTTCCATTTTCAGGCACTTATCCCCAAAATAAGTGAATTCAGCCCAATTAGACTATAAAAGAAGCAATCTTGAGCTGAATGGAAGAAAGGAGCATAATGGAAGCAAAATGGTAGAAAAATAGTATCTTTGATCGATCTCAACAATTCTTCGATCGATCTGGAGGTGATCGATCTAGCCATTTCAAGATGGATCCAAGCTTTTGTCCTTATCCAAAAGATTCTACCATCTTCGATCGATCCAACTTTCTTTAGATCGATCAAAATCATTTGATCTTATCCCCACCTACCACTTTTGTCTTTTTCCCAAAATATCCCAAAAATATCTCAAATTTGTCTTATTCCAAAAAACCGCCGCCGAGGATTGATCGATCTAGCCTAACTTCGATGGATCTGGCCACAGTTCGATCGATCTCATCTAAACTCGATCGATCGAACCTCCTCAAGTCCAAATTAAAACAAAGTCCAGCTCATTAAAAGATGGCTCATGGTGTAATCATTGAAGGGACCTTAGTGCACGAGTCCAGACCATTGGGTGTGACACTTGAACTACCTATAAAAGATTTTGAGCCATTTTTACATCGTATCTTTATATCATCAAAAGATTCATTCATATACATACTTAGAGACTAAGAAAAAAGAGGAGGAGAGGCTAGAGACTAGAGACACACTATTTTGGAAGTTCTTCCATTCATCTAGAGTTTTCATCAAGAAGAAGATCATTCCTACCATGGAGATTGCCCTTGAGGGTTGGATGACTAAATCAATGAGTGGCTAAACATCTTCTTGGGGCTAGAGTAGCCTTAAACATGCCTTCTAGACCTTGATGTTTTGTATTTTGAGGGGATTTGTGTTGTAATGTTGTCTTGAGACTTGATTTATATATAAATCTTGTTTGTACAATGATTTGTGTTGTTTAATACTTCCTATTGATCATTTTATTCTATCCATATGTCTATGTATGCTAGAATAGATGTTCATGTGTTTATCTCTTGGTTTTTGTGATATTGATGCATGTCTATGTGTATTGATGTTATGAATCTAAAAATTGTTAAGGCATAATGCTTAAATAGAATACTTTTGTGGTTTGTTTGATGGTTTATACTCATTTCTTGATGGATTGTGCCTCTCCCTTAGTTTAATTAGTTTAATTTCCATGTTACTAGCTTAGTTGTAGTGTAGTTGCCTTAGTTTCTTAGATGGGAGGACAATCTATGCTTGTTGTTTAATATTCCTTACTTATGAATACAAGTAGTATATTTTTCTAACCATTTGATGCGTTTAGATTGTGAGCTTAAAGGAAGAAATAATGGCTTAGTTTGATATGTTGTGCTATTCACTAGGTTGCTTAGACAATATACACTTAATTGGTCATCCATGCTTGTTGAAACAATCAATTACACACACTATTTTTGCAACACATGTTTCCCCTCATTAATTATACATTAAGTGTCTAGAAATGTGATGTTTAGTGGTGACCTCTAAGTTCCAAGACCTCTCTCTCTTGTTCCCTATATCATTTATTTGTTATTATTTGTTTTACATTGAACTTGCTTAGTTTTAGCTAGTAGTTTAATTAACCAAACAATCTTTTGAACACTCGACCTACTAACCCTATTTATTGTTTCCATTGCAAATATACCCAAAATCCCTTAGGACGAACCCTACTCACCCTAGCTATATTTAGTAGTTAGAGTTAGTAGTGGTTTTTTACAAATTTAAAACTTGGCTACACTATTTTGCATAAATTTGGAGTGTTGCGACGACGCGCACCAGCGTCGAAAAGTTCCGATTATTCCACGACCGCCTCCTGTAGGAGAAAGAGTTGTGCAAATGAATGTTGCTAACTAGGTTGAACAGGAAGGGAACGTTCACCTGGATCTTCGTCGCGAAAAGATCAGGCTCGACGATATTCTACTAAATGTTCATCATGTAGAAGATTGGAAAAGATCTGTCCAATTGGATCCATATTGCGAACGGATTTGAAGAGAAAGGTTCATGGAGATCTATCCACTCCGTGAGAGGCTTAGACGAGAAAAAGCCGTGGAGTTTGGTCACAGTAAGGCCATACCGTCATGGCAGAGGGAGTTAACGGAAGAAAGGTAGCTCGATCCTCCTTACCGACCGTCAATGGCCACGCATGACTATAGAAGTTCGGACAGGAGGTCTATTGATCAAAAGATACTCCAAAGGTTTCTGAAGGAGAATGAAGCCCTCTGTTCGGCAGCATGAACAGTTGATTCACCATTTATAGACGAGATCCTGAATGCTCAGAATCCAAGGAAGTTTTTCATGCCAGTTTTCATCCTGTTCGATGGAACGAGCGATCCGATCGATCACATTTACCATATTTAATTGAAAATGACTCTTAACACAGAGAATGATCCTTTAATGTGCAAGTGCTTTCCTACAAGCCTGATCGGACCAGCGCTCAATTGGTTCAAGAATTTGGCAAGAAGCTCAGTGGATAACTTTTAAGACCTGTGTGACCGATTCAAAGCTAGTACTACGGGAACAAGCGTCCGACCAAAGATATTTCAAGTTTGTTTACAATGAAACAGCACGAAGATACACGTCTCCAAGCTTTCCTCACCATGTTCAACCTCGTAAAGAGTATGATAATAGAATGTCATCCATCCACGGCGGTTCAAGCATTCAACTAGCAATGAACCGAGGGACGCCGTTCCATACAAGTTTAGTGGTAAATACGCCGAGAACCATGGACGAGCTTAACGAAAAAGGTTGCCAACACAAAGAAGACGTCTATGGTCGCGACAGAGGAGAAAACCAAAACAAAAAATAGACAAAAACAAGCTCCACCACATTATCAGACCTCCTGGAAAGCAGAAAAGATACCTAAAGAGGAGGAATCAGTCACTTCACTCAAAATCACCCTGGCGAGGTTGTATCAAGAAACAAAGATAAGTTTCACTCTCCCCTACTAATCAGACAACCACTCGAACAGAAAGATCAATCTAAACATTGTGTTTTCCATAGTGATTTTGGTCACCAGACTAATAAATGCAGGAACTTAAGGAGGCAAGTGGAGATGCTAATAGCAAATGGAGAGTTCGCATGATACATTCAAGGGCCGGCAGTAGAGCAGAACTGACTGGCTGAACAAGTGAAAAGAAATCAGAAGCCGAACTACCATAACTCTCAGCCTGTTCGGATTTTAAATGTAAATCATGGCCCACCTGAGCCGACCGAAAAGTCAGAAGAATTGCTCTGAATGCACCTCCGTCAAGCATAAATGAAGAGAATGATAGGCAATGTAAATGTTCTGCACCAGCAGAGCATATCAGTTCAGATAAAGTTTGACAAAACGGATCTGTAGCTAGTTCAGATCCCTCATGAAGATCCTCTGGTCGTTTGCTTGATAGTGGCAGAATGTTTGGTGCGAAGAGTCTTAATTGATCTGGGGAGCAGCGCGAATGTCATACCAAGAATAACGTTTGACTGGCTTGAGATCAAGCCAGAAAAGCTCAAACCCACTGGAAATCCCTTGTTGGGATTCAATGGGGAGCAAGTGGAACCTATTAGTATGGTAAAATTGCCAGTACGAGCTGCTGAAAGAGATCTGATTGAAAGTTTTGTAGTCGTCGAGATCCATCCGTTTTACAATCTCTTGATAGGAAGAGGGTGGATTCACAGGGTCCAGGGTGTCTCGTCAATTCTGCACCAAGTGATGAGATGCTTGAGCCCGGATTGGAGCAAGGTGACTGATATTCATGGGGACCAGGTCGCTACCAAAGTGTTACTTTATGACGCTGAAAGCAGCTGGGAAGAAAAAAGCTCCCGCCCGATCTGATAGCCCAAGATAGCAATTACAGGGGCATCCTCCTAAACAGACTGGAGAGGAGGAAGAGCCTTTGGTTCTTACTGAATAGCCCCTCGTTGATGTGTAGATAGATCCTCATAGACCAAATAGAACCACAAGGGTAGGGTCAGGGCTTGCAAAGAAAGAGAAACAGCAGTTAGTTGATTTCCTGTCTCAGAACGCAGATGTGTTTGCCTGGAGCCATTCAGATATGCCAGGAATCAATCCCTCTATATTTTGTCATTCCCTCAATGTAGATCCGAGCGCCAAGCCTGTAAGACAGAAGCAGAGGAGGTTTACCCCAGAGCGCAATCAAATCATAGCTGATGAAATTAACAGATTGCTGGAGGCAGGATTCATCAGAGAAGTTCAGTAACCGGTTTGGCTCTCAAATGTGGTTGTAGTGTAGAAGAAGAATGGGAAATGGAGAGTCTTTATTGACTTCACTAATCTAAACAAAGCTTGTCTGTGATATGACGACGGCCGTTCCAATACGCCAAACTGAATGTAGTGAACGTGTGGTTCAAAAAAAGCCTTTTATGTCAAATTTAAATTTATAAAAACCACTACCAACACTACTACTAACGTAGCAAGAGTGAGTAGGGATCGTCCCAAGGGATTATACGTGTTGGAATTTCAACTTCGACTCTAGCGTACCAAATGATTGCAAAAGAGAATTGGGTTGGTTGATTACTTCTAGAAAAGAATTAATTAAAATGCATTAAGATAAAGAGTAAGTAAGAAGGAAAGGTCTTGGGGTGTAGAGATCACCACCAAACAATACTATTCCAAACCATAATCAAGTGACTAATGAGGGAAATGAATGTGTTGCGACAATGTTGTGTGTGTAAAAGACATTCAATTGGTAAGGGTGACTCAACAAGTGCAAATTGTCTCAATCAATATGTGTGAGGCCACAATACATCTATTGGTAGAGGAATATATTGTCTAGACATCATGTGAAGAGAACAAAATATCAAATTAAGTCATTGAACCTTTCATTAAGCTCATAGTCCAAGCAATCCATAAGGATGACTTAGTCAAACATGCATTATCTAAACATCATGTGAGAGGCCACAATTTATCTATTGGGAGAGGAATAAATTGTCTAAACACATGTGAAAGATACAACATATCATAACTAGTCATTAATCCTTCATTAAGCTCATAATCCACATACAACACAATATTAGAGGAATATGCCATTTGGACTCACAAGCATGGAACATCAAACATCAAGAGTAGATTGTTCTCCCATCTAATATTACACTACTACTACACTAAATCTACACTACTAGCATGAAAATAAAGCTATCTAGACTAGGGGAGAGGCACAAACCATCAAGAATAGGCATAAACCATCAAATGAACCAAAATAGCATTCATTAAGCATATCATCTTGATAATCTCTAGATCTATAGCATCAATACACATAGACATGCATCAAAAACACTAAATCTAGAGATAAGCACATGAATATCCTACTCTAGCATACATAGACATATGGGTAGAATAGAATAGTCAATTGGAAGCATTAAACCATACAAACCATGAAATAATCAAGATTTATATATACATGAATATCAAGATGTATCATACAACACTAATCCTTCAATAATACACAAGATTAGAGTATAGAAAGCATGCTTGGGGCTAACTCTAGCCCCAAGAGGATGTCTAGACACTCATGGTAGTGATGATCCAACCCTCAAGGGCTAACTCCATGGCTGCTCCTTGTTGGTGAAGATCTCCTCCAATGGTGCTCTAGCTTCCCTCCTTCCTCCTCTCCAAGGAGAGCCTCCAAGATGATTTTTAATGTGTGTCAAGAGACTCTAGGCTCTTCTAGGCTCCCCTCCAAAAAGTGTATCATATTCCTTATATAGGTAGGTCAAATACACCCTATGATGAGCTGTGGTCGTGCAAGGCATATTCTCCAATGATTGGGTGAAGGACGGAATAAATGAGCTGGACTTTAACTTTTTCTCGCTGGAGGAAGTTCGATCGATCGAACCTTAACTTGGATCGATCGAAGATGGGTTCGATCGATCGAACTGCATCTTGGATCGATCAAAGTGGTCTGACTCCTCCGGATAAGGATACGGCTGAGATATTTCGAAGATATTTATGGGGAAAAGGACAAAAGTGGTTGGTAGGCGTACAGCTGTGGATAAGATCAATCATTTGAATAGGACAAAATTGGGTTCGATCGATCGAAGGTGATGTTGGATCAATCGAACTTGGAATTTCAGCAAAGGCCAAGGTTGGATCTATCGAGAAGTACTGTGATCGATCATAGATGTTCGATCGATCGAACTCTAAGTTGGATCGATCGAACTTTTCAGCTGCACAACTTTGATTCCTTTTTGCTCCTTACTTTCTCCATTTTGCTCCCTCCTTTGGTTTATTTCAGGATTGCTTCAATTAAGCTCTTATTTGGCTGAGTTAGCTCAATTTTGGGATTAGTGCCTGAAAATATAAATAACACGTAATAAGTCTAAAAAGGCAAAGTAAGATAGATAAAGGTACTAGAATGCTTAAGCTTAACGAGTTTAAATGCGCACTTTTCAGTGCTCATCATGATACTCCTCGGATCCGAGACACGGGTTGATCAGGCCTAGGCCCAAACCCGAGGGATATCAAACAATTAATATTTTAAATCAAACACGGAATACAAAATTGATCTAAGAAATAAAAATAATAGAAACTGAAAGGAACTAAAATAATATCCTTAAAATAAATATCCAAAACTGATAATCCAAATCTCCATAAGTTTACAACTTGGGAATCCATCAATTGGACCCCTTATTAAACTTCTCAATCCGAAATTGAAATAACAGAAATAAAACTAAAGCTAACATAAAGTAGATCCCTACGTAGTGGGAGGAATGAGTAGCTGTATAGGCTCTGCACGTCCAAGCTCTAACCCTGGAACTGACGAACACCTGAAAAATAAAGGAGTGGGTCAGGCCCACATGCAAGTCCTGATCTACTACAATCCAAACAGTAATCCGATACGTAGATACATCCTAGGAAGACTCAACAATATCTAGAGTAGTCCATATCTATATAGTACACACTAATAGGACGCTCACTAGTCCAATAGGTTTGTCTCAGCTTGAATAGAAGGCAACATGCGAATACGCACCATAAGGTGGGCATGAGTACCTAGACCTACCAAGGAACAACACATATGTCCAATTATCCATCATAGGCAATATACGCGCCCTAACTATGGTCCTGAGACTCAAACTCATACCATAGTACCATAAAATACATATATAAAATCCATACTCCTAATACAAAATACCATCCAACTTTGTAACAGTTTGATATATTGTACAACAAATCCAACCTGAACCCATAGTAGTTCATTCAATTCTCAATTGATATGACCCATGTAGGTGATGGAGTTAACCCATATGGTTAATCCATACCTTAATCCAAATTAGGTAGGACTTAGTGTTTGTACTAATCCATACCTAGTATGCCATCGTCCCATACCGGTGCATACAATCCTCCAGTTCCATAGTTAATAACACAGCATAAACATGTATCAACTAATTTCCAAAAGAAACATAAATATAGTTTAATATATTTACAACCAATTTATGCATCCAATATACCATTTAAATATCACATTACAGTGCTTTATATATATATGAAAAGACTGTACATGTCGTTCCTCCAGTTAATATAGTTGACGGAACAGTAATAAATACCAATCCACCATATTTCAAGATTTGCATATAAATAGTTTAACATGTGTACAACACATTAATCATCCTACATAAGGTTTGGAAATCCCTTTCCAGTCCCATTTTATTAAGTAAGACTGAAACCTACCACTCCTCCTGCACAACCATATCTGATGCAATAGTTGATAAATTTAAAACATCCATTAATTCCATTTAAGCATACTTAATCTTCTAGATAGATAAACATATGCTTATAACATAGTTGAACATGCTTGATAAATTTAAACATGCAAAAGAACCCAAAACTTTGCTCAAAGCAGTAAACAGTTTACAAAGATTTCAAAGACAACTTCACATATGCAGTTTCTTGGTTTAACCTTAGGTTGCTTCAAGGTTCAACACAATACCATTAACAATACTTCCAACCATTTTTACATCTCTGGAACTATTATACAACCCAATTTTACCCACTGAAACAACCCAGTCATCTTCCCATAGGTCCAGAAACAACCCAAAATCACGTAGAAGCAAGAAAAGAAGCTAGAGCCGCCTCCAGAATATTGGAGCCGCCTCCCTTCTTGGTGGAGCAGGCTCCTCCCTTATTGGAGCCGGCTCTACCCTTGTGGAGCCGGCTCTCACACCCCCTAGAGCCGGCTCTCCTCCTTTGAGAACCGTAATTCCTTCTCTGGTTGTCTTCCTCGCCTCCGGCTAAGTTCAAAACCTATTTAGTATTTTAAAACCTTATTCCAGTGTTTATACACTATCCTAGATTATATGAGAAACCCCCCAACATGCATCAATAATCCCAATTAACCAAGCTTGAACCCAAGACACAGCATGCATCAGTTCACAGTTCTTTAAAAATTTGCACAGTTTGATTCACGAGATTTATTTCCGTTTGAACATGCATACAAGATAAATTTAATCATTAATCTGTTTTTAATCTTGGTTTAATCCTTAGAGTCTTTCTAAGCCTGTACAGAACACAGATTAAAGAGATAGAGTGGAAACAGAACTTGCCTTCAGTTTCAGACTGTGGAACTGCAGACCTCTGTCAACTCCGGCAACGATGGTTGTCTTAACTCCCTCTGCTGCTCCTAATTCAATCCCCAACCTTCTCCTTGAATTCTTCCTTCAATCCCCAAAGGTTCTCTCTGAAACTCTCTACAACTCTCTGTTTTTCCCTCTCTGAAAACCTGATACGTGAATGCAGGTTGTGTGATGTTTGTTTGCTAAACCCTAAACCCACATGAAGAAATATATTTATAGGCTTAATTCTCCAACCCTAATGCAATTGTCCAAGTTACAATACACGGCGACTTAATACAACCTAGGTCGGCTACAGTAACTCCAACCCTAACTGACATATACGTAAATCAACTTAATTATATAATTTAACGTTTAAATAACTTCCACAGAAATATAATCCTAATCTAAAATAAATTAACATTTAACTTAACCCAATACAAAATAATCCAATAACAAAAACAATAATATTAATAAAAGAAAACAATTAATTCAAATAAAAGGACAAACAAACAGATAATCAACTATCAAGCAAATAATCCAATAAAATGACACATAATAAAATAAAATGCAATTAAATACAATAATTAAATTCCAGAACTGTCCTTTTAAAATTAGGGGTATTACATTATCCGAAGGATAGTTTTTCGTTAGC